GGAACAAGTTGCGCCTATTCGCTTAGAAGTTCCACTAGGGCCAATCGGTTGGTGTGGGCGCTTAAGTGAGGTTGTAGGATCCAGAGTTCACATGGGAGCGATACGGCGGTGCAAACATATCCTTGACTCGTGGGCTGGAGAAGCGAGAACAACAGCAGTAGAAGTTGAGAAGCGTTGGAGGAGAACAACATCACCCCATCAAGACTTCCCGACGCGAGCGCCCAGCAGCGCCGTCAATACTTTGGTGTCCACACGCACACAACTTTTCGAACATATCGTTAGGAAGATCTTCCCAACGGATACAAACATCACCCACCCACTAATTCGAAGATCTGGAAACCGACTTGTGCGTTGACAGTCTGGCAGTCGAACTTCGCGATGGTTCACTTTCAGATAAAAATAACTGAAACTGTCACCTCCGTCGGGGGTAAGTTGTCAACGATCCCTCCCGGAAGCTTGTTCCTGGTGAGTGTTACCTTTTATATCCATATTTCGTACCAACGACACCATGCATCCTCTCGTCCAACATATATCGCCTGCTGCCGAAAAAGGTAATTTGATGGATGAGCGCGAGCCTCCAGGAGGGACATCGACAAATCAACGGAGCTTTGAGCATCGGCGTATACGAGCATTGGCTACCGACGACAGAAGGAATGGTTTGCTGCAATGTTTTGTTTAGGCATATCAGCATAACGTTGTGCAGGGAGATGATACAGGAGCTATAGGGGTTTTGCAGTCTGGAATTGGGTTCATACGATGAAGGCATCAATGCGAGTATCGCAATCAGCCCTGTGGCTTGGTGGTGATTCAGAGCATAGCGCACAGGTAGGCGCTAAGTTATCAATAGCGGTCTAAACTTACCAATGTGTCCAAGTGGCTTGATTTGAATGCGAGGCTTGTGCTGTTGATAACGTTCTTCCTTCTTCAGTTGCTGAGGATGGATTCAATACCCGTGCGGCGCTTTGGTCTACCCGTCTCATGATGATGATCACAAGGTTCCGACTGAAGCTTTTTCATATGTTGATGCTTACGGGCTATCACAGGTTGCCTATCGCCTATTGGTAGCCCCCGTCGTTCGACTTCACGAAAAGAAGGACGAGAAGGGTGGAAGGACGAGTCCGACCGGTCCTATGGAGGGGTGTCACGTAAAAAGAAGTGTCGGCTCTTTCGGATCGACTTGATTGAATTCCCTTTCAGAGCCAGCTAGAGAGTAGAAGAGTGGAAGTAGAGCTTCTTACCTTGGTAGCCTGCAACTCAAAAGGAGTACTTGGCTTGATGATTCGAGCATCTGCGACTTGCCCCGTCTGACTTGTTGATGCGGCATGCGAGTGGCAAGAGGACCACAGGACAAGTCATGCACTTCGAGAGATTCGCCGCTGGATCTTGTGGATGTTCATGCGGACAGGCTTGAAGGGTCGAGTTGGGATCACGAATGTGGCTAGCCAGGGGCTTCGAATTCCAAGATACTGGGAACTAGAACCCATATTGGAAAGTTTCAATGTGAAGTGGTGGAACACAGGGGGTCCATGTAGCGATAGGAAGAACACGCTCAGAGGCGACTGTATGTACCGACCCGAATGCTGTAGTAAAATCGCTCTGGGCGTTGTGCTCAAAGTAGTCTCCTATGCGACCTTTATCAGCCAGAATCACATACCTTGATGTGACAGCAAGTTCAAACGAAGGGAAGCGCGTCGCAAACTCGTAAAAAAATCTTCAGACTAATCTATAACCAAGGTCTTTGAAGTAGCTTCTAAGCTTCAAAGTGGATCTCCCCAGATTCGAACCTGTGTAATGAGAAGTGTTGGGGTCACAGGGATCAGATGCGGGGGATGATCATTTTAATTGATGAGTGCGCGTAGAAGCAAGGGAACCTTCGGAACGCGGGGCTGGGGAACACGGTTATGAAGGTCAGGAAGTGGTTCAGTTCGTCGAAGGGGGGTATTCAAAAGTATGCGGAATTGAACGCTATTGGGGATCGCGAAATCTCAGGAAGCGAGCGACGATAGGCTTTGGGATTGAGAAATGGACTTCTCGGCGGCCAAAACGTTGTGATTAGCCTGAGAGTCAGGAGGCGTTGGGGGCGTGTTACTATGCTTTGGAATGGTTGAAGATAGAGTGGGGCGTTCAAGTTTACTTGCAGAAGATCATTTGAGCAAAGGTACGACAGGGAGAATGTAATGAAAGTACCTTTGAATTATAAAATCGTAAAGGGCGCTCAATTGAACTCGGCTCGGCGCCATTCTACCGCTATTGCTCTGACTCTGATCACGTCCCATGACTGGACTGTTCTTTGTGGGGCTTGCTGTAGTACTATATGTGATCTCGTTCCTTAACCACCTTTTGTGGTCAAATTATGACGGAGCCTTATGCATGTCCGGCAATTGAAGATTTGTCCATCAGAAAATATGGGGAGCCCATTCCAAACCTTACCCGAGGCTTGTCAAGACCTGATGTTCGCGGGAGAGGAGCGCCAGATTACGGCCCTAAAGTCAGTGTATTCGGCTCGTCAATGAACTCTGAGCTCTCTTCCGTTGTAGAATGAGGACGATGAACGAATTATGACGTAGGTTGACGCAGAGCGCAGTGATTTGAACGGACACCAGTGTGGTCGCATCTCCTCTGGCAGCGTAGTCCAAGTAATAACGATAGAAGCTCATACACCCTGTCTTTCTGTGTGATTTGCGCAGGTGAGGGTCTCCACCGGAGAGAGAGATAGTATAGGTCATGATGTCACCGACTACCGCCGTGCGAGAATTGCGGACTCGACAAGGGGAACACGAGGAGAGCCAGCTCAACTGGTCGAACCAGGCCATCTGTTCTTCCATCAGTACTTCCTCCTCTCCACCGCCTAAAAGGATGATAGGAATGCCATTGAAAACTTTTGAGCTCCAGTGGAGTACCAGCATGGTCGTGAACCGATACGACGATCCCCTAAACTAAGGAAGGTGACTAGGTGGCAACGCTTGGCTTATGCCATCCTTATACAAACGGAAAGGCACTCCTCCTCTAGCGTACTCGCTGTATACAGTCGCGCTTCAAGCTTCAAGCGCTTCAAGCTTTACTTCACCTCTCAGACTTTGAATGGGAGGTTGGTGGATGACATCAGACTTGCCCAATTTGGTAACTCATCATGTGCAGGATTATCCAAGCGCCGCGTCGGCTACGCGTCATTGCTTTTCCTTTGAACCTTGGCTTTCACCTCCACCCTCGACGCGTTTTTTGGCTCTCTCAGGTCCGAACAGTGCTTGGGTCTGAACAAACTTGGGATGGAGACACACGAGATTTTTGCAATTGGCGTCGTCATGCCAGGAAGTTGGCGCCTGACTCGACTCTATGCACTATCACCCACTATCAGCGGCACCAGATTGGCTTTTTCATCGTTATCAACCGCGATTTCTGGAACTCTGGCTCGAATTCACGGTTTTCTCTGCTGGCTGCTGTTTCATGCTTAATCTCGATGATAACGTACAGTATGGGTGCGGACGGAACTGCTCTTTAGAGCTCTACTTCTCACCAGCAGGTTGGCTTTGTCAATTACTTTCGCGTTACCCGATCCAACGCGGTTGGCCTTGTCCTGCCTATGGTTACAGCGGTGCGGTACGGGAGCGGTTTTGATTGGCCTACCGCTCTGGCTTCAAGTTATCGAGCTCGGCAACTGGCTTGGTTGGTGGTTCACTTGGTTCGCGCCGATTCTCCCGCGCCCCCGAACCACCCGCCAGCTCGGCTTGGCAGCGGAACGATGCTACCCGGCGTTTGTTCCCGGGGCTCTTGCGTCATCCTATTGGCTCGTCGTCCTCGGTGCCTTGCGCCACGTCTTCCGCTGGTAAATTGCACAAGTTTTCCGATTTTTTATCACCTGCGTCTCACTGTGGCGTGGTTTGACCACCACCTCTTGTCAACGACCGCCTGGAGTACTTGGAGTTTATCGTCACCAAACCATACGAAACAGTTGTTTCCTGTGAAATCGTTCGACAGTATCCGGTGGACGTTTGCATGCGGTTTTGGGCGTCACATTTTACCTGACGGCGCTGGGAACGGCCTTGGGTGAACTATGGGTCGAGGTCGGCGAAATTCTGGCGCTCTTTGCTCGATGAGTACACACACACACGAGGATAATGACACGATTTCGACTTTTGTCCCGATGACCACGAATCTAATTCCATCCACAAAAACCCGCGCAGATTGACTCTGCCATCCCTGACCTGGATCTCGGTATGTTTCAGGCGTTTGCAATAAAATTTACGAAAGAGCTTTTTTTTACTAATTGAACTTCAGTTTAGACGATGAAAGGCCTTTTTCATCGCGGCTGGAGCAATCAGGCACCCAGTGAAGCGATCCAAGTGGATCGGTAATTGCGAGCAGACCTGGTGACTGGATGAAGACCAGATCTCATTTACTATGAGCCCTCGACCCTTGAAAAAGTGGTATGAACCCATCGTTATGTTTGTCGACTCAAGGAGCTAACGGAGCATGCAGGCAAGAGCGACTCCGAATTACATTGCTCGGACGCGTCGGTACTTGTGCAGGAACAAAGCATTGGGGAAGATCCTGCCGACGGGCCGGAACACCCAAGTGCAAGCTGCATTTGCCATTTATCGTCGATACTTATTGCTTTGTGGTATCAACTGTGATATGTCAATTGGACATGGTCACAGGAAATCTAAGGCTAGTGTGTCTCTGCTATTACATCCTACATGATCACGGGGCCTCCCATTCGACTCTCGGAGGGTGCATATGAAGTTTTCCTAACCCGTACTTCCTCTTCGCTTCGCGCAGACCTCACTGCATTGTTACAGCCGGGTCGGATTGAATTCCGACATTTCAAAAACCGTGGTTGTTGATGGACCGTGACGATGCTTTTACCGATCGACATCACCAACGAGGCGCGGGCAGGCCCACTCAGTTCCACCCCAAAGCCAACAGTCAACACGTAACGTGGTAGCCATGAACAGATTCCTCTCGTTGCCTATTTCCAGCCAAGCAACAGGTGGAACCACACGATGATTGTTTCGTTGGAATTGAGATCTGTAAGTGTCGTTACTCTGCTTCGCGTACCATGGGCGCTGACGCTTAGAAAACAAATCCCATCTTCATTCACAGCGGAGAGCGCGCAACGCGTCGTCAACTCCGTGATGGACCCATGTGTTCAGACACATTCCGCAGAAGGACTGTCGATGATTGAGACGCGAAGTTAGACACACTCATCACCTGATCATCGTTGTCCCAGATCCAAATTCGCTTCGTCTGGGTGTTGCAAGCGCCCAATGCCAATGAACCCTGGTAATAACCGTGCTTTCACCTCTCTATCGTCCAGATCATGATTAACAAGGATCAGACATCACATCGCCAACCTTTGACGATCATCGTCAAGATGCCCACCAAGGACTTCAAGGGCGCGCTGGCCGTCAGAGGTATGCTTCTGAGTATCGTCTCGGTCCCTCTGATATCAACACTGTCTTCAACGCTCAAACCGTTTGATACTGCTGGGTATCTGGAAGCAACGCATCGAATACATACTTCCTCGACGTCTGAGGGAATGACACGGTATTGATCGTCAATATCTTCCGAAGTGAATCGCTCAGACGGTTTGGTAAAGGTCGTTCGGTTTGGCTGAGAATCAAGCCTCTTTATCACAGCAGGGGTACTAGTATCGCGCCAACTTCTCATGTTCGACATTGACTCTGACATTGAAACTGAGACAGGTGCCTGTGGTCTTTCTGACGACCCTCCGACGTCTGAGGACCCTCCGTTCTCGGTGGTCGGGAGATCCGTTCTCAAGTTCTTTATGTTCTCATCCGAGGCGAGCAGTCTTCACGAGCGTCGAATTTACCCACGTTGACAGCCAGAGATACCTCTCCTCGATCGCGTAGCAGACATTCCCTCATACCCAAAAGCAGTGACTGATGTTGACTAGCTTTGCTATGGCGCCTAAACGAGCTCCCTAAAGGAAAGAACGTCGGCGTAGGCTGATGTTGCTTCGCACCGAGGAGCTCCACCTTCCTCAAATTTGCCTCGACGCTGGACCGAATTCATTCCGCTTCTGAGTTGCTTCTGAGGGGAAGGAACGTGCTAAAAGCTTAACCAACAGACGTGGTGTCTCGAGGAATGCTCTAGGAGTTGGCCACAGTGGAGGTCCGGGCCATCCCAATCCGCCGAGGTAACTCCAACACGGCTCCTCGCCCCTCTCGCCAGCGACCAACGCGAGAATACACCGAACAGGAGCGCTGGTGGACTGGAAGGAGTGGCTTGGATGGTGAATTCCTCGGGTGGTAGAAGGTAATGTGAACGTTTGCGGGGATGTTCTAGTGGCTCCAGGGGGATGCGATCCCTTCGTACACGGTCCGGAGAAGACTAACTAGTTCAGCTTCCGTGTCATCCTGAGCGAGAAAGCTCGCCCGGTCGTGGGCAGCCTGGTGGTTCTAGCGCCACGTTCGACCAACTTGTCTCTTGTTTTGCGACATATGATATCGCCTTTACTTTCTCTCACATCAACGAAGCAATGACTTGGTTATCGCGGTATTCATCGCGTAACCCCGGTTACTCGAAGGAAGGTGAGTACTCGCTCCGTCTTCTTAGAACGGATTTCAATTCCCGGCGGTATCTGTGTTGTTGGGTATTTCCTTCCTAATACAATCTCTTTCGTCTCCACAAAGCGTCCCGGTAGAAGATATTGGCTGATATTAATGAGCCCTCTCCATCCGATGCAAGCAGACTGAGGGCTTTGACGAAAGGTTGTTACTTCCAGCGTATCTCTCGCCTGTAGGGTCACCGAGTAAATATCGGGTACTTAGACGGGGTGAAGTTGCGTCGTAAAGTTCACCTCGGGCATACAGGTAAACTTCCAGCTGATTCTCAGTCGTTCTGATATATGGTGTGATCATCGTCTTATCTACATGGTGAAGCTCTAAGATACCATGGGACAAAGGAAATTCGAATCCGAACGCTTTGTTATTTCTCATCTTCGCGCCTTTCGTGGCGTTTTCCATCGGATACATATACCTTGTGGTAGAAGTGTAGAAGTCGTCGAGGAAGCTTCGAAAGGCCTTGAGCAAATGAGTTGAACTAGTTCAATTATATTAATTGTTACCGAAGTCGTGGTTCTTTTTTTGTGAACAGGTACGAGCGGATGCACTTGGACTGGCTGTTTGTCGTCGAGAGAATTGAGTCCACGCGAGAGAACCCGGATCACAGATGGCCTTGGTTCTCTATTGAAAATGGTTAGGGTGCAATCAAGAGGCCTGGTGAGACGGAATGTCGACAGAAGCTCGGGGAGGTTTCCGGGACTAAGTTGAGCATTTCCGGTGTGCATTCCGAGTTTTCAGCTTCAGTACGATGAGGTATCGGTGTTCACAAGCGTGTCGTTTGCGTGTGGGTTTGGGAGGATAGTGGGCGTGGGATCACCTGGCTGGAATGAGTTTGAACAACTTGTGAGACTTCATTCCCTGCATGACATCCCGCCGAGAGACTCATGTGAGTAACTCGAATCAAATAACTCAGGGCGAGCCTTTACGAGTAATAGTGAGCTCAGCTCTTCTTCAAGTAGCCTTAACAGGGCCCGGTGACACTCATGACATGGGAGAGAATGGATGGTTTCAATTGATGGTCGCAAGACTACTTAGTCGATATTTATGAGGCATTTTATTTGTGCGTAGTGATCCCGCTTGACTGTGTGTACAGTACTAGTCCTTATGACCTCTCGCTAGGCAGAAGCGGCGGAAACTAGACAAAAACGAGCGCCCTCAGAACGAGCGCCTGATCATGATGACAATATCGTAGGTACAATAAAGCGGGAAGTTGTATTGACACGCCATCAATTGGATTCTGTGAAATCGCTCGCGCAAAGACTAATGCAAACCGCTGTAAAGCGTTCCTGAGATACTTGTCAATGATCCTTAATTCACACTAAGTACTACCCATACGCCGAATGAAATGACAGTGCCCTGACGTGCGGGGAATGGAGGGGGATATCCGTTCCAGGCAAATGTGACCCTTGAGGTGGGAGAGAAATGACGAGGTCACCCCTGGTACCTGAATGGCTCTATTAAGGCTGCGGCAGCTTAATACCCGCTGTCCAAGAGGCTTGTGGCTCCAAGTATGGCAATTGAACCGCTGAAGTTTGTAATCCAACACATCCATTTGCAAAGGTACAGGGTATCAGGACATGGTATCAGGTTAAATAGTATGTCGTTGGGTAGTAACAGGTGATGCGGCGAGAGCGCGCTGCATTTAGATATCGGGACAAGGCAAGCTGGTCCGCTGTAGACTGCTAACCGCCGAAGGAGTTGGGCGCTTATCAGTCAAACGACATCTCAAAAACCGCTCTTGGCGATCGTCTCCAACTCTGCGGCAGGCCTACAATGAATTTCGACCCCAAGTGGATACTCCAAGCTTCCGAAAAACGCCTTGGCCGCATTCGACTCGGGGACACAAAACACAATACTGGGGTCGGTGGGCAAACGCCTCGAAACCAGGGAACGGAGCATGGAAGTCCAGAAGCTCTGGAACATCTGCTGGAGCTCATTTCTCCCCTGGGTGTCCACATAAGCCCCCTGCTCACGACAAACAATCTTCCGAACCGTTTGTCCCAGGGACATTAGGACGTGCTTCCGTGAACCAATCAGTGCATGGTGATTGGCGAAGAAAAGGTGGGTGATTCCAATACCGCTGAGGGATGCAAGAATGCGGGGGATCCTGCCGTCACTTCGTACGCGATCGGTCGCCTCGAGCAACACCTGAAGTCGGTCCCCAGGAACTTCCGTCCTATAGCTCCGTCGATAAAATTGGCGCATCAGTTCTGTAAAGTCCGGATTGTGCTCGGTCACACTGGTCGAGAGAGAGCGGGGATTCACAATCTGGATAGACCTCAAATTGGGGAGGGTGGTGTTGCTGAAGAGACTGAGGAGGAGGTCGCTCGCTTCGATATCGGAGAAGACAAGCTTCTCTAAGACGTGGTTTTGTATCAACTGTTGCGGGGCCGCAAAGTCGAAAATGAGCGACGATCCGATGGGGCCCTCGAAAATGAGCTCCTGCAACTGAGGAAGCTGCATAACCTTCCAGGGCAATCTGTAATACACTTCGGCGAGACGCAGACGGCGAAGTGACAATGGGAGGAAGCCAGAGAGGCCAATCCAGCCCCCGTCGGATGTCAGCGACAGGGTATGCAAAGAAATCATGTCATTAATCGACTCGATGGTGCTCAGGTGCTGGTCACCCCTAGCTGTGGCGTCGGGGTCGCCATTCACTCTCTTGAGCACTTCCAAAGAATACCAGAGCTGCTTTGAATCGAAATGCCATTCTGCCCAACTGTATCGCAGATTGGAGATAATGGCCAGCGTTTCTTTTGCGATGTGAAGCACCTCCGGTTGATGGATGCAAGGTTGTAAGTAGCATCGTAAACGTGAAGCCCTATTGGGCGTCTCGACGATTGCGAGCGTCAATGGAGGCGGATTCGTGCCAGCACGACCAAACCAAGTCTCTGCGAAAGAGGCAAGACTGAACGACAGGATGTCTGGGCTGAGCTTTCCGTAATCCAGCTTCAGTCCCCTCCAGAGATGTGGCGTGGTGACTGCGGTCTGGTTCCACCGCCTGCAGACCAGACGGTAATTCTCCATCTCCAGAGGATCTACGGCCGCGCTTTGGGCCTGGCCCGAGTCGTCGTCGTCGGCGCTGCCGATCAATGCGAAGCGGAGAATGGTTGCGATGATTTCTGGGGGAAAGGTGTCCATGATGCTTGTCATATTAGTCTGGGGTGGATTGAAGCAAATGACGGAATGCGTTGGGTCGAGGGAAGTATGGGAGGCATACGAGGTCATGGGCAGCTATTTAACGACGGTGAACAAAGGGCGGAAAAGGCAGGTGGTCCTACCTTCACCGGTCACCAGTGAGACAGCGCTTGGACAGAGCGAGAATAATACGGGATTTGCACAGGGTGGATGGTTCGGAAATAACACAATACCACTTCGTTGACGGCAGTCCGACCGCTACTCTACGCTGCACTCTCGATGCCTTGTCCATCGGCGGTAGACCTCCGTTCTACCTGCACGTGCCTGTCGCTCTGGAATGGTGCAGGGCCATTTCGAAGTCGCGGGAATGGCTGTCGCGGGTTCATGCAAGGCTATGAGGGGTAGGTCAGCCTCCCTCACTGAACCAATTCGCTTGAAGCTATCACTCCACAGCCTAGACACCAATCGTCACTGTAAAGAACCGCGACTTGGCCGGGTGTCACAGCTTGCTCCAGGTCGTCACATTGGACCGTCACCCCTTGACCACTAGAACTAAAGCAAGGTCAGCATGGACCAGGGAGAAAGGTGGAAGTAGGACAACCAACCGTCTAACTGTACATGGTACAGCCTTCATACGGTAACGATGCATCACGGATGCCCGGAAGCCCTCGGGAGTGTCGAGTTCTGTTGGGACCGAGTCGCTCCAAATCCAAGTGAACTCGGGAACGTTAATCACATTGGTGTAGAGGGATTCGTGCTTCCTATCATGGTCGTTAGAATACAAGTGGGAAATGAAGAAACGGGCACTCGCATTCCCGGAACTACGTAGATAGTGTTGGTTGAAGGATCCTTTCGAGAGACGGCCATTCGGGTTGGCATGCCAGGAAGGCGGGAGCCTTCGCCAATGGTATAGTTCCACAGTCCTTGGTGTTTGCCAAGAACCTTTCCCGTTGTCTCGTCGATGATGAGGCCCTTTTGTGCAGGGATGTAATTGGCTGGGCAAGCTGTCGTTAGTGAAAACATTCAGTGAACTAACATTGGAAACGTACATAGGAAGTTGTGGAACTTGGCCTTCTCTCCAACGAAGCAAATGCCAACACTGTCCGGTCGCTGTGCGTTGTGCAGGTCGTGCTTTTGAGCGAGTTCGCGGACCTGGGGCTTCTGGAGGTGGTTGATGGGGAAGAGAGCACGTTGAAGGCCGGACTCGGAGATGGAGGATAGATAATAAGTTTGGTCCTTGTGTCCGTCTGCTGGGCGAACGAGTTTGGGTCGTGCATTTGGCCCTTCAGACCATGTCTTGCGAGCGTAGTGACCTGTACAGGAATGAGAGGCCTGGTGGTCGACCAAGAACGTGACATACCTGTCGCGAACCAAGGCCTTTGGCCAGAGCTGTCTGGAGGTAAACGTTCCAAAAGAGCGCCGAACTTGATCTCTCTGTTGTCTTCAGCCTTCCTGGATAGCTAATCGAAAGATTAAGACTGACCGGTTACACCAGACATCCGCATTCGGGGTTGTCCCCAATTCCCATTGTTGGAGAGAGGGTTCGAATACTCGATTCCAGTATTCTCGTGATAAGTCAATCTAACTGAAATTAAGAAAGATTGTATGTAGGCCAATGAAGCAGGCTGCTCACCATGGAGCATGGAATATCGAGTTTCTTGCACACTCGTTGGACATCTTCCCAATCTTTCTCCCATTCACAGCCCCTGTCGGATCCAGATTCGTCTCTGGTGTCCCAGTTCCTCATGAACACTGCAGACAAGTCATAATCTTGTTGTGCCAATAACAATGCTGCCACGGAAGAATCCACTCCGCCCGACATTCCAACGACGACTGTTTCTCTGTTCAGCCTCAAAGCCCTGTGAAAGCCGTCCTAGGCCCACCTTTATCGCCCGCCTTTGGCTCATTTCTCGTTCTCGTCGTCGTCGAGTTCGTTCGCGAATAATAAGCATTTATGAACTGCCTGCACCTGCGAAAAGGCGCGGAAGCGTGAAAGCGAAGCATGACAAGAAATCAGAAAAACGCGTGCCGTCGTTTCAAACTCAGACAAACGCGTTGTTTGTTGACGAAATCCGTGGGAAATCAAGGGGATTGCCTTCTTTGTTTTGTGACCGCGTCTCCGCTCCGCGTCGTCGACGACAGCGACCAGGCCCCACTATTCTCCGACTTCGATGCCCACTTCAGCAAGGAAAAGCAGCTTGGGTACCGCACGGCGCGCCCTTCAGAAAGCTCATATCCCGTACCGAGGCGATAATCCAAACGTCGGCAAGAAGACCGGTATCGCTGTTCAGCATGTCGAACGAAAGTCGGACGGATTCGAGCCATTCGACGAGGTGATAGGTCAGGCAGATGGTCGGACGCCGCCCAGACCAAAGGGAAAGAGAAAGAGCATAGCCTACGATGATGATGAGGACGATGACGACGAAGAGGAAGAGGAGGACTATGACGACGAGTATGGAGAAATGTCCATGGATGTCGATAGTGAGTCGCCCGCCATTCTACGTTCAAGTCGAGGTGTAACAACGTTCGGTCAGGCCCGGTACAGAACATTGCGAGACTGCGACCACCAGCGACGCCTAATGGACGCTCGTCTTCACGACCGGTGGCACGGAGCACGAGCGTTGACTTTGACAAGATTCCTTCACCACGGGGACGGAGTATGGCTCATGGGGGCGCTGGTCCGTCTCGATTGCGACGGTCTATTCTTCCAGAAGAGCGGGAGCCAAGCTCGGAACCACATGAGGAATACGAAGACGATGGTGGCATGCAAATGGATGCTGGCGGCTATGACGACTATCCTGCAGAGAGTGATCCTTCCCCTCAGAAGACTAGCTTCACCCAAATCGATCAAGACGACGATGACGACGACGACGACAACGAAAACTTCCCCTTTCTCGACGAACCTCAGGATGAACCACAGGATGAGCCTCAAGATGAAGACCCAGTGGAAACTCCGAAGAAAAACAAGGGGAAGGGCAAGGCGCGTTATGAGTCTGTTCAGCCGGAGGAAGAGGAGGAGGTAGAGGCGGAGATTGCACAAGGGTTGGATGAGCTGGACCATGCTCAGCATAGCGAGGAGGAAGAGGAGCCTACACCGCAACCCAAGAAGAAAAAAGTGAAGATCACGGAGCAGGAACCGCCCAAGACGAAGAGCAGAGGGAAGAAGGAGAATCGACGTGAGTTGAAAGAAACTCTTGAGTGTGCTTTGTCTGACTTGAGGACGTTAGCTGTACGAGACGGTGTGCGCAGAAGTGCTCGTGAGCACTATAAGCCGTTAGAGTGGTGGCGAGGCGAGAAGGTCGTTTACGGTCGCCCAGACTTCTCCCAATCCCAACCTGTTCTTGTCCCACATATCCGCGAAATCATTCGAATACCGAAGGAGCAGCCAGAGCCCTTGACCAGTAAACGTAAGAGAGGTCGCAGTCGGAGTCGGACGGTCCAACCTCAGCCTCCACCCCCCAATCCCAATCTGGAGGAAGGCTGGGACGACGAAACTGAGCCTGATGCCACTGTTCTCGATTATCGACGTGGTCAAGAGATGATGAAACGTGCGTGGTTTCATTTCCTTCCTTGTGGTAAACTCACCTTTCCGCCCAGGTATCGCTTGGACGGCGAAGATGGTTAATCCGAAGCAAGTACCGAATGGCGATTGGGCATATGAGAAGATTCTGTGGGACGATGACTTTATTGCGGCTGGCCAGCTAGTCATCCCGCCAAAGTGCCGGAAGCCAAGCAAAGCCACGAAGGATAACACCTATGTGCGTATTCCCACTGAAGCCGTTGTCGCTGTGACTGAATTGGTAGTAGATCTTCTACGTTATCGAGGGCGCTGTCAACCTGAAGATCCACGATACCTCGCTAGTACTGGCTTCTGGAGCGATGTTTATGGTTCCTCGAGGTGTGTTCCAGCTCTCGACTGCTGCATGCCGGAGCTAACCGAGTCACAGGAAATACTTATTTCATCGAGAACATCTCACAACGGGCTGCAAAGCTCTTCTTCACCCAGGCCCGCAAGACCATGAACGACGAAGAGGAACGTGTTGTAGCATTAAACAATCGTCAGAAACGGAAGGCCAGGCGTTCATCGAGTGCAGGGCCTTTATCCGGTCGAGCCGAATCAACCGCTCTTGTTAATGGAGATTCGACTCCTGCCCCGAGGGGTGCCTCAAGGGCCTAAGGCCTAACGCTCGGCATACGATATACCTCCCATCTCTGGTCATTTCTCCCACTTTCACACCATTTTCGCTTTCAGTAGTAGTCTCAAGTTATCATTATTTCAATTCAAGGCAGTATGTCCAAATTCCCGTCACTCTGAATGTGTCATTGACTTTTGCCCACAGAGGACCACATGTATTTTATAGTAATAACCAATGTAGCATGGCTTCAAAACCTTTTCTTCATTTCATTCAGACCGCTATCAAAGTCATCGTTCGTCTCTCAAGGACTAGAGAACGGATGATGGTGTACCTGCGGCCATACCGGGGAGCTCGGGTTTTCACCGCTTATATTTCCCTCCGATGTCCAGCCCAATTTGGTCCCCCAGTTGTCGAATGGCGATGTCGTCTCAGCTGTGATGCAATCCCCGTGTTATCTGCGATTGGCTATAAGGCAAAGATTGCTATTCCAGGCTTCTCAGCGTACCCTTCGATGAAGAGATTGACGTCCTAGGTATGAAAGCCTTCCTAGAATGCGAGTTTGCTCAACTGATACCCAGCTTTCTAGCGGCATGCTGTCTTTTCTTGAATACGTGTGTTATGCAATGTCCTGTCCCTTTTTACAGCAGTCGACGCTCAGGTGTCCATACCTGATAATAATCTGATTCATTGGATCCGATTGGTCTCGCGAGAAACAACAACCTCGCCGCTTTGACCTCACCCATAGAGTCAATGGGATTCCGAAGATATTTATCACATTACTAATTCACGTCCCGCATGCACACCTTCTCCCCTCCTCACCACCGCACTGCCGCGGTCTTTGTTTCTTTCCAGTCCCATCCATCGTTGCGCTCAACGTGAATCCGCGTCGACGCCATGTCCAACAGGACGCGATGGGTCGTCGTGGACGATGATGACCCCAGCTTCCAGTTCACCGGCGACTGGATGGTTAGACGCGACCCTTTTGCGGGATATCGCGGTTTTGGCACCACCTACCGCGGATCCCAACATGGTACCAACACCAGTGGCAACCTGACGTTTTCTTACATTGGTGCGTTCGTCCTTCCTTCTTCTGCTTCTTTTTCTCCTCGAAATTGACGTTTTCTTTTTTGCTATGATTGATCCTGTCATATATTCCCTATAGGCAAGGAAATCGTGCTGTATGGAACCAGCGCGGTAGCCAGAAACTCGAACGACGACGGCTGGACACCTGAATGGCATTGCCAGATCGACGGCGAGCCGGTAGTAGTGGAAAACTCGTATCCAGGACCGGCGAACAACTTCCCTCTGTGCTCCTGGGATGGTCTCTTTGGGCGGGGCGACTTTCATACTCTATTTGTGAACGCCACAGCGGGGGACGGTGGTGTGTTTTGGGTGGATTCGATACGGTATCGTCCGGAATATGACGCGAGGTTGGAGAAGCCGACAGTGTTGATTGAACATACGGATCCTAGTATCATGTATACGGCAGGGAATTGGCAGACAATAACGGATAGTCATGGGGATGCGATTTTGGCTATGCAGCCTGGGTCGGCGCTTGGGGTTGCTTTTACAGGTGCGTGCCCGCTTTCTGGATGAGAGGTCTATGCTTACATGTATCTGTTTTGCGACCTAGGCACTAAACTCACTTGGGTCGGTTGGACGCCGGACAACTATCCGAGGGGCAACTCGACGGGGACCTACTCACTGGACGGCGGAGAGCCTGTAACATTCGACATACAAGGCCTTCCATCAACCTATACGCTTCGAAACCAGTACTACTTTGAACTGGAAGATCTCGAGCCTGGCGTGGAGCATACATTGGTGGTAGAACATAAAGGGTCCTCCACTCCCCTCGTGCTCGACTATCTCCTAGTCGAAGAAGGTGATTTCCGGATGCCAACGAATCCTACAAAAGTGACGCCCTCGATGGACGATTCTTCGCCTTCGTCGAGTGCACGCGTGTCCGAACCTGCCCATCATTCCAAGGATAAGCCGCCGGTTGGGGCGATAGTAGGGGGGGTTATAGGCGGTTTGGCCCTCATCGTCATCCTCATTTTAGGTATCCTCTTCTACAAGAGGCGGTCGAGACGCCACAATGCTGTGAATGGAACGCCCTTACCTCCAGCACCATACACCGAAGTTCCCGCCCATAACTCCATCCACCCTCCACCTTTACCGCCAGCTCATCCGATCATGACCACCAGCCACACACAAAGCGCATCACTCAGCAGTATGCCGCTCATGCACCAAACGAACCCGAGCGCGCAATTCACGGACGATAGCATGGCTCAAGCGAGCATCGTCCAACCATTCATCATCTCTCAAGCGTCGTTGTCCAACACCAATCTGAGCGCGGACAGGGACGTCAAGCCGTCGAGGTTATCACCTCTGCGGAGAGGCCAGGTCCTGGATGCGGCGGATAATATCGTTCCGTTCACGCCTAGTGATACGACTGCGAGCTCGTATTCTGTTCCTTCTCAGCCTGCCAACAACAATCCTGGCGGGTATCAATCGATGCCACAGGGTCTTGGGCAGCATAATCCTGCGCATGCGTTTTATGGGGCGGGTGTGGCGGCTGCTGGTGGAGGTGCGAATGTGGATGTGGTTGTGCATCAGGATAGTGGGTTGCGGATACCACCGAGGCCTGTGGTGAACTTGCCGCCGGTCTATACGCGGGAGTGATAATCCTGCGGGTGGGATGAGGGATAGGTACTTGCTTGCGTATGATTATCATCTTTCTGGATTGGATGGTTCTGGTTTTTGTGCTTGACATCATGTTATACCTCTCGTTTTACTCTTGCTTCTCGTCAAGAACTATATACTTTCCTTCATTGATTCCCCCTCGTTTGCATGTCTCTTTGCTATTCCACTGTAATTTATCATGAGCTCTTGTATTGTACTCTGTTGTACCTTCTCCGTGGATATTGAAGTGGGATTCTTTTGATCGTAATTGGTGTAAATCCTCGACGATTACAGTCCATTTGACCGCATCTACACTGGCAGCATTTAGGGTCAGATATAGATACACGATCGACGGTACGAAGTCTTTCATGCGATTCTGAAGTGTTGGCACGGTAACTCTCAGACCCCGGGAATAAGCGCCCAAACCCTAAGCAGTTTTCTTGACGGACGAAGTCTACGACAGAGTCAGAATTTAGAATTTAGAATTTAGAGCGGATATAGAGAAGTTCAGGCACTTACAGGCACCCATCCACGGTGTCCGCCCGCTTCCTTGACGATCTAAAGCCCCAGAGGCATCAGCTCGAACCCTCCCTACAAGTCGAACAAAGAAACTCGAGGTACATACATAGTATAGTACCAATCGTTATACTCCTTGAACACCCGGGCGAACTCGCCTTTGGCCATATCGACTTCCTCCTCACCCTGCTTCCTGTAATCTACCAATGCTATCCCGGGCGAGCTGGGCGAGATGAAGCTCAACGGCAAGATGGGGCTCTTGCCATCATCGTGTCCAGGTTCAACCGTGCTCGCAGCCTCAGCATCGGCGATGGCGGTAGCTATGGGTATCCTCGTTTCAAGCAGACAAAAGTCGGGTACACGTCCCGTTTTGGCGTTACCACTTGTGTCGACAATGCCTGTGCCCGTAGGATCCTCTTGGACGATCCACCATCCTTCGGTTCGGGATAGAATGATGAATGCATCGCCACTGCAGGAGCCATTAACTAGAGCAAATCGAAAGGAGGGAAGTGGGTGATACATACACGGCGACGTATGGAGCTTCATCGTCTGAATCGCCTACGTGGGGGTAGATAGCGACTGCGTAGGAGATGGTGTTTGGATCGTCCGAAGACCCGCCGCCTCCTGCTGAATCCTTTCCGGCCGCGGTCTGGGATGAATTTATTGGGTTTGAGGTAGGGTCTGAGTCCAACGTCATCGCTGTGTCATTCGATTTGGACATTGTTGGTGGGATTAGGGAGAGAGAGCCTGAGGGAGCCTGATGTCGATGGAGGTTATATAACCAATGTCATTCTCGCGCATGTCAGTACGCATGCCTAGAGGATGAGAGCTAGAATGGTTGGATTGAACTTCCAATGGAACCTTATCGTCTCTTTGAAGGGTCTGATGGTGGCAGCGAACCCGTATGATCTCCGAGATGTACTTATCTCTGACATTTTACAAGGAATCCTGTGGACCGCTTGATTGTTAGCACCGGCGTTATCGTACAATGTTGCGTACAAGGTTACAGGAGGGACCAGGAACATACAGATGACATAACGTTGAGTACACTTCAAAACTGGTCGTACAACATTGCTGAACCGCATCCAAAATCAAAGGTTATCCGGGAGGGCATAAGCGGTAGTGACCTTATCCCTATTAACCGCCCCCGGAACGACGGACGTAACATCCTCCGTAATCACAGTCGACGATCCCCAATGGATAGTGCTCGAGCTGGACCAGCTGCGGCCAACGGGGGACCTAGTCAGCCCATTGCCGATTTGATAGCACGCCTCACCCTGGCCCTCCCAGATGAAGGAGAAGCGGGTGTAGTTGTGGCTGAAGGAGACGGCCCATTTGGTGACGCCTGTGTTTTCGGTGGGGATGGCGCCGATGACGCTGCGGAGGTTGTTGAGACCACCCCAGGTGAGGAGGGTGAGTTTTCCGGGGCCGCGGGTGATGATGAAGAGCTCGCTGCCGGTGTGAAAGATGGCCATTGTGGTTGTGGTTGTCTGCGTGGGGGGTGTCAGAAGTGGAAGGGATATCAAAGGAGAGAGCGTACAAGTTACTTGGTGAGAGCAGTGAGGGGTTGTAGTAGCTTCCGTTTGGTTGCTGAAGACTGAAGGCGGGTACCTCCCCGGATTTATACCCTGGGGCGTCCTTCATCATGTGCCGCAGAGTTCCAAGGAGGGATTCTTCATCAGGTCGGCGACCCACCGGAGGCGAAGTACAAGGTCGCGAGCGTCGATCCTCCAGTCAAAGTGCAGTAACTCGGAAACTCCGCCGAGTATATGGCCACATAACGCCGCCTTGAGCAACGAGATGGAAGCTGGAGCTATTCTGGGAGACGTGAAGCCTGGTCAGGTGTCTCGCGGCCATACGGTTCATCATGAAAGTGACTTCAAGAGAGGGACAAAGTGCCAAGAATAGGCAGATATAGACGCTGTTCATTGACCAAGGGACAGACAGTTAGAGTTGTCGCAAAGCTGGGCCGCCATAGTAGAGTTACGTTTCCCTGAGTCGTGGCAAAAACGAAGCACCGAGCAGAAGTTAATTTTCTCGCCATGTTGACAGTTAATGATCCCTGAACAGGAGCTGAACGAAAACCTGGGTGCAGAGGAGGACGGGCATGGTTGAAGAAATAAAACGCGTTGGGACAATGGACTGTGAGAGCAATATCCCATTTATGGGATCGGAGTTTGAAGAATAACACGTCGACAAGGAGAGGCAAGTTCGCATTTTCGACTGACGACTACCCTTTCATCCTTATTTCTTTTCGTCTTTATCGACACCATGGCTTTAAGCTTCATCGGGTATGTAGTGCTGAACTACAGACCTCGCAAACGCTCAAATATCGTATAGAAAGACGATTTCTCTCATCTCGCATTCAGATGTTCGATATAGAGGCATTCTGGCGGGTATCGACCCCCAAGCCTCGACGATCTCCCTGCAGAATGGTGTGTGCCACAGTTCGGTAGACACTTTGAAAGACGTGACTGACGATATACCCTAAACCAGTCTATTCAATGGGAACGGAATCGCGACGGTATGTTCATCCTCGTGCTGAAAAATTACTCGCCAAATCTGACTGCGATAACCAGGCCTCCAGCAGAATATATCCCCCCTGCACCGGATCCATATGCGTTCATTGTATTCAAAGCTGCAGAAGTGAAGGACTTGTCGGTCGACGAACAGCAGATGCCGCCGCCACCCCGTCGCCCGCTCGATGACCCCGCAATCATGGTAAGCTACCTGCCCATCTGTCGTTCCCCATTCCTTTTGGCTCTGTGATGAAGCACTACGGATGTAAAATCATTTCTGTCCGAGATGCGCATAACTCCCCGTGTGGATACTTCCGTTGCCTTCCTTCTGAGGCCCATTCTCGTCTTTCTGACTCTTTGTTGTGAACCCAACTCTAACCTTTGTTTCCTAGTCTTCTGCACCTTTGAACGCGAATGCCTATGCTCCTTACGCACCGCCGGCGCCCACCGCGATTCCCCCGCAGCATCAGCAGCAAGTTCCCCCCGGTTACGCTCCTCGACCTCCCCAGCCCGTCCAACAGCTCCCGCCCCAGGCACAACAACAACCCCTCCAACAAGCTCCTCCTCCCCAGCAACAGCAATCCCCCGCTCCTCCTGCAACCGCTGCCCAAGTCGCCGCCGGAACCACGGGCCAAGCTCCTGCCCTTGATGCCTCTCGTCCTCCCCAGCAGCAGCAGCAGCAACAACACCAACAGCAGCAACAACAACCCCGCCGCCCCAACGCCGTCCAAACCGCCGCAGCGTCACTGGAAACCGTCGAACGCGCCCTCGGCGACCTTCGCGTCTCCAACGGCACCACCGTCGCCACCGCCGCAGCTGTCGTCACTCACCACAACCACACTGGAGGGCGCGGCGGACGTCGTGGCGGCGGCCCTCGCAATGCCCGCGGCGAAGGAACCCACGAGATCAAGGTCCCCAAGACCGACTTTGATTTCGAGTCGATGAACGCTAAATTCGATAAAGCCGCTTTGGCTGCCGCTGTTGGCCCCAAGGATGCATCGAATGGACCTCTGAGCGCCGCTGCTGCTGGAACTAACGGTGGTGGTACCGCTGCTGGATCATCCGATGGTGCACCTGCTGAGGGTGCTGCTGAAGGCGAGCAGCAACCCGCCAAGGAGAAGGGACCCGTTGCGTATAACCCCAAGACCTCGTTCTTTGACACTCTTTCATCCAATACTGCTCCTGAGCAGGGTGGAAGGGGCGGTGGACGCGGTGGACGCGGTCGAGGTGCCGGTCGTAACAGGCGAGAGGAGGAGAGGGAGAAGAATGTGGCTACTTTTGGCGAGCCTGGTGGGTTGGGCTTGATGGGTCCTGGTGCTTATGTTGGTGGATGGGGCGGATACGGAAGGCGTGGTGGAGGCCGGGGTCGTGGACGAGGTGGACGTGGTGGAGGACATGCTGCCAGGGACAACAACCAGGCTATCCCTGCTCGTGGATGAATGCTGGAGTTCTGATGTGATAGCCCGCGTTTTTGCTTTTGACCTTGGTTGATGGTTAGGGAGTATCTTCTTACCTTCCCTTTTTGAAGTTTTCGTGGTCGTTCGAGGTTTTGGCTTTGTTCTTAGCTTCAGAGTACGTATTTGTACGCGGGCTCGTTTGTTGTAAGTTGCCGAGTCGATGATTCCATGTTCTGTGTTTTTGGTACGCCCTCGATATCGAGAATTCTGTGTGTACCACCATTTGTGCTTCGCCACCCCACTCATCCGTCCGAAGGGACTAATTAAATGTACAATTCTTCTGTTGAACGTGGGGTTCAGGATACAAACAGGCTCGTCTAGTAAGGAGTGGCTAGGGATACATATCGATGAGGATAGAGGGAAATATATGTTACACAGAGAGTCCAGACAAAATGTGTACTCCGAAGTCAACTCGGATTGGAAATAGGAAGAAGTGACATTTCAATAACGTATTAGGCGTATCAAAACCGTCCAAAGGGGCATAAAAACTCGTAAGAAGAAGCTTCGGGTTCGTTCAAAATCATTCCAAGAATCCAAAGGGATGTTAGCGGCAGTGCCATTCAGCGACGTCGATGCTCTTCATCGTCCCCATCCTCAGGCTCAAACACCAACTCCGCTCTGCGTCGTCGATGCCAAGGGGGGACAGGGAGGGGGGTAAACGTCGCTTCGACATACGAGGGTTTGCGAGGGTGGACTACATCTTCTTGACCGTAGTGGTCGTTGTTATACCCAAATCCGCTCTGCCCATAGACGTACGATGGGGAAGCCGGAGTCGCCAGAGTCGTCTTGCTCCTCCTGCGACCCAGTCGACTGGGAGGTTCGGGCGGGCAGAGCAAGGCGGATGCGCGACGGGTAGCGAGGAATTCGCCGAGGTTGTGGACTGGGCGGGGGTTTCGGCGGTTGCGGTCCCTGTCGTGTTCGCGGTCACGGTCACGGTCTTGGTCGTGGTACTGCTGTTGGCGATGGTGGTACTTTGAAGCGCGAGGGGTTTCGAGGTCACTTTGGAACGGGTTGGTGAACTCGGGAGTATGGGACTGGTATTGCTGCGATGCCTGGAGAAATAGGTACCTATTTAGTCGGATTGAAGTAGAGTGAAACGGGAAAGACGAACATACCCTGATCGTATACTCAGTCTGAATGGAGAGTTTCCTGAATGAAGCAGAAGCGGGTGTCACCTCGTCCTCGGATACGTAGAGGGTGCTATCCGACTCGAGACCGGACTCTCCGCTGGACAAGACGCTTAATTCAGAGGAAGCGCGAGACATGGCTGGGCTCTCGCGTCCGAAGCTGCCGGTGTAGACGGTGGTGAATGAGGCCAAGGACGGGGAGCTAGTATGACCATGGCCATGGCCACGAGACATCTGCGACAGAGGAGAGGGAGTGGCAACACTATCCGACGACGAGCGAAGGAAGCTCTTCTTCCTGTTGCGCATCTCTCCTTCACTCTGGTTCGCGTTCCGATTGTTGGCGCTGTCCTTCCGGAAGTTCAACGACAACATCTTGCGAAGGAACGCGCCCCCGCCATGTGGACTCATGTCGGAGGAGGTCTTCGATGTCTTTGCTTTCGTCGATCGAGTGGCGTACTTTCGGAAAAAGTGGGGTGGGACGGGGAGAGGGAGGGATGTTGTCGATGTGAACGACGGGAATGAATCGGAGGATGTATTGGGTGGGCCAAGTGGGTAGATACTTTGTAAGTTGGCGAACGATGCTGAAGCTTCTGGTATCGCGGTTGTTGAAGTAGTAGAAGTAGAAGTTGTAGAGCGGCTCTCCCGCTTGGAAGAATACGGATACAAGTTCATTTTGGATAATGATTGCTTTGTGATGTCACAAAGGCCGGAGAAGAAAGCGAGGATGGGGGCAAGGAGGGAGACAAAGCCTAAAATGACCCCACGGAATCGGGAGGGTAGGGTCTGGTGATAGGCGGCGGGTTTAGAATCGTCGTTCCAAGTTGAATGAGGATTGAAACTGAGATTGGGTGAGACGCTGATAGACGTGGCGATGTCCCGTTCAGAATAGGTGGGGAGTGAATAGGAATCGTGCATCCAAGAGGGCTGAGGGAGAAGACTGGATTTGTGGGCTTTTCGTGTTGAACTTCGTTCGGCGGGGCTAGGAAGGGCGGAGAATACCGAAAGGGGCAATGGTCTGTCAGAATCAGAAAGAGGGTGGCACAAAGGAATGGAGGGTGGTGAGGGCTTCGCGGTATGGAAAGCACCCGCTTTAGGCTGTGGAAAGGGGATGTGCTGGGGCGCTGCCGCAACGGAGGATGAGAAAGGATCCTTGGGGGATATTCTCCAGTGTACCCTTTTCTAGGGAAACCTGAAGCGATGTTGGCGATCGGACGTCGCCTCTGCGCGTCAAGGCCCTACAATTGACCCTCCATCCCTTTATTATACGATACCGAGACCTAGCAACCGCACATGTCAAGGAGGGTGTAGTAAGATGTCGTCGTTGGGATGACTCCCGACGGCGAGGTCTAGTGTACGCCTCGAGGCAACCCACACGAAGACAATAGGGCGGAACCCTGATGGGCGTGATGCCGCCAAATGAGACAAAAAAAAGGGTCGAAGAAGCCTCGAGTGAGTATTATCAGGGTCATCGGAGAAAGATATTCCGGGTTCTGAACAGTTTACGACATCGAAGATGTGCGTGTTACTCCTGGCTGAGGCGAGACAGCGAAGCGCGAGGAACAATAGGGGGTCGAGCTTCGCGGGCGTGATCCTATGTAGACCTGCGACATTCTGTAGGTGGGTCAAGTCAGAGGCGTGGCGAGAATGATGTGAGTTTATTCTAGAAAGACAGGCTCACTTCTGAAGTTGAATAGGACTTCCAGTCGATACTTGGAGTCAAGTCGATGGGGTGACGGGCCAATTAGCGGCTGACCGGCCCAGCCCCCACGGGCAGCCATCTTTGTACCAGAATTAGCGGCGAACATAGCTGGAGAGTGTGCCAGAGATAAGCTGGAATGCAAGGAAAACACGAAAACACTCACAACTCATTCAGACTGCAATCATGTATAGAACGGGTCAGTCAATACTCCATAAACTGTGTGATTTTGGACGGTGTTTTGGGTTTTGGGATTCTATCTTCCTCTGGTATTACTTTTCAAGATAAAGCGGGCAGAAAGATCAGTGCACAGTTGGCATTCGGGTATGAGGGTGGTGGCCATGGTCATGGTCGTCGAGGTTAAGGCGACGCAGGATGAACGGATCAGCGGGGCCTGACGCGGAATTCCCACGAGCCGAGACAGAGTTCTGCACCTTCCCGCTCGTTCGCTCCTTACCTTGTTCGGATATTCCCTAGTTTCATCGAAACCAATCCATCCGCGATTTCTTTCCCAATGACAATGCTATACGAGCAAAAAGGCTCGATTCTCCTCCCATTCTCCGAATGGTCACGAGGCTAGAAGCACTCGCTCTGATCTTTTGTCACTCTCATCGGATCCATCATCGCCGACAACGATGGATACCCCTAATCCTGACCCTCGCCTCACTCCGTACACGCTCAACAACGACTTGTTACCCGAAGACCTCATCCCAGTTCTATCTTCATTTCTCCATGCACTGCACGAAGCACGTCTCAGTATCGAAAACCCCGTTGCATTATTGCCTGCAGGTGCAAAGGAAAAGGCGCAACAACACGACACCTCTACAACCGGCCTAGTCGCAACAGAATCAGGTCCAGCTGTGAAGAAAATACAGGCGCTGCAGGCCCAGTACAGCGTTATCCGGGCCCCCATTCGTTCCTTACCCACTGAACTCATCCCTACCATCTTCTGCTGGGTATTGGAATTGAAGAAGCACGATCACCTGGATCTATACGGACGTGACTACCCCGAAACAGACCCCTTCACCTTCAACCTCCTTCGAAGAGTATGTCGAACCTGGAATCAGGTTGCGATCTCCACGTCAGTGCTTTGGAGAAGCCTTGAATTGGACCTCGAACGTTGGGTTATGGACATCGAAAACCCAAACGCCCTTTCCAACTTTGTCGAAACGTGGTTCAATCGTGCAGGCTCCGGTAACCCGCCACTCAGACTTTCAATCCTCTCCGCCTACTCTCCGCTCTTTTCAGAGCTTTCCTGCGAGCAAAAGGACATATTTATCTCCCAGATGCGATCCATTCTCACAGCCCGGAGGAACTGGTCGGAGTGGTACGTGGACGGCTGTCCAGCCTGGATGGCGATTCTCAATTTGGGGGGGCTGGACGGGGCGTTTATGGGATTGAATCTGGAGGACGATGGTCCTCGGCCATGGGACAACCTGAGACGGCTCAGCATCGATTTATCGGAGACATCCTCGTGGAGTCGAGAAATCAATGGATACGGCCTGTTCATCCGCCCCTCTCCTTTGCCGAAGTTGGAATCCCTTTGTATCAGCTATCGACTTACATACCTCTGGATATCGGCGGAATCCAACTACGGTGCTTTCTTGCACTATCCGACCAGCCTCCGATCACTCCATCTCTGCGGGTCCCCGTATTTCCTTCCAGCTTCCCTGGCCAACTTCCCTAGTTTGGAAGAGTTGATACTGGAGCCCAGGGATTCAACCAGTTTCGGGTTCTGCTCGGAGTTCCTGGAATCAGAGCCTGTTGTGCTTGACGGTCTCAAGCGCCTTGTCTTGGTAGGGTCGGCGGTCGATGTGCATTATCTGAAGCGCGTCCTGCCCACTCTCATCCTTCCCTCTCTACACCTCTTACGGTTCGTTCAGGTCACCCATCCTGCCGAGCCAGGTTTGGCTTCTAATTATATGCCTCCCGTGGACCCTCGGGAGGATTCCGAGGACGATGTCAGCGGGGAGTCGGCAGCGGTGCTGGTGGGTCGGCTCCTGTCACAAAGCCAGGACGACGCCTTAACACTCTCGTTCGAAGACAGCGGAATGCCATGGTTGGCTATCCGCGATCTCCTGGTAGACCTCAATCAATCCGGTTCATGCAACATCCGACACCTTCGAGTCGATAATCTCTCGTGCGGCGAGGGCGCGGAACCAGCATATTCTTCAATCTCGAAGATCGCGACATTGGAGAGTATAGCATGTAGGAGTGACTTGGATTATGGGGAGCATCACTTTGACTGGGATGCGTTTTTCGAGCGGGATTCATCACTCCCTCTTCCCATTCTTCATCTATCAGACGCCGCTTGCGACCCTGGGACACGGTGGTATAGGGAGTGGAAGCAGAGGAAGTGCAGTGTGGAAATTCAGTTCCACGGCAAAGGGGAGCTGGATTCCCTGTTTGACTACGGAATTGTTGGGCACCAACACGAGTGGGCGCTTGAGTTTCATAGAAGGAAGGCGGAGAGACGGGAGGCCTGGAGATGGCATGGTATGTAAATTCTGGACTGGGTTGGTTCATGTCATCGACAGCGTCCCTTGTAACGTCCGAGTCTGCTGCAGATTTGATTTAAAGTGGGCACTTTACTACTAACTAGGAATAGAGCTTTCTTTATTAAACGCTTTGGGTTATGTAGAAGGAATTTCCACGATTCGTTGGATACAGCCCTAAGAGAGTCGTTTCCAGTCTCTCCCCAGCAGTAAACGCGTCTAGACTGAGGACAACCTATATTGATGCCATCAACGTGGATTTCCCACGGCGTTCGACCAGTGAATTTCGCGTCGTCAACGAAATTCTCTTGAACTTTCGTCATCTTCGTCTTGGTCAACCATGTCCATCAGATTTCTGTTCTCTCAACGTTCCAGACCTGAAACCTCTTGATCCACCCTCGGCTTCACCGCGTTGTTCGTAAATGTAAAACCCAAGATCTCTGGAGTCTGGACTACCCTAATGAAGTTTAGCTTTCTTCCTTCAAGTTCTGGACACGCACGCGCACATTGACGCGAAACTCAGCAGATACCCCGGCTTTAGGACTTTTCTGGTCTTACTGGCACAAAAAGCGCGTTCGTATGCAGCACAACTCTCGAAATTTCGACATTCGGGTCCATTGTTCTGGGTCAGCACCCAGCACCAGACCTGGACACCTGTAAGCTTGACAAGCGCACTGCTTTGCTCTCAGGCTGCGTATTGAATGGGAGGCGTTACCGCTTGAGTGCGCTTGGAAAGGCGTAGCGGATCTTGACTCTCAATTGGTTCTCAACGAAGGTTCATTCTGCAACGCCCTTTGTGGCAATCCGGTGTGTGTCTATGGCGTAATGGCTCACGGCATTTCTATCGCAATGTATGCCACAAGCCAATTGCTCTGGAAAGTATTCACCCAGCATTGTGTTTCTCGTCCCATTCCTGTATTTCGTGACTCACAAAGACTTGCGTAGAGTCAACGTCCCGTCAGATTCCTCACCATCAGAAGACTTGCTATTATCATCGGGAAACAACATTATCTGTTCTTCCTTTTCCGCAAATGATACAGTCTGTGAAGACATGACTGAGGGCACGGAGGATGCCGTCATGATGTCGGCGATTCCGTCTCTCTGCCAATTGCGTTGCGTTGAGGTTCATGTGCAAAGTTCAATGAGAAGGCAGGTGCGTACGAACCAAATGAGCATCTCAGCAGACGTCATGATTGAAGCTTGCCTCGTTACCAGAGTGGCTGAGCTACGTATGTTCTCAATGATCTTCAGGGTGTTTGTATCGTGATATCCAAGTGGTACCGCTCGGCTGTACACACCGCCCGATGCTTATTTTTGGTGAGGAAGGCAGAGATGACAGTGTTTTTGACTTCCCTTCGCTCTTGTGCGACATCTCATACCATTCCAACGCTCGTTATCCCTCTTTTCCGCACTTCCTTCGCTGCCTCCGCCTCTCCTCAGCCGTTGAGGAGGAGAGGGGAGGGTCTCGAAAAGGTAAAAGTGGTTACATAAGAAGACGTTGCCTTACGGGGATTGGACTGTTTTGCTGTGCCTTCACGGTAAACAGTCCGATGGAGGCTTTACTCTTTTCATGCCTTTGCGGCGTGCAGGGACCAGCTTCGACCATAACCAACCAACCCGTTTCATTCGCTCTTTCTGTCTCTCCTTTTTAATCCCTCCTGCAGGAACCGCCCAAGGACCCTGCCGGCTATTACTGACCGCTCATTCCACACCTATAGCAGCACGTCATGGCTGAGTGCTCCTCCAGTCCTACCCTTACGTCGACCATCCAGGACGTGGGCCAGGTCGTCTTCACCACCACAATCGAGACCGTCACGACGCCCGAACCTGAACTTTCCACCAGCTTAGAAGTGACAACTGTCTGCTCCACCAATTCGACATCCCCAATCTCGACCTCATGTTCCACCAGCACCATTACCGAAATCATCACAATACCGGGTAGGTGCGACGAATGCGCAGTTGGTGATTTCTGCTGACCTTGCAACAGCGGACCCGATAACGACGTTCGTCACCGAAGTAACGTCCACGCCGACCACCAGAGAAGTGCCGACGACGCTCTTTACCACCATATGTCCTCCCGACGTTGATCCTCCGCCGCCGCCACCTTCGTCACCGCCCCCTCCCCCTCCAACCAGCGATGATAATAACCAGTCCTCCTATACACCGCCTCCAACCTCTCCTTCGAGCGGCTCTGCGGGTGGGTCAAGCACCGGGTCATTGGGTGACACATCAGCAAGCTCTGCTCCCACTGACCTCAGCCAAGACGACGGGGGCGGCGAGGGGACCAACGTAGCACCCATCGTTGGAGGCGTGATTGGCGGGTTCGTCGGTCTTGTCGCGATCGTGATGATAACTTGGTTCTTCATGTGCGCAATCTTGATAATTATCTTTCGTGATCAATGTGCTGACCTGTGGCATGCGCATGCGTGCAGTAAAAAGAGCACTGGCTCTGGGCGGTTCGACAGGATGTTTAACAAGGGCCTCGAACTTGAGGATGATATTCAGCCGACTGGCCATCCCGAGAAACCATTCCCGCCAAAACCTGGGGCAGGTCAATATGGCTACAATCCCGTCAGTCAAGAACCGATAGGCCATGGTCCCAACTCTGGTGGATTGCACAACCAAGGGGGCTTTGGTCAATACCAAGATACCGCGTACCACCCGAACGCTCCTCAAGGTCAAGGACCTCACGATATGTTCACCAATAGCACCGGTTATCAGCCTGGCGGCAACGAGTACAACCCTTACTCTCCTGGTGAATCGCATCACGTTCGGACGCCGTCTGCTGCACCACTCCTCGGTGGGCTAGGGGCTGCAGCCGCAGCAGCGACAGGACACGCTGTCGCAGGAAGCTCATCACGTCCATCAACGAATAGTGGCCGGCCTTCAACCGGTGGTTCCATGCAGCCGCTTCTTCAGCACCAACAGGTTTACGGTCCAGTGTCTAATTACGATAACGCTCCACCTTCTGGATATCCATCGAATCACGGCCAACATCCTCCGCAAGGTTTCTCGTATCCGCCAAGCTCTAATCTGTCGCATTCGCTGAGCGCGGGCTCGTCCTCTGCTGGCGCATCGTCTGTGTCGCCGTATGGCCACGGTCCCTACGTTCAGCACGGCGTGCCCCCTCCCGGTATCGCGACAACCATGGCTGGTGGACTCCATCAGCGCGACGAATCCGTCACTTCGGTCGGTCGTTCGGGTAGCCCGGTTAGCATCCAGAACACTCAGGTACTGCAAGTCATGAACCCGGAGCCTTCGAATTACGGTGAAGGTTCATCGAGTGGGGCTGCTGGTTCTGGGTCTGGAACTGCTACTCAGTACGATGGCAAAGGTAGACCTGTGAACACCAGAGGAGAGAAGGCACCTATTGTACACCTTGATGGTGGAAGGTACGAGGAACCCATCGCGCCGGCTGAAGGGACAACCCAGCCTTCTTCTGGACCTGCGCCTCCTGCCTACTCTCCGTCATGAGCGTTACCCACCCCTTTCCACTCTGCACGGCATTCGTCAAAATAGCATATTCACGACACCTTCACGCTCTGCATTTCTATCTGTTTCTGTTTAGCGTTCTCATAGCCCACCCCCTTTCTATGTCCTTTCGCACCTTCGACGCCTCAGTACCGTAGTACCCTTTCATCTATCCATTCCTTCTTACCTTCTTTTTAATATGCTTGAATCTACCTGGGCCTCATTGATGAACGGACTATGGACAACACTGGACTTCCCCTTTCCTTCCATTCCATTCCAACGTACAGTCACTACTTCCATTACTTATCTACTCTCCCTCACTATCGTCCATTTACCTCACGCTTTCTATTGGATGATTCGACTTCGTTGTGGTTCCAAGCCATCCTTCACATAAGTAAAACTAGTCAAGTTTCGTTTTCTCCCTCTATTCATCCCTTCTCTCGTCGTAATGAATAGCTGCTAACCATGTTTTTTTATTCGATCGCCCTTGTTGTACATACCGCAATGGCATCGGCTGGATTGACTGACGATCCGTCGCCGTCATCGTTGGTCCTCGAAAAACATTAATCTTGTTAGGTCCGTATCGAAGTCGAAGCCTCGGATATGAAGAAGTCTGTCAATTAAGTCGAGCCTTCTCTTCTTTTTTCTCGACCAAATTCAGCGGCCAATCGAGCGCTCAAACTCCCAATAATGCGAGTTCTGAAGGCGGTGATTTGAACTTGAACGCCTTTGCGTATCTCCTCCGCATTTCCCCCGTATGTCCGGTCAATTGACGCGCCATCACAATTTGTGCCTGACCCCTTCCTCTGCCTTGAACCACATTCTGGGCTATCCATTCCCCACAACAAGGCCGCTCTGCACCTGTTTGCCTTGGCTCTAAAGCGTTAGTTACCGAAAAGGCGTCGACAGCAACCAGGATGGATGGAATTCAACCTCCCAGATGGTGGAAAACAACAAACCTTTCCGAGTCGAGAAAACCTCCACCAAATTACATCCATGCCTCCGAACAAGCACGATGGGGTTTTTCACTGCTCGTTATTTATCAAAGAGTAAGGAAGGCCTCTCGGCATGATTCATGTATCCAAGATCCCGTTTCTGTGCCTATCTTCACTATGTGGGGGCATCGCGACATTCCCCAGCGCCAGCCACTGGAACGCCTCAAGATGATGGAGTTTTTCGTTCAACATTCCAGCTGTCATTTCTCCTCTCGAAAGCTTATTTCTGTCAGTGGGCCTTGCGAACCCTTTATAGACCTCGTTTTGCACACTTTTGGACTGGATTTCACCCCATTGCGGTGCAGACACTGCAAACGCCTTCAAAACCCAAGACTTCAGGTCGATCAACGAGCACAGCACTGTGGGCTGGTTTACGCCCCGCGAGGCAGAGCTGACTACGTCAGTTGCGTTTGAACTGCCTTTTGGACCCTTCAACGAGCGCTTGTGAGTACCCTCGAGTTCCGGATTATCGCTGCTCTTGACATAAATGCTGAACGTCCTGCTGGTGGTTGACAGGTTTGCGCTGGCTGTTCGCCTAGTGGACGCCCCAAGGCGACATCTTGTCTTGCGTCTGTATTCGATTGCGCCCGCTCAGCAAGTCGACTGACAAGACTTGTTTTCATATCTCCCGCCTCGTCGTTCTCTTCCTCTCACACTACTCGCTTCCCCGTCCCCCGACCTGCTCCAAAAGCTCGGACGAGCATCCCCCACACCCCGATTCGATGAACAAACAACCTACATTGGGTTAACATCAACGACATCAGCCATTCCGAGGCGAATTAACAATTTAGAAACAACGTAAACGCCCAGATCATCACTCATCGACATCATACATCAGACCCGTAAGGCGTAAGTAAAAAGTAAATTTCTACAGCAGAGCGGGATCGCGAGCTTAGTTTATATTGCAGCGCTTGATCGACACCGTTGACGGCTTTCCTTTCGCCCTCCCACCTTCCTGTCGTTGCTACTGCTCTTCGGAGTTTGGGTTTCTTGGTTGGTTCAACGTTCATTCCGCCCTCGACACTCCTTTCGATTCGCTGGCAAGACTCGCTCCTGGCGTCGTTGATCTCGGCGCCTCTGCAACTGGTTCTGCAATCGGCCGTCGCCACGTCCGACGTCGTACATCGTAGAGAAGGAGAGGACAGCTGAAGCAAGGCGATTGACGGAAGGATGGCGGTGACACGGACGTGCTCGACTTCACCGACGAGGACGTTGTACCGAGTCGAGACGGCTGTACGGGCCACTCAGACTCTGTTCGTGCCCGAGTTGGTGCCAATCGCACCCCGGATTGTCACGAATTGGGTGGTCACCAGCCAGTGTAATGATAGACGATGTTGGCCTGTCACGACCCCTGTTCGAACCCCGATGCCTGGTACGTCCCGTGATCACGCTACTTATCTCTATCCCGTGCTCATCCCCGCGTCCTTTCACTTTAGGTTCATCGGCGACGCGTACTAGGACCGTGTACAGAGGCAATAGTGGAACCACTACCCGTAGAATCCCTACCGCGACGCTGTACGGGACGTCATGTTCCACAACGACTGTAATTCCGGCGACTAGGACGACACTGTTTCCCGGTAGCAGCAAAGCCACCACTATCCCTCCCGGTTCAGGCTCCTTCGATTCGTCGACGCTCACTGACACCAGTTCAAGAACGCTCGCTACTGGGATCGACATCAACAATCCCGATGGCTCTAATTCGCCTAGAAGACTGAATATCGGTGCTGTTGTAGGGGGTCTCCTTGGAGGGTTTCTCACTCCCATCCTTCTCGTATTCTTGGTTCGTTATCTCATGTAAGTCCCCCAGCGTCAGAACCGAGGGCTTGATTGTGGCTAATGCTTTGATCTCAGTAAGCGACGACGGAGGACCCGAGGAAGGTCGGGACTCACCAGCCCAACACCCACGATGCGTTCGATCTATAGCGGCGGCGGCTTTCCTCCACTGTACCAGCGACCACTCTCACCGGCTACGACCCTATATCGTTCACCTACGACGAGCGACCATGGTCACTACGGCAGCTTCAACCCGTTCGACCCCCAGAATCTCGACCGCCGGATATCGAAGACCTCGCGCATGAGCAGAGCGTCTCACGACCGACGTGGTGGCGCGCCTAGTCCCGCCAGCAGTTCTCATGGGCACGAATCGCAGACCCACCATGTGGTCAGACGACCTTCGATGGTGCATTACGCCGCCCAGCCTCATCCGCCAGTGGCGTTCAACGGAGGAAGAGCCGCTAGTCCCGTTGCACCGAATATGCGATCTCCGTCTCCGGTGCAGGCCTACGGAGGAGCGATGTTTGTCTCGCCTTATGAGTCTCGGCGGGCGGCTAGTCCCGCTGCTATCAGAGACTATGGCCAGTACTCGCATCCTCAAGGGGCGCCGGTCTCTCCTTATGATTTCCGGGGAGGTGGGCCTAGTCCCATTACCAGTCCCGTTGCGACGCCCCAACAAGAAACCCCACCACATGCCGGGGATGGGTATGTTGTCGGAGCACCTCTTCCGAGCGTGGATGAGCATGCTCCCTTGTCACCACCTTCGGAGGGGAACTTGACAACCTCCTCGGCCCGAACAGCTGTGCATTTCCATCCAATGACCGCACCAAGCAGTGTGCAATCTCATAGCCCTGACGACCCTACTTCTAGTACCAATGTTAATGACTCGGAAAGGACGAAAGCACGGACAAGGACACCTCCCTCACAATGAACTAGTGACGTTTTTCTGAAGTGATTTTTTTTTTTTTCTTATACCTTCTTCCCTCTTTTACTTTACTCGCATAATCACCGTTACCCGCCCATGCATCATGACTGACCCTTGCTTTCCATCGCTATCACCGCAACGGCAACGACCACTTCCTTATTGTTATTGTACTTTTAATCCGGCTTCCACTGGGCTTCTTACATACATACTTACTACCCTTGTTCACAGTGATACCCCCATTTAACTCGGTTTTCTTCCTTAGGATTTGAAGGGATGTGTAGGCATTTTCCTTTCATTTTGCAAATCCCAATCTTTAATGACTGCAGTAGATCCATTCTTAGGACTCAATGTTAGTAGTACGATAATATACGATTCTGACGCCAATTACTTAATGAAATAGACTAAAACGTCCTCAAGCATACTTACCTGATGGTCGCCGCTGATTTGCCCAGCTACTCCCATGTTCAACAGCATTGAATTCAAGGCTTAGGCCTGCTGAGGTTGACGCGCCGCGCCTTGAGACCGAGGTCGAGGACTCCGGCAAGTCCGGCGCTATTGTTCTTTGCTGACGTAATCCATCAACCGCGTCGATGCCGGCAACAATGCGGCGTCGAGGACCAAGTTGCCATTGTTCTCCGTCACACAATGCACGCGTTGTACATGCCTAGCAATCTAATTGTTATTCTTCAGGGTCAACTATAAAGACTATGGTTCCGAAGTGGTGCCACTCGTTACTACCCCACTCACTATCCTCTAGACGCCAATTCACGACGAGCAGACTCTGCTCTCCTGCCCTCGCTTCCCCCCGACTTTCTTTTAGCTTCTTTTGGTGCTGGGTCGCCCTATATTCTTTGAATTTCTTCGAGCAATAAAGCACCTTTTGACCACGACACCCAACGAACTGCGATAATCACTATCTATCGTTTCAAATTTCCACCCGCAATCTGATATCTATTCCAACGCATTAACATTAAACGATCAACATGATTCCAGCACGCAAACGTATGTTTTTCTTCTCCCTTTCTCTTTAACGAGCTTTACTGATGAGACTGTCGTCTAGTGTATTTTATTGGATTGAACGTTGTCCGAGCTTTGAGCATCGTCTCGCTCATCCTTGTATTTTCGAGCACCATTTTCGTCATGGTCAACAACATCAAGGCTGTCAATGCCTTTGAGCAGGCCAAGGTTGAGGCCAACGCTACTGAGGTTGCAGAGCTCCTTGACTGCGAGTACATTGAGTGAGTCATACGCGGATCTAACATTGGTTAACATTTCTAACAATTGCTTGTAGGGGAAGCACAGTTCCCAACCAGGCTGCTGGTGTATTCTGGGCCATCGTCGCCAGTCTCTTGATCGTTTTCCAAACCATCATCCTCTTCTGTAAGTAATAATTATTTGTCTTTTCAGACAATGTTCTAACCCCTCTCTCTTAGTGTCCGAAGTCAGCTGGCCCATGTCCTTCTTCGACCGCTTCTTCCCTGTCCTCGGCTCTGAATTCGGCCTCGGTGCTCTCGGTATCTTCCAAGGCCTCATCGCCACGCAAATCCTCTCCCACCACGTCGACGACTTCACCCTCGTCTCCGCCTTCTTCCTCTTCTCCCTCGGCTGCGTCAACATGCTCCTCGGCCTCATCTTCCGCGCTGGCGCCAAGGAGAAGCGTTCGATCCGAGGATGGCGCGCAGAGACCAAGGGTGTCTTGCCTAAGGAGAAGGATGGCCGACCCGTCTTCGCCACCCCCACCCCCACCTACATCTCCAACTCGTTCACCGGTGCCTCCATGGTCGAGAAGGGCGGATACCTCCCCGAACGCAGCGACAGCTGGAGGAGCACGGACAAGGCTGGTCTTGGCTTCGGTCGTCAAGCTGAGAAGGCTGCTGGCCTCCGTGGTTTCATGCTCCAGAAGCCTGAAGAGTCTCTTCCCCGATATGTCACCCCCATTCCTACCCACCACTCGCAATTGAGCCGAAGCAACACCACCTCATCCACCTCGAGCTTCTCAGCAAGCGAACATGACAGCAGGCAGGAACAGCTGCGTGAGGCTATCTATGCTCAGACACAACCCAAGCTCAGGGACCCTGCCGGATCTCGACCTGGAACTCCGCCAGTCTTCAAATCGAGCCAGACTGCCTTGTAGACGATGACATGCATATGACTGTGACGAAAATGGACACTCACTTGCCCACACCTTCGCTTTGGACGAAGATTTCTTGGACATTTTTTCACGAAAATACAACGGTGTATATTAGGGTCGTTTAATACCTCATGTAGCAGTAGCATCCACACATATTAGGCCTGTAGAGCCCAACTCTGCAAGCATTGGTTTTCTCACTAGACTTCTGTAGGACCCGATGGGCGCTGCGTGTCCCACCGATCGAGCTTAGCGCCCAGAACCTTCTCGTCGACCGAACCCAAGATCTCAAACGAGCGTCTACAGTGCTCAGGCCTAGTGTAGCGAGAATAGTATAGTATGTACATACAATGAAGACAGTAGAAGAAGCTACGGAAACAACGCGGTAAAATTGCAGAGATCATCATAAGAGAATAGGCGCCCGTGACCCTCTATGATGTCGATTGAACGCCGTGTATTACTGCGAAATTTGTACATTGAGGGAGGTGATGGATACCCTTTACGGGGAATAGGAAGGGGGGACGTGGACGACGTCACTGGCCCTTAAACGGACCCCGCTGTCCTGATGATGAACAACTGCAGGGCCCGACGTACTTGCCTCAGCCAAAGGAGCTTTAGAATCACCAGGAGGGGCTGCGGCTGGCGGTGGTTCATGAGACGATCCGACGCTCTGGTTCTGCGTGTTGGTTAAGGAGGTTGGCGAGGTGATGTCCCCTGGTCCTGTTCCTGAAGAACCCATCCCAGAAGATGACCAATCGGTGCTAGTCTGGTGGTGGTGGCTAGGATGAACAGGAATTGGCCCGCTAGGGGATTTCATGTAGATAGTTTGAGATGACATCGGCCCACCATATGAGGGGTTTGTTGATGAGTATCCATTCGATGGTGGAGGCTGGTTTGTTGGGTAGGTGAAAGGTGTGATTTGCGCTGTTTCTGGGGGTAAACCAGCAGGCTGAGAACGCCCGGAAAACATAGCTCCGCCATAGAATGCCGAGTCACGGTTCCTCCTGCGTTTTGACACGTAGAAGATTAAGACAAATGTGATTGCGATGATTGCAAGCCCGCCTAGGGTGCCTCCAACGATGGCACCGACAGGTGTACCCGAACTGCCGCTGTCGGTCTCCAAATTATCGGCAGGCAAGGTGGTGATCGGGGTGGCCACTTCGCTTGTACTGCTTGAAGGTTGCTGCGTGCTCGAGGGTAGGACGGATGCTGGCGCGATGAGAGGGTCTCCGTTTTCGACCAACAGTTTGTCGAAGGTGATGGGCGCTGCCGGTCCTTGGTAAGTGACAACCAAGGTATGCTGGCCATTGGGCAACGGGCCTGTTCCAAACAACTCTACGTTGAATATTCTTCCGGCTTCTGCAGGGTTTTCGAGTATTGTAAAGGGGATCGCATCTCGGTTATCAACAGCGTAAAAACCAGTAGAGTTGCCCCTTGGAAAACCATCGAGGCCGCGTCCGACCCATGTAGCGGCAGTTCCTATGGTTCGCAATTAGCGCGGGGATTCTCCGACACAGGGAAACAACATACCTGAGAATCTGATTCTCACCGACGCACCCTCGTCGGTCGAGAGAACTGAGTTTGACTGGTCCCTCACCCACTCCCCTGTCAGGTACTCCACAGCTGGGTCGTTCTCGTCGAATATAACGTCCATTTCGCCCAAATCACGCACAGCGTCGACTGACGGGTCAATGGTGAATTCGTCGACCCAAAAGGTCGTACGAGATGAAGTGTTGGTCACGTTGATAGTGAGGACATGGTCCCCGTTTGCCACAACGGGTGAGGTGCAGAGCGGCCATCTATGAAGTTGCCTCGTCCCTCTCGTTGTCTCGAAAGGCCGCCCATCTAGACTACACGTCCAACTAAGGCCATCGCCGCCTGAAGGAGCCGGAGTATTGGTTCCCTGCACCATTATCCGCGTTCCTGTCAAGGAAGTTTGAGAGAAGGGCGATTATCCTCCCAGGAAACAAAGACTCACCTCTGAATGCAAAGGACAAACTTCCAGATTCGTTTGTCCCATGTTGGCCCCCGAGGTATGGTAAATTCCGATCTCCCACTAATGCAAAGCCATCCCTGTAAAACCAATCGCCCTCGTAATTAATGCGAGGGCTTGTGTTGTCGTAGAGCACCTGTCTCGATCTAGGAAGTGTGGAGGACATGGATGGCGGCGACGAAAGAAACTTGGGCGGCGAGGGACTCGACGATGTGCTGCGAGTTCATGAAGGTTCCCAGGTAACCATGGAACATGGTGATGATTGCATGTTCTGGAGGCATAGCTCGAGGTGTCACTGGAAATGCCATAGCCCCCTTCTCATCTCGGTTGGTGCTTCAGACTGACATGGGGAATCCCTTGGCGAGCGCTCGTAATTGTAAATGGCATTCCCATCACGATTCCCATCACCGCGATCAATACCATCAGATTTTCCTTGAAACTCGGGCTTGAAGGGGAAGGGCCTGGGAGAGAAACTGGATTATCTTCATACAAGGGAGTCAACTTGAAGGAGTATACAAGAAGGATGCGGTAGAATCCATCAACACATATCCTCGCTGGTAGATAGGTCCATAGACGCAACCACGGCGTCGTAAAATCAAGGGGTGGATGAGGGTGGGCGATCGGTCCCATTCGAATTGCACTGTCTTGGTGATAGACCATGGTTGCCTCTTGAGCATCTGCTTCCAGCAATGGAACCTTGGTATTGTTCTGGGACTTTGCCATTACAGCGACATACAAGCTGCTCTGTGGAACGTCCCGTTCCGAACTGGAGATGCGCTACGTGCCCGTAGGATGGGATACTACTCGCGAGTCGCGAGGCTGTAGGTAGAGCGGAAGTCGAAGTGTACACTCCTGACGAGGACAGGCCAGTTTCGAAAAGTACATGATTGAAGCCGACACGACTCCAGGTGGTACTCCCGGGACCGTGAACCTAGCAGGATCTGCACCATCGAGAACATAAGTTCCAGTTGATGATCCCTGAGATGGATAACCGTTGGGCGCCCATCCTATCCATGTGGCTTTGGTTCCTGTTGAGCAAGGTCAGTACACGTTATCTCAGCCCAACATCGGATCGGGATAATTCAATCTCACCTGAGAAGTCTATCCTCATCGTTGCACCGGACTCCAGTGTCATCATTGCATTGGATTGTATCACCTGCCAAGTGCCGCTCGTAGATCGAACCGCTGGGTCGACTTGCTCGATGAACACGACGGGATTCAAGAGATTGGAACTGGTAGAAGGCAGAAAGCGTACTTGATCGACGTGGAGTCTGGTTCCGTGATGGATGGTGACATTGAGCGTGAGCGTACTATGCTCCCCTTCCGGCATGGGTGGCGACTCGCAGAGAGGCCAGTTGTTTACCACTGAATCCCATAGCCTCTGGTGCCAACTCCACCCCGTCGAGGGTACAGTTCCAGATTGGGTCCTGTCCCTCCGTAAAGTTCTGAACAGCGCTGGTGCCCAAGACGCGTATCCTGGATCCTTGATGCCTCTGGTCAGCAGATGAAAATTCGAAGACGGGTATCTTGAAGCCGTACCTGTGTAAGAGAAGGCGAGACTCGCAGATTCATCAGCTGCGTGTTGGGCTTTTCGATATGCAGGGCCGTAGGTCCCTGCGTCTGGGTAAGCGTCCGCAAGGAGCTGCCATCTGGGTGCTGGTCGTCGTAGAGGACCCATCTCGCCTTCGTCGCGGTGGTCGTCATGTTCTCGGTGATGCCACGAAGAGCATTGAACTGCAGGGGAGAGGCTGCGGGTTGTGAAAGGACACAATGCCGCAAGCGTGAATACGAAAAAACTGGGGCTTAGCTGTATTCACAAGGTTGCATGCAGTGGCAGCCTGTTCGATGCGCTCTTATGTGCTCAGTTCATTTCAAATCCAAAGGTGGCGAGCGCTTGAGTGGTCAGCGGCCGAGCCAACTCAAACATTAGATACGGATAAGAATACTAATACACACAGAACGGTTAGATACATATGATAGCAGCAAATCGCAGAATAGCAATGTACACACAACAGCGACGCGAAGCCACCTATTCCTGGATGGTATTCTGCACGACCATATTCCTTCGAAGAGGCTGTAACCGAGTGGCAGGTTCCGGGATAGGTGGTGGCGGTTCTGGATCATCTTCAGGAATATATATCGAGGAATGGTTCGGGTATTTGGAGTAGACGGGGATATAGGCGGGTATCGATCCGGATGTGATGCTGGACGGGTGCAGCGATCCTTTCTCCGTCCCTTCCATCGACCGGGTGTAAGAGTCAGACGGCTTGCGAACCATGGCTTCTGCAAATGACTCGCGTGGTCCTGGGTACCTTCGAGGCTGATGATCGTGACCCAAGGATGAAACCGGTACAGGTGGCAGCTTGATTTTCATGCGACGGCGGAGAAGGAAGATGGCGATGGCGAAGAGAGCAATGAGCGCTACACCTCCGACTGCACCGCCAACAATGGCGCCGACCGGAGTTGCCTCCGATTGCTCAGACGAAGGCGTTTTCGTAGGAGACGGCTCAGGCTCGATCTCGGTTGGGATAGGTTCGTCTGCGGGCTGCTCCCCTGATTCAAAGGGAAAGAAAATGTCCCCGTTTTCGACCAGGAAGTGATCGAGGGCGAGAGGTGTCCGTGTGGGTCCGTTGAACTTCACGGAGAGGTTGTGTGTCCGTAGTGGAAGTTCCTCGGTTTCGAAAAGGGGTTGAAAGAACAGAGATCCGGGTATTGGGGCTGGACGTCGGATTGTGAATGCCGTATCTGGTCCGTCGTCTATTGAGTAGGTCCCACTCGAGTCCCCACCCGAACCCTCGAGTATCCAGCCTATCCATGTTAGCTTGGTACCTATTCAATGTCAGCCAACGAGAACGACCCATAGAACACCAACGAAGCCACTCACCAGTAAAGCTCACACTCAAACCCGCCCCAACCTCCGACGTACTCTTCGCACTCTCGTTAACATTTACCCAGCTCTCTTCGGGCAAAAAGGTGATCGTCGGGTCGGACTGTTCAATGACAACGGTAGCGTCTGAAGGCGGTGCACTCATGGACGGAAGGTACTTGATTTGATCAAAGTAGAACGGGGTGCCCGAGGACGTGACGTTGAGCGTCAAGACATGCTCTTCGTCGGACAGGGTGGGCGCAAGACATAATGGCCAGTTGTTCTGATGGGTAGGGAAGGGATCTTCAGCGCCTATGCTTCTTCCGTCAACGAAGCACTCCCATGAAGGATCGACAGTTCCTGTCGTATTCGTGATAGCGCTCGTTCCAAGAAGACGTATTCGTGTTCCTAGTTGACACCACCAAACTAGTTGAGGAATGTACTTGTCCAGGTATGGGTATGGTCTCACCTGTGAAGCGGAAAGTAAGGCTCGCTGAGCCAGTCGTTGCATGTTGAGAGCCTTGATAGGTTGGGCCAGAGCTTCCGCTATCGACAAAACGGTCGCTGTGAATGTACCAATCGCCCTCGTAGTTGATTCTGCTGTCAGAGTCATCCAAAAGAACCCATCGTGTTCCAGACATCTGGGCCCAGAGCGACAGTCGATCCGCTCAAGGTTAGAAAAACGAACGTGAAGAGAGAAAGAGTGTAAGGAGGAGCACAGTGGTACAGTGATGAATGAATGCTGAACGTCCACTGTGGGTCTTCAGCGCAGAAACCCAAGCAACGGCGGCAATATAAGTACTTCCCTGATATCCCCGCTCAGAATAGACTAAGACTGGGACCTGGTCCCTCTAATTTGCCAAGTTGTTTTGTTGCTCGTTGCAGGACTTAAGGGACCATATCCCAGTTGCATAGCAATACAACAGCCGAAATTAGTACGCGGTCTAATTAAGGTCTAATGTACAAAGATGCGGCGCGATCATAAATATGATAGTCCTAAATACCAACAGCCCAAATGTCCGAATGCATGAGCCTGACTCGGAGGGGTTGAAAGGAAACTTCAGCTCGGGGTGTACATTGGCGGAATTTCCACGACGTCCTCAGGAGAATTTAACCGCACACCACTATCTTCATGACGGATGACTCTCGATCCCACCCCCGTCGACCCATTAGTATTACCATCACTTGCAGAGGTTTGATGAGTCCTTGATTGTCCAGAAGACACAGATGGATCAGGGTTTGATATACCATAGGCCAGTTGTGCTTTTGTGAATGTGGGAGGATGGTGGGGCATTGCCGGAGGGCTGCCCGCGATGGTGGGATGGTCGTAGGTCTGGTCTGTGGACTGACTGGGCATCGAGCGATGCCCAGGTCCTCCGGCAACAGGGACTGGGTTGTACATGAGGTGGGGGTCGAAACTGGGCGACGAAGGTCCACCAGAGACGTAGCCAGTACCGGTGACATCGTATGGCGTGGGGCCCGTAGTGTCCATGAACGGGCCTGCTTCAGATCGCTTCTTGCGCCTTCGCAAGAAGACGACGATGAAGGCAGTTAGTGCGAGTAAGAACAGTCCACCCAGTGTCCCTCCAACAATCGCTCCTACAGGTGTCTTGTTACCCGTGTCCGGGAGTGCGCTGGGCGGTAAAGATGGTTCCGGTGTGTTGGCAGTATCGAATATCGAAGGTTCATCAGGACCTGGAGCGGTAAAGTTGCCATCGTGGATCAACAGATGGGTGAGTGTCAGCGGAGTCGTGCTGCTGCTGCCGCGGTACATCACAAATAGCTTGTGTGGTCCCGGCAGCAGCTCAGCTGTTTGGAAGAACATTTGGTTATATATCGTAGCGCTTTCTTCGGGGAGACCGCGCAAGGGAAAGTTCGTGGGCTCCTCCCCATCGATAGCGAAAGCACCGCTCGTTGAATCGTGGGGGAGCTCTGTCGGTATGAAGCCCCACCAGCTCAATCGAGTCCCTAGAGTTCCACCATGAGCATGATTGGTGCCAGCAGCGGGATTGTGATCACCATACCTATGAACTCAACCTCCACAACTGACCCTCTTTCTCTCGTCATATTCGCCGTCCCGCCCAGCGTTGTCCAACCCTTCCCGTACTTGATCGCATGGTCCTGAATCCCAACCATCACCGCAGGTTTCTCAACCTCCGCGCCAGGCGAAGGCAAGTACTGGATCTGGTCCACCCAGAATGTTTGTCCCTCCGAGCGAACCTGGACCTCCAACGTATGTCTGCCGGGAAGACCGTTTCTCCAATCACAGAATACCCAGTTGTTCTCCGCGAACTCGAAGGGCCGGGTGGGTCCTATACTTACACCATCGATGAGGCAGTCCCACGTTGGGTCGATCACACCAGATGAGTTGCGTGGGCGGTTCGTTCCGAGGAGCTTTATTTCAGATCCTATCACCAAGAACTAAGTATCAGAGTTTCGATCAGAGTGAACAAGATGGAGGTCGTACGCACCATCGAACTCGTAAGACAACCTGGCGGTCTCATTCGTGCCATGCAATGTACTCAGGTATGTGGGTCCAAAGTTGCCCACATTGTCAAAGGAATCGTTGACTGTAAACCATGGCCCCTCGTACGCGATCCCCGAATCTCGATTATCCACTACAATCCATCGGCTGTTCGCCATCGGTGGCTTCCCCCGCCCTTCAGCAAAGTCGAGTAGCGTGTCGTGCGCAAAAGGAGTGGTGACCGTCCAGCGGAAACGCAGGAAAAGACGGAAGAAAGGGAAAAGCAAGATGGGCAATGGGCGTGAAAGGTGAAAAGGAGCAACAGCGCCCGTGACGCCGTCTTCTACGGGATGATTGCTATGAGATGAGCATTTCTATTAATACATACCGTCGGGTGCCAGCTCGACGCTATAGCAGCCGACGCTGGTCTGGTTCTGCACACGCAGTGTTTGAAGCGCGCCGGGTTTCCCGGGCACAGGGATTCCACCAATCATCGGGTCTCCAAGAGTGTTCAACCGCTCGGCCTTTGAACAAGGCGGTAGTACTTACCCGGGTCTGAAGAAAGACGCGTCATGGAAGCACTCCTCGCGATAAGCCACGATGGTGTTCGAGGTCGGAGGCCAAAACCGTCTACGTGTTGGAAGGTCGTCAAGGACCACCAACTGTGATGCGACTTGACTTTGGCGCCCAAAATAGCTTGGTCATACCTTCCCACACTCGTGCCGCGCGGCCGGTGAACAATGAATAGGGGTCTGCGATGCGCAGCACGCAGTTCTAAAGCTGGTCCTCGTATTTTTGCTCTAAAACGCAAGCCGATGACGAGTTTTAGCGGCTAACACGTATGCGCAGTCTCGCAGTACTCGTACTTCTAATTCTGCACAGTACCCAGCGTCATTCCGGGCAACCTAGGATATGCATGATCCTCGTGGCTCTCCCCGTCAGGGCCAGGCCTCAGAACGGTATCTTTTCGACTCCATTTATACTTAAAAGCCAGCACTCTCTCTAAGGAGGTATTACCCCAACCTCTACCCTTCCCTTCAACTCTACCTCACGAACAAGCTCGAACTTGACCTCAACTTCAGACCTGAGAAATGGCAGGACTAAACGTCTTCATTATCGGTGGTTCGCGCAACATTGGTTATCACTCGTCTATCCTCCTGCTGGGTACGTACAGCTACCTCCTTTTCTACCATCGGAGCATCGCTGAATCAAACTCGAATAATTAGACGCCGGTGCGACCGTAACGTACCTTCTCCGCAACACCTCCGTCTTCGACACGGACGACAAAGTCCAGAAATACATCAAAGAAGGCAAAGCGCGTCTCGTCAAAGGGGATGCACTCGTTCAATCCGATGTGCAGGGTGCATGGGATGAGGCGAGCAAAGAGTCCAAAGTCGATGTCGTCATCTTCACTGTCGGTGCGTTCGAATTTCTCTCTTTCATTGGTCTAGCGAAAGAGAAGCAGTTTAGCCTAACTCGAGGTTTGGATAGGGGGAACACCGAAGTTCTCGTTAACCAAAGGATTTGTGATTGAGCCCGCTAACCTAGTCACGCAATCCCTCTTCAACGTCCTCTGCGTCATCTTCAAACACAACCCATCCGCAGAAGACCAACCACGCATCATCGCCATCTCATCCACAGGCGTAACAAAGGCCTCCCACGACGCCCTCCCCTTCGCCCTCAAGCCAATGTACAGTTACCTCCTCAAGGTACCTCACCAAGACAAGATTGGCGCTGAAAGGCTTGTCGCGCATTGTGCTGGATGGGAATGGACCTCTGGCGAACCTGCGGTTGAGATCATGGGAGGAAGCGACTGGAAAAACCGCGAAGGTCTACCGAAACCTGGGGAATTGAAGAAGATATTGGTCATTCGACCTGCGCTATTGACGGATGGGGAGTGTAAATGCGTGTATCGTGTCTCCACTGGAGAGGTAGGCGGGTGGACGGTCTCTCGGAAGGACGTCGCGCATTTCTTGGTCGATGCAGTTTTGAAAGAGGAGAGATGGAAGGAGTTTGAGAACAAGATTGCCAGCATTGCGTATTAGTTGTAGGTTAACTGTACTCTAGAACGAAGGATCCATATATTAAATAAGGCCTCGCGTCATTGCCAAAATTTTGAGTCAGTCTCACATAACCGAATACATCGGTAGGACATCAACGGCCTCCGAAGGCACTGTTGCGCCACTACCCTCACGAGGAGAAACTCCAGATCCCCGCCCCGACCCTATCAAGCCATTCCCTCCCTGAGCTGCAGAGTCCTGACTCCTCGACGCGCCAGAGGGTGCCGATGCGTCGCGCTCTGCTCGAATGCCCGACACAGATACCACCCGTCCTTTTACTGGAGGGTGGTACGAAACGAGTGGGCGCACTCCAGGGATGCGGTGTTCGTCTTCCGAAAAGCAAGGCGCGACATCGAATGGTTCAGGACGTGCACTTGAGCTTGGCGCACCACTCTCCACCCGACTCGGGCTATTCGAGTTCGAATACCTCCTTTGTAGGTAGACCACCATGAAGGCAGACAGAATGAGTAAGAATAGCGCTCCAACGGCTCCCCCAACGATTGCTCCCACCGACATACCATTCGGTGTATTTGACGCTCGATCAGTTGTGGGTGGTGAAGATGGCTCAGGAGATGAGGACGAAGGTGAACTTGGCGCTCCCGGTGACGACTCGGATGGCGCTGGGGCATCAAAGATCGATGTTTCGCCAGGTGCTGGAACGGTGACGTTTCCGTCTTGAATGTAGATGTGCGAAAGCGTGAGTGGGGTCACGCTGGCGTCCCCATGGTATACCACGGTGACTTTATGAGGCCCGAGAGGTAGCTCCGGCGTTTGAATGAAAGTCTGGTGATACAGCGGCAGGATTTCAGGCGGGTCCCCCTGAGGAAGGAGTCCACGCAGGGCGAAAGTCGTCGGCTCGTTTCCATCGATGGCGTAGGTACCACTCGCTGGATTGCCGGGGAACTCTCCCGGTATGTAGCCCACCCAGGTTAATCGAGTCCCTAGATTTGCGTGAAATTCGTGATGAGTACCATATGAACAATGACCCGGGCCACGGAGAACCTGAGGACTTGCCTACAAACTCGACCTCTGCCATCGACCCTTCTTCATGCGTTAGCGCAGCTGTTATCAAAGCCGACGTCCAATTCCCCTCCAATTTGATCGAAGGATCGCCATTCTGGAGCATCACCACTGGGCTCTGCACCTTCGACCTCGGAGAAGGAACATATATAATGCGGTCCAACCAGAATGTCCGCCCTTGCGAGACAATTTGCACCTCCAACCTATGCTTCCCCTGAGGCCCGTCAAACAAACACAACTCCCAATTATTCTGGTGGCCGAAGGGGGAGGGTCCGGATCTTCCGATACTAACACCATCGACGAGACAGTCCCATGTTGGATCGAGCAGGCCAGATGAGTTGCGAACGTCACTCCCTCCATAAAGTATCATTGTAGAACCTGTCGTTAATAGGCAAGCACGATGTTAGAATCAAGCACACGTCGACAATAACAGACAATAACTAGTTCTAATGCGCACCGTCAAAGTTGAACGTAGCCCTCGCTGTCCCATTCGTCCCGTGGCTACTACTCATGTACGTTGGTCCGTTTTCGCCTGAGGTGCTGAACGAGTCGTAAACGGTAAACCATGGTCCTTCATATGTGATTTCCGCGTCTAGATCGTCCAGAACAACCCATCGTTTACTTCCCATTGGTTCTCTGTCCTACGTGCAGTGAGAGTGCAGTTAAGTAGTAGGCGATTTCCTGTTCGACAGACAGATGAACACAAACGCAGAGGTGGTTTGTCGGTGAGACAGATGAAAACTGGAGCGGGTGGCAAGGTGGGCACGCTGAAGGAGAAATCGCGGTCGCCGTCGTAGTTCGCGGGAGACATAAAGGTTGCTGCATGTGGACTCTGTGCTGGCTCTGCAGCCCAATTATACATCGACGATATCACCGTTGGTGTATACCAGAGCAGCGCTTGAGGCTTGTCTGATCAGCGGGTTTCGAAGGCCTTTCTTCGAATACAACATAGTCGACAGGGTGGAAGATCCAGAAAACGTGGAGCAAGTTGCGATCGCCCATGTCGTAAGGGCTGCTGGAACGGAACATCATGATGAGCAACAGCGAGGCACTGACTTGATGGACTCGCATGCTGCAACTTCAGTGTCAAACGGTTAGCAAAAGGCAACTGCTCGCCCGCCTCCGAAAATCAGTGCCACATTAGACAAGAGATTGCCGCTGAAAGGCTCGTCGCGCACTGTACTGGATGTGAGTCTCAGATGGTCCTCTGGTGAAGTTGGGATCATGGAAGGGAGTGATTTGGGAGTGATGGGCCTTGATTAGCCTTGGTTCCGTTGAGGGTAGAAACTGGAAAACAAAGATGTGCAAACAGCGCTCTCTCGAAGCGCCCACTGCGCCGCGGTCACCCTACCCCTTTTGCCGTCTTCCTGCCTGTACCAATGATCCACCATTTCCCTACCCAAAGGACTCACTTCTCGCCCAAAATACCCCTTTACACGAGGTCATTGAAGCCACGTCCATCGTATTGACACCGAGTATCCCGCATAGATGTAGGCCAACAAAACTTTGAACGTGAAGACGAAGGCGTACCATCTTCAAACACAAGATTAGTACTAACATTGTGTATTAGTGGTAGGCTAATTATACATGTGCTTTACATAGAACGTAGTAAGAACCATTAGAATACAGGGATATTCGTGACGCCCGATGGTACCTCTCATGGCTTGCCATGTCCAATATTGCAATACAAGACATGCAGGGGCATCTGCGATTATCATGTAGCCGAGTACGTAGGTGGAACATCATCGTCATCTTCCAAACGCCCCTCCCGCAAAGGCGCCCCTGCACCACTGTCGCCTACCAGAGCAACTCCAGATCCCCACGCCGTCGACCCCACTCCCATCGAACCACTCCCAGCCTGAGTCGTAGACCCCTGACTCCCCGACGCACCACAAGGTACCGGCGTACCAGCACCCTCCGTCGCCCGACCATCCGACACAGATCCCACTACCCCTCCTTTCACCGGAGGATGGTACGAAACCAGCGGACGAACACCCGGGATAAGGTGTTCGTTACCCGAGAAATACGGCGCGACATCGAATGGTTGGGGGTGTTGTGTACTAGGACTTGTCCGTCCCCAACTCGAAGTACCCACTTGTTCCACATTCCGACTCGAGCTATTTCCAGTACTCGAGTTCGACCCCCTCCTTCGCAGGAAGACCACCATCAAGATGGAAAGAAGGAGTAGGAATAACCCTCCAAGCGCTCCCCCAACGATCGCCCCAACCGGTACCCCATTGGTCGTACTTGCATTTTGACCAGCCGGAGACGACGAGGTCGGCTCAGAACCAGAAGACGGACTGGGCTTCGTCCACGTATCAAAAACCGACGGCTCGCCAGGTGCAGGAACAGTACAATTCCCATCTTGAATAAATATATGCGAAAGGGTGAGCGGAGTCAGGCTCGCGTCCCCATGGTATTCGACAACGACTTTGTGGGGTCCGAAAGGCAGCTGGGGCGTCTGAAAGAAAGTCTGGTGGTACAGTGGAGGGGCTTCCGAGGGATCACCCCCCTCAGGAGGCCCACGCAGAGTGAAAGTCGCCGGGGCCCTCCCGTCGATGGAGAAGGCACCGCTTGCTGGACCGTGGGGGACCTCAGCTGGTACATAGCCCACCCAGGTCAATCGAGTCCCTAGCATTGCGCGATTCCGGGATGAGCACCATCCCCGGGCAACGGACACCGCGAACGCAATTACTCACCTACAAACTCGATTTCGACGGTCGCCCCCCTCTCCTGCGTCATAGTCGCCGCCTCATCATCCAGCAGCAGCCACCCCTCCCCATACGCGATCGCAGGGTCGCCGATCTCAAGCATAACCACAGGACTCCCCACGTCCGCTCCAGGGGCAGGCACATACACGATTCGGTCCAGCCAAAATGCCTGCCCCTGCGCCCAAGCCAGCACCTCCAACCTATGCCGCCCCGCAGACCCATCCGGGGCATCCCACACACACAACTCCAGACTGTTTTCGATATTCTGCGTGGTGCGCGAACCGACACTCTCCATATCGATGCGGCAATCCCATCCGGGTGCACCTGGCGAGTTGCTACGATTGCCTGGTCCAATAGCCTTTACTGCAGACCCTACCGTCGAAACATCGTTAGACACCCAAACGCACATCGACGGAGGACTTGTTGTGATACGCACCATCGAATTCGAAAGTGGCCACCGCTAGGTCTGTCTCGTTCACCCCATGCAACGTACCCATGTACGCTGGTCCATTATCACCTGGGCTACCGGATGAGTCGTAAACGGTGAACCATGTCCCTCCATATACAATGTTCGTGTCGACGTCGTCCAACACAACCCATCGTCTGCTTGTCATGGACCCTCCACCCTGCTCAAAAGCGTCTCGTGTATGTGTAGCAGAGGCAGGTGATTACAGGCCAGCTCGACTGTTCGACGCAAGCACAGAACTAGTCCACCGAAAAAGTAGGTTGAAGTTGAGGATTGAGGATTGAGGTGGGCGCCGCAAGTTGAACACGCGGCGAGCGAATCCCGCCTATTGTCGTTATATACTCATGAAACGAGCGCTTAGAGCTTGAGCGCATCTTTCGATCAATACATGTCTCCGGGCATTGATCCCAAGACAACACAGTCGAGGTGACGGGTCAGCTTGAGCAAATCTTGGGCGCGCTGGGATCGCTCTTGCAGATCAGGATGTCATGATGGGCCAAGTCAGGAATCGGGATGAGGTCGCCACCGCCGCTTTATTGTTGAATAAACCCCGGTTAGTGTAGGGTATTAGTATACTTACAGCCTCTATGTAGTACAAACCGCTGGAGTGCATCTATATCCCTGGACTAGTCGACATCATCGGGTCGGAATTGATACCCTCCCTCCCTCGCCACAGCCGAAAAGTCCAACCTGGCAATCTCCTCGCCTGAAGCGTCGCTGAGTGTGCACTCGACTTGGTCGCCGGGGACGAGAGGTCCTACGCCGGATGGGGTTCCTGTAAGGAGGACGTCTCCTTCCTGTATGCAGCAAAAAGGCATTTAAGCAAATAGAGGAGAGGGAGGAGGAAGATGAGGACGAACCTCGAGGGTCATGATGGACGACACGTTCTCGATCAACCGGGGGATTTTGAACATCATGTCGGCTGTGGTTCCGTCTTGCTTGACTTGGCCATTGACCTGCAACGCGTTGGGTTCGTTTAATCATGCTTGGTTCGCATTACTGGAGGACTCGGAGCGCACCTTGAGTTTGAGGCGCAGATTATGAGGGTCGAGAATCTTGGATTTGGGGATGAAAGAACCAATGGGGGTGAACGTGTCGAATCCCTTCGCAGCGGACCAGGGTAATCCTTGTTTCTTCACCCTATCCTGGAGGTTCCTCGCAGTCATATCCACAGCCAGCGCTACCCAACACCTATCAGCAAAAAGACCTCCCACTTCCAAAGCAAGGTGAGGACCCACTGTATCCAGAAATGTACGAATCCGCATTCGACTGCGACACGTCCCGAGCGCGTCTCCCGATGACCAGGCCGAGTTCGACTTCATGGTGCGCAACGATTCCTTGTGGGATCTCGACTTTTCCTCCAGAGGGTACGTAGCTTGACGTGGGCTTGAGGAAGAAGAAGGGTTCTTTGGGTGTTGCGTTGCCTAGTTCTTTGGCGTGGGCGACGTAGTTGCGGCCTATGGCTACGATCTAGCGTTCGAGTCGTCCATTCGTGAGTTTTTGAGTGTTGGATGGAAATTTGGGTAGCGCTAGGGATAGGACGCACCTTTTTGCCGGTGCGAATGAAGGAGCTGGCCATGGTTGATAGTGGTGGTGTGGGGAAGAGTCTCGCCGACGCGACCGCGTCGGGTCAAACTGGGGCGGATGCGTTGCCGGTGTGATATCACATCATCCTGGGGTATATCCCACCCTCCTGTACCTGGGGGAGATGTGCGGGCGCTTATTGGGATGAATCAAACCTACTTGGTGACCTAGAAAGAGCAGATAACGATGGCTAGATAAAATCTGATTAACGATTTCTTTGTTTATGGCTTCCAATAGAGGGAGATCGTCGCCTGTCAGTCCACTGGTGAGTCTCTTTCCAACCCCTCATCCGGTATTCCGATGAAATGCCTAGCCACTCGGTGCTCAGTGCATTCTCCCTCTTCCCTCCCTCGGCGTTCCCGGACATCCCATCGCACCCAGCGACAAGAGAAAAAGCGGAACAAGATGAGGCAATTACTTAGGAACATATCCAAGAAGTCTTACCTTTCTTAGTCTTTACTGATTGGCTCCTATTGGGAGCTTATTGGCGTAACCAAGGTCCTTCTTTCGCTTGGCTATAACGGAAACAAGATGGTCGCTGTGTATGCCGAGCGAATGCCGAGACGAGGATCACGGAGCGAAGACGGGCGCTTGTGGCTGTTAAGACCTTGTCAAGACCTCTGAGAATGGCTTTGGCTGTCTTTGGTTTTCGTGAAATGAGCCAAGGGTACGACCGGGCGTAATTGATAATTGATACCTCTCTGCTCGTGACCTCAACCCTCGGAACATGCGAGGGTCTGTCACATTTGCTAAACAGTTGGACCAAATGAACCCGGAAGAAAACGCCTCTCTTCTAAAAATACGAAGCTGGGTGGGGCGCGATACTCCGAAGAAATACTCTCCATTCAAGGCATATACTGACTCTCCTCATGGCCTCGTCATAGGCTATACAACTCACCAAGAGCCCGAAACGACCAATCCTGAATCATTCCAGAGATTACAGCAACCTCGAAAGGCAAAAATCACCAAATATAAGACCGCGCTTGGCGAACTCTGGGCATCTTTCACGGTGCTTGGCAAGCGGCTGTCTTGTCGTGCCCAGGAGCCTTGGGTCACAACTGGTGTATAAAGCTCGACCAATGGTGTCTTTTCTCCAACTCGTCCCCTTCCCAGCCCGTCCCTTCGTACTTTTCCTCGAGAACGCACCCCATCCTCACCCCGCACTGGCGTTAAAACATCAACTGCATTGCAAATTCCATCGACGGGTCGCGCGGCCACCTCGCCTTGACACATCAAATTCTGGCTTTGTGGATATAAACTCCGAAGTGAATGGAGGGCGGTCCTGCTTCTGAAGAGCCTGGGTGGGTTTTAGCTTATTCTTTTCCTCCTCCCCTCTTTTGCTTATCATCGTCTTACTTATGAACCGCCATTGAATCCATTCTCAACTTTTCTCTACTTGGATGGATGAAAACGATTCGACATTCGGTAGTCCGCGTTCAGGACACCTAGGAACAGCCTGGGAGGCAGCGCTAGTTGTCGTCTTCAGTACGTCTGACTCGAATCCTCGGGTTTACCTCGTCTAGGGTACTGATAACACCCACCTACCCTCCAGTCGTCGTATTCGCATGCGTGATAGGCGTGACAGTCTATCAAGTGCGCAAACGGAAAGCTTCCCGGACACGCGCTGACGATGAAGAGGCTGTGATTGAGGGAAAGAGCGGCAGGCGGTCATCGAGGGCAACACCAACTTCTTCACGACGTTCGAGGCGGCATGATCGGTCATCGAGAAAACACCGGCGGTTAGGCAGTTCGAGTGGGGGCAGGAGAGATAAGAGGCTGAGCAAGAGTAGTAGCGGCGGTGAGAAGGATGTCGTGGTGGAGGAGGAACTCGACGAGAAGGCCACCAGCCCGGAGACCTCCCAAGAGGATGTCACCTCGAATCCGTCGAAACCAAAGGTGCGTTTGCCTCGGTCTGGGTATCTGACGGGTTACTGACCCTGTTGCAACAGCCCAACAGTTCCAAACGCTCTCATCACCACAAGAAATCGAAGAACCACGAACCAATGCCTATAGTACCCACCAAACCTGTACGGTATTACTGGGACCATAGATGATCATTCACGACTTGCTTGCTTTCGACTTTCTCACTCGCTGTGTTTTATTGGGTTTTATGTGAGACTTTCCCTTCGCTTCATGGCTGAGAATGCGGCACTGACTGGCGTTGCAGGGACGTTTTTTTGTACTGTACTATACCGCTTGTAACATTTATGAACAATCTGGATTCGCATCAACCACTCCCCTCCTGAAATCGAGCGCTCACAGCCATGGCCGCCTTATTGGCATGACACAAGACGATGGCGATGACGCCCCTATGTCAAGTTGGATACTACCCTCCAACCCAGTGCACATCGCATCATTCAATCCACCGCCCTTCATCCACCGCTCCACCCTACTGTCAAAGACGGCAGACGAACGTGCCCGTCGAATGAAGCCTCGTCCCTATTCCGAATCTTCGCCGCCTGGGCCCTCACCCGCCGAATAACCAAGGTTTCTGCAGCATATTGCGATCTTCGAAGCGCTGTATTGAAGGACTTCTCTCGAATGGTTTATCCGCCACTGAAGCTTCCTCCCCTGCAAACCTCGCAGTTGTGCTTCTCACGACGGTTCCCCTGGTGCCTCCAGGCGGGCTTCACCATCCCAGCCTTGCGCTGAGATTTAGAAGCAGAATCGTGGATACTTGGGAGCTCGGTGGGAAGGCGATTCCATTTGGCAAGTGTCGAATGCAGTTACATACTCCAATGTGAAGATTGTAGGTAAGACATTTCGGACGTATTCCACCGTTTTCTGTGTCTGCGTACGTATTTTCCAACTCACGACATGCAGCAGTCTACATACTACTACAAGTCTTTCGCGGTGTCCGGTCCTGTTTCGCCGATTGCATGCTGAGTATCAGTAACAAGACTACAACTTCCACACTGGTGAGATGAAGATGATTGCTTGGGAGCTTGGACCATTGAGCCAAGGTTCGTATGTATATACTCAAGCAATCAAGGAATGAAGGGAATGAAGGGCGACAGGCCTGAGAGAGCGCGCGGCCCTCCGCTCTAGCCTCTGCTTGTTCAAGTTAGGGGTCCTCGGAAGTTCTCATGATTCTTTTCTCTTGTCAGTGTCAAGGGGGAGGAAGTTCTTCTGCCTGCCTCGTGGGTTAGGGCTGGCTTTTTGGTCTTGGGGATGGAGTGGTACTTGGGCTGTGGGTTTGCGATCGTACCTTGGGTCGTAGAAGGATGCAGGGTCCTTCAAGGGTAGGCGTACTGAACTTTGACGCTGGAGACCGGAGCGGAAGTAAAAGGGAGGGGGATGTTTGCCCCCAGAAATTGGTCTACCCGGCGCCTGGACTGGCAGAATAATAGCCCTGCTCGTCTTATCTGACTCGTTCTGTATAACGAGGGTGACCATGGAATATTCAACCCATAGTTTGTTCTGGGGCGGTCCGTGTGGCGTTTTGCGACTACTGAAGGGATTCGAGAGGAAAGCATTGAGAGAAGTCAAAGGCATTGTTTCTTCTATCTTTAGATGTGAAAATTATACTCCAAAACTCAATAGAAAGAAGAGTACGAGGAGGAAAAGACGAGGAAAAGGCCGACCGGGCCCTCGAGTCTCCCGGCGCCAAAATGAGCACGTGATCGCCAAGGCGCTCTCGGCCGACAAAGACCTCCGCTCGGCCGGAGAAATCCATCTTGACCGAGTCATGTATTTTAAAACTTTGGGCCAATAACCGTCTTGTCGTTTGGCTTTCTCCGTTCACCACCAACTCTCTCAGCTTCGTCCTCGACGTCAACTTACCGTCCCGGGTCCAACGAGATCCCCATCCTCGACGCCCCTCCCTTCCCCACCAAAAAATTAGAAGACGGTCTCGACACCGTTGACCACAGCGAGCAACGATGGCCATGGCTTCTTCAGCAGCTACAAAAGTCCGTCTGCAGGGCTCGAGTCAAAAAGTGACCGCATCTTTGGCACGGTCAAAGTCTACAGCGGCCTCACCCGCCGCATGGGCGACCTCGTCGTCGTGCACGTCGTCGATGGTCGAAGCCAAGCAGAGAGTGCGCGAACACGCACGGTACATCAGTCAGACCACCTCTGCTAACGCGACTGCCGCTCCTTCTGTGTGAGTACCCCTACACCCATCATATATATGCGACTCGAGAGCTAAACAGCTTGATAGACGCCCAAACCCAGCACCCGGTTTCCAACAAGCCCCACCAGCGACCCTCCCACCAAAACAACACCGCGAAGCGCCCCTGGCGAACCCCAACCCCGCCCTCGACCACAGCTTCGTCGGCCTCACCGGTGGCCAAATCTTCCACGAAATGATGTTGCGGCATGGGGTGAAGCACATCTTTGGGTACCCTGGCGGAGCCATCCTGCCGGTGTTCGACGCCATCTACAAGAGCCCCCATTTTGATTTCGTGCTGCCGAGACATGAGCAGGGTGCAGGCCACATGGCGGAGGGCTATGCCCGTGTGTCGGGATTGCCTGGTGTCGTCCTCGTTACCTCAGGTCCTGGGGCTACGAACGTCATTACGCCGATGCAGGATGCTCTGAGCGACGGTATTCCCCTCATCGTCTTCTCCGGCCAGGTAGCGACTGCTGCCATCGGCTCGGACGCTTTCCAGGAAGCGGATGTCGTCGGTATCTCAAGAAGCTGCACCAAGTGGAACGTGATGGTCAAGGACATCAACGAGCTCCCAAGACGCATCAACGAGGCGTTCAAGATCGCCACCTCCGGACGCCCCGGCCCTGTCCTCGTCGATCTCCCCAAGGACGTTACCGCCAGCATCCTCAAGACCCCTCTGCCCTACAAAGCTACCACCCCTGGCGTCAACCTCGGCCTGCCCAACAGCTTCCTCCAGAGCAGCGATCCTCCCGTCGACCACGCCCTCGTCGAGCGCGCCGCCGACCTCATCAACCGTGCCCAACGCCCCGTGATCTATGCCGGCAACGGTGTCCTCTCCTCCCCCATGGGCCCTAAGTTCCTCGCAGAGCTGTCCGAGAAGGGCAACATCCCTGTGACGACGACCCTGCAGGGCCTCGGTGCGTTCGACGAGACGAACGCGCGGAGTCTGCACATGTTGGGTATGCACGGTAGTGCGTACGCCAACCTGGCGATGCAACACGCCGACGTTATCATCGCCCTCGGTGCACGCTTCGACGATCGTGTGACCGGCAAGCTCGACACCTTCGCTCCCGCCGCCAAGGCCGCTGCTCGCGAGGGTCGCGGTGGTATCATCCACTTTGAGATCCAGCCCAAGAACGTGAACAAGGTCGTCGAGGCTCAGATCCCCGTCCTCGGTGACGTCGTCGCCAACCTCGCTGCCCTCGTTTCTCACATCAAGAAGGCACCGAGAGAGGAGTGGTTCGCTGATATCCAGAAGTGGAAGAAGGACTATCCGTTCACGTATGTTCCCAGCAAGAAGGGCGAGCGGATGAAGCCTCAGGAGGTTGTGGAGGAGTTGGAGAAGCAGACGAAGGATCGCAAAGACGATGTGATTGTGTCGACAGGTGTTGGACAGCATCAGATGTGGGCCGCACAGTTCTTCAGGTGGAGACAGCCTCGGTCGATGGTCACCTCTGGTGGATTGGGCGTACGTATTGATTTTTCTACGTTGTTGATGCCGGGCTAACGTTCCATTTAAGACCATGGGCTTCGGTCTGCCAGCGGCTATCGGTGCCAAGGTTGCCGCTCCCAACAAGGTCGTCGTCGACATCGACGGTGATGCTTCCTTCAGCATGACTGCTATGGAGCTCGCCACTGCCGCCCAGTACGGTATCGGTGTCAAGGTCCTCATCCTTAACAACGAGTTCCAAGGAATGGTGTTGCAATGGCAAGGTTCGTATCTTAGTCGACCTTCACCCCTCCTCCCCCATGCTAACTTTAACCCCTAATTAGATCTGTTCTATGAGAAGCGCTACTCCCACACACGCATGATCAACCCCGACTTTGTGCTGTTGGCCAAGGCTATGGGTGTACACGGCATCAAATGTAACTCTGCGGAGGAGCTGCCAGCGAAGATGAAGGAGTTCTTGGAGTACGACAACTCGAAGCCTGTGGTGCTGGAGTGCTTCGTGGAGAAGGATGAGCATGTGTTCCCCATGGTTCCAGCCGGCAAGGCGCTCCATGAGCAATTGCTCCATCCGATGTTGACCAACAAGGATTAGACGGTCGTCTAGTTCTTGTCGTCCTCTCCCGCCCTTATTCCTCTCTCCACTGCATTGATCACGCTTCGGTAGCAGGGATGCTATCGTACTCCTACTAGTAGCTTGCATTTATCTTCTCCTTTCTCTCTGCTGATCACATCTTACCATTATTTTTTTTGCATTCTCACCATTTGCTCGCTGTCATTACAACTACCGCATCCACACCACCTCTACATAGTCGGCCTCTTCACACTTCTATTGCGTTACCTTTATTGTTTTTCCCCTTCGTTTGTGATGGACGTTGTTGGATTTGGATGTTTCTCAAAGGCGTACTACTTACCTCGTTACTTACTGTCTTTTCTATCTCTTTGATCACTGTTGATCACGCGCGTATTATGGTGAAGGCTGACTGACCGAACAAACTTACGGATGTCGATAAACGACTGGTTTTCCTCTTTCTCTCTGTTTTTGTGCTCTTGTGTGTCTGTGTGTGTTTTGGAGACCAAGTCGAAAAGTTACTTACGGTTACCTTGTGTATTATTTGAAGAAATGAACAGGACGAAAATGAAGCTGTTGTAGACTGGTTTTGACGTTGTCAGTGTGCTGGTTCACGTCGTATTCTAGTTATAGGAGGCTGGTTTATTCCTTGCAATCATGAGTACATACTGTGTCGATTTTCATTGTCTTTGGATTCCCTGAGATGAATAGTGTGTGTTACGTCGATTGGCAGGCGTTGGGTAGGCCCAGGTTCTACAACGGTATTGCCTAATTTGGTGGTACGCTTGCCTTTTTCAGGAAGCGCACATCGAAGCAGGATGTCCCTGCTTCAGGGTGTATATGCGGGGGGTACATGAAGAGCTACCGGCTGCTCCATCCGAGCGCCGCTATCTTCGTGGTGAACGATAATCCGTTGTGCACTGCGCTGCGCCATTGTTGGTGCTCCCAGCGAACTTGATGACTCCGGCGTGGTTGTAACACGACTCCCCTTGCGGTGATATGCGACAGTTGAGCCTATTTCAATGGAAAGTGGTGAGATTTGCGCATGCGAGAGCGACCCGGGGCTCTGAAGTGCAGGTCGAGTGCCGGAGTTGGATGTTTGGTTAAGGTGTGGCTCTTCCGTCTTCGCCTTGTGGCGCGCCATCATGAAATACACGAGCAATATCGTCAAGCAAAGCAAGGCGACTCCACCTAAGGTACCACCGACGATGGCCCCAATAATCTGTTGGTTGCCTTCATTATCCGTATCGGTTTGGGTGATCGTGCTCGGTTTTGGGATTGCCGAAGGGTCTGTCGAGATTAGTGGCTGACTAGCGGAACGTGGCTGTGAGGATTCATGCTCGCCAGTCTGCGAAGTTGAATTCGGATGAAGCGAAGTGGAGGAGGAAGAGCTACCAGCTAGGGTTGATTCCACGGGGGCTGGATCTACGGGACTTGAACCCACAGAGTTTGAAGGAGCGACGGATATAGCTTCAGCCATTATGCTTCCATCTTGCACCAGAAGCTCGTCAAAGGTGAACGGTGCGTTGCCTCCCTCCCAAGCCACGTCCAGTGTATGAGCGCCCATTGGTAGCCTTTCGGTCTCGAACAATATTCCACCGAACACCCGTTCCTCCCCGGGTCGTGCTCCCCGTATTCTGAATGGGACTGGATCCTGGCCATCGACAACATACGTTCCTGAAGAGTCTCCCTGCGAGTCCGCTCGAAGGACTCGGCCTACCCAATTAGCCTTGGTTCCTGAAACGCCATCGGTGAGTAAAGGGATGGATAGAACCTACAGCTATTTCCTGCATACCTGTAAAGTTCACCCTAATTCTTGCATCTGGATCCGTCGACCACCTGGCATTTCCCTGATCCGTCGACCACCGCCCTCTCAGGTACTCTACTGCAGGGTCGTCTATATCGATAATAACCACCGGGTTCGACAAAGTGTCCCTTACGTCCTCCAATGGGAAATAGGTGATTTGATCGACGTAGAATGTAGATCCCTGGGCGGACCGGTCGACGTCAATGGTGAACACATGATCTCCCTCTGGAAGCTCCTGTGGGAGGCCGCAGAGAGGCCACCGGTGAAGACCTGGGAGAGGACCAGGTGATGCGGGAATTGTTCTTCCATCAATCGCACATGTCCAGAACGGTGGTTCTGCTTCTCCCCGGCCAGGTGGCAATGGAGGGGCTGTTCCTTGAACCAGGAGCTGTGATCCTGGGCCCAGAGAGATGGTCATTGCCATGCTACCTGTCTGGGAGAGGCCAGGGCATGGAGTCATGGGCTTACCTCTGAAGCGGAAAGATAGGCTGGCTGGTCCAGTCGTAGCGTGTTGGGAACCAAGGTAGGGTAGGCCTCGGTCGCCTGTTGGTTGGAACACTATGGACCCTGTATCCGTTTAATTCGTACGTACCGTCCGTGAAAAGGTCCAGAATTCACGTACAACACGTTACCTATGTGTTACCTCGAAAATGTGTGACTTTTGAGCCCCAGCATTCTCCGTGAGTTGCTCGTGAGCGAGAACTCACGGATTTGGAAGTAACGGAATCTGCCTGGATTCTCCGTTTGCTATCCATCACAACTATGCCCAATACCTAATTCTTTTTGTATGACCTAGGCATTAGGAGAGTCTGAGAAAGGTAAGTTGAGAGGTTTCATTGGAGAGGTAGGGAGAGTAAGGTACGGGGACAAGAGATTCGACTTGAAGGTGGACTTAGGCGTTCGCGCGTCTCCCCACATCAGGTGATCACGCCTTTGCCAAACAGAGACCAACCACGCCAGAGTGTGCGGCGTGCAAGCCCTTTCTCTTTCCTGCCAACCAACCTCTCATCCTCTTCTGCGCGAATGCTACTCTCACAGTACCTATTGAAACGCAGTGAGCCTGAGGCTTCGAGGAGGGCGGTAGTGGCAAGGTGTGTACACATATTCTGTGTCACTTTGACATATTTTTGACTTTCGCAGAGGATGCCGAAGCAGGGCGAGATTCCGAGAAGGACAAGGTTGAGGGGGTGAATGGCGGACAAAACACGGATAATTGTATGTTTTCCCTCTTTTCCAAATTTAATATCGCGTGGTTTCTCAGAGCGAGGGCTCCAATTCTGGCAAGAAGCGCTGTCGTCCTCCCAGACCAACGCTCTGTGAAGAAATCATACAAGATTCAACTGCCCAGATTGGCGACCTCCAGGACCAACTCGCTGCAAACAAAGGTATGTATTTACTCATCTGAAAACCGTAGCCCCGTAGTATAGTGTTGTGCACACGCCTGTACATTACCAACTGCCGCTATAATCAAAATTACAATCTGACGTAGCTTGTGTCAGGAGATGGGCGTGAGTGAAGAGGAGTGAGGCGAAGTCTGAGATGGAGAGGAGACTTCGGGGTCGGAGGTTAGCCTTGGTCTCACGTTATAAGAACGTGTACCCTTCGTCAAGGTTCCTATGGCTGGCTAGGCCGACGGACCGGACGGACGCCTTGCGGCGAGAGCGCGACGTAGAGAGACGACTGGAGCTAAAGGCTCAACGGTCGAAGACGTGGAGAGAGTTAAGTTAGACTTAGGAATTCGGACAGAGGATTCGATGAGGGGAAAGTCCTAGTCGATGGAGGAGAGGGGATTGAGTCCTAGTCGATGCAGAAGGGAGGATGGAGATCCTAGTCGAGATTCCGGATGAGGTATCTACTACAAAACCATACAGTACTTATAGAGGACACGTCTAGAGAATCTTCGACAAGAGAAGTGCGGAGAAACGATGGAGAAACATGAAGGCGAGACTAAGATGTATGAATGAGAAATGCAAACGACATGAAGGCGAATCGATCCAAGAACAACACAAGAGAGTCGAAGAAGCTATCTACGAACCAATCACAACATGATAAGAAAGTCTAGAGCAAAGACATGAAAGTAAAAAGGTCGAAGACAAGTCTTGAGCAAAGAACATGTGATGAGGAAAGATAAGCCGAAGAAAAGAAAGATAATAACATCGATAAATCAGGAAAGTCGAGATATGACGTACGAGGGAACTTCGGACAACAACAAAGAACGAATACGTCTAAAAAGGGAACATACTTCCAAAGAACAATACAGAGTCGAAGGCTTCGAAATACCAAGCGCGCGCCTAAAGTCCACTAGACTTCCGGAGGATCCGAGATCACGGAAGGAGCCGAGTCGCGCGTCTTGCCTGATCCGGGTGAAGTCTAGATCAGTAGACATTGACACGACCGGAGTCTAGGTGGCGGTGCGGCTGAAGACGTTGGGGAAGTCGAGGGTTCGAGTATGGCTGGAAGCGAAAGTCGAGACGTCGGGATGTGAAGTCGAAGTGTCGAAGTCTAAGCCGAGTCTAGGGAAGGCGCGAGTGTATATCAGAGTTCTGCTAAGTGCACGAGCCCTGACAGTACCCCCCTGTTACGGCCGAGCCCTCGAGGCCAAAGGTGAAGTCGATGTCGAAGAGAAATTGAAGCATAGGAATGTGAAAGAAAAGAAAATGAAGTCGAAGGAAAAAATGAGAAGTCGAGATAACAAGGCGAAGGCGGACGGGTCACCACTCGGGTCCAGGCTTGTCGGGATATCGACGATGGAAGTCTTCGACTAACTCCCTGGCATGGCTCAACTCGGTAGCAAGGAGCCAGGAGCGTTCTTCGTCTGTGTTCTCGTAGCCTAACCAGCGTACTTCATAGAGAAGCTTGCAGGCGCGTCTACGACGATCCACTTTCGAGTCTAGGATTTCGGCAATCTCATACTCCAATTCGCCGTCTACCTCTACCGGAGGTGGAGGAGGCTCGTGACGAAGAGGAATCTGAGACTCGTGATGGGGTTCGAGCATCGAGACGTGGAAGACGGGGTGAACGGAACGCATGGAGTCTGGAAGTCGAAGGGTGAAGGAGTGGGTGCCAACCTGAGCAATAATCTCGTAAGGACCGAGATATCGTTCAGACAACTTCTTGGTAGGTCGGGTGGTTCGGAAGAAGGCAGCTTTGACGAAGACGCGATCACCGACTTTGAAGTCTGGGGGTGCTAGACGTTTGCGATCGGCGTATAGCTGGTAAGACTTCTGTGCGGCGGTGATAGATTCCCGAAGGTACTCGTGCAACGAGGCGAGGTCGACTGCAAATTCTTGCGCGGCGGAACTGGCTAAGTCGCGTTCAGGGTGGATGTTAAGACTTGGATGGTAACCCTTGTTTGCGAAGAAACGGCGAGACACCAGTGGTAGCTGAAGGCGCGTTGTTGTAAGCGAATTCGGCGAGGGGAAGGAGTCGATGCCAATCATCCTGCTGGTAAGAACAATACGCCCGAAGGTACTGCTCCAAGGTCTGGTTAACTCGTTCGGTCTGTCCGTCGCCTTCAGGGGTGATAACCTGAGGTGAAGTGAAGCTTCATGTCCAAGGCTTCGCCCAAAGCACGGAAAAAGTGGGAGACGAACTCTGAACCACGATCAGACGTCACGTTCGAAGGGACGCCGTGCTTGGAGAAGACGTGGATGACGAAAAGGCGTGCAAGCTCCGCAGACGTGAGATATTGGTCTGTGGGGATGAAGATAGCTTGCTTGGACAGGCGATCAACGATCGACGAGGATGTCTGTGAAACCACCAGAGGAAGGAAGTTGCTCGACGAGATCCATGGAGATGGATTCCCAAGGACGGAGGGGAATGGGTAGCTGCTTCAAGAGACCATAAGGCTTGTGGCGAGGAGTCTTCGTACGGCGACAAGTCGTGCAAGAATTGACGTAGTCTGCGACAAACGAACGCAGTTTAGGCCAAACATAGTCACGTCTAACCAATTCGATCGTTTTGTTGCGACCGAAGTGACCAGCGAGAGGGTGATCATGCTTGAGCTGCAAGACTCGAAGACGTAAGCCGGGACTATCTGGAACGTAGATACGCCCATCAAGTCTAAGAAGACCGTCGGATGGAAGCTCCCAACGAGGGTCAGAAGGAGTGGGAAGTTGTGAAGAGGCGAGGGGGTCCGAAGAATAAGAAGCCTTGATATCAGAATGAAGACTAGCAGAGTCGACAACCAGCGAGGCTCGGAGGGCAGGGATGTAGATAGTCGAAGCCCTCAATGACGAAGCCAGCTGCTCAGACGCGAAGATTGGACGAAGGTTGACCGGATTTACGCTGGCGAAGTCACTACCCCCCTGTTTAAGGTAGACGTCCCATCGTCGTGTTAGCGCATCAGGCTTGGTGCCCAATTTGCCAGGACGGAAACGGACGACGAGGTTAAACTGGGAAAGGTATTCAGACCACCGCGCCTGACGGCGAGTGAGAACCTTGGTAGTCGAGAAGTACTCGAGGTTCTTATGGTCTGTGACGACGTTGACCGGGTCGCCTGCGCCTTCCAAGTAGTGACGCCAGACTTTGAACGCCTCGAAAGATGGCAAGGAGTTCTTTGTCATGGACGTCGTAGTTGAGTTCGGCGGCTTGGAAAGTGCGGGAGTGAAAGGCGACTGGGTGGATCTCTCCAGACTCGAGCTGAATAGAGAGAATGGCGGCCAAGGCGTAGTCGGAGGCGTCTGTCTCGATGATGAGAGGTCGATCGGGTTGCCAGTGAACAAGAATAGGAGCAGAAATGAAAGCAGACTTGAGGGTCTCGAAAGACTTGCGAGCGGCGGAAGAAAACTCAAAAGGCGTGTCTTTGCGAGTAAGGCGCGTGAGCGGAACGACGATGTCGGAGTAGCCGTGGATGAAACGACGATAGAAGTTGGCGAAACCGAGGAAAGACTGGACGTCTTTCACTGAACGAGGTTCAGGCCAATCCTGGATGACTTTGACTTTCTCAGGCGACATGGTGAGGCCGTCGGGTGAAAGAATGTACCCAAGGTACTCGACGCGGTCAGCGTGGAACTCACACTTCTTAGGCGAAGCATAAAGCCCGTGCTTGCGGAGACGCCTAAGCACCTCTTTGACGTGTTCACGATGCTGAGAGAGATTGTCGGAGAAAACCAGGATGTCGTCGAGGTATACGATAACCGAGACGTCGGTCATATCGGCGAAGATGTCGTTCATAAAACGCTGAAAAGCGGACGGCGCGTTAGTGAGACCAAAAGGCATCACCAACCACTCGAAAGAGCCATAGCGAGTTCGAAAAGCAGTCTTCCACTCGTCCCCATCCGCAATGCGCACAAGGTGGTAGGCGTGCTTCAAGTCGATCTTGGAATAGACTTTGGCACGAGCTGGGGCTGCAAGAAGGTCCGAGATGAGGGGTAACGGATAGCGGTCCTTCTTGGAGATGCGGTTAAGCGCCCGGTAATCCACACAAAGACGTAGGGAGCCATCCTTCTTCTTGACGAAGAGAATGGGTGCGCCCTAGCGGAGAAGTCGAAGAGCGAATGAAACCAGCGCGCAAATTCTCGTCCAAGAACTCGCGTAGCGCAAGGGTTTCGGCTGGGGAGAGAGAATAAAGCCGACTCGGAGGAAGGGGCTGAGACTCGTCCAGATCAATGCGCAAGTCGTAAGGGCGATGTGGCGCAAGCGAATAAGCCTTGGCGTTGCTGAAGACGTCGGCAAATTCGTGATACTCTTCCGGGACATTGGAAAGATCTGGAGTGTCGGTAGTGCTAGTCGAAGCAGCACAAGCCCGCGAGACGTTGTCTGAAGAAGGGAGAAATAGAAAGCGAGAAGGTCTGCGAACCACTCATGCGAACAGCTCGACGATAGGCTGAAGCGTTCACAAAAGCGATTGGCACAGGGTTAGAAGTGAAAGAAGGAGGAGACTTAGAAGGAGAAGATGAAGACTTGGAAGTAGAAGAAGAAAGGGAAATGGAAGGAGGAATCGACATCGACGAGTCTTGAGGCGAATCTTGAGGTAAAGGAACAATCGGTTCCTGCGGTGATAAATGGTCGGAGTCGAGTGAGTCGAAGTCGATGGGGGAAGGAAGAGAGACGGAAGATTTGGTCGAAGAAGGGACCACGGAAGGCTGAGACGCCTGTGACGGAAGGCTGGATGAAGAAACCGGAGGTCTCGACGTTTGCTGCGACGAGTGAGCTCAAAGAAGAGGGGTTATCGGCCGATTCGAACGAAAGTATCTGACCACGACGCCAGTCAATCAACGGATTGTATCGGCGGAGCCAGTTGTGTCCAAGAATCAGGGGATACGGAGCATCCAGCTTTGTGATGAAGCACTTGAGAAAGAACTCATCACCAGACGGAAAGCGGAGGATGATATCCGCTGCAGAAGTGAGCCAAGTACGAACAGATCCCATCAAGGAGTCTAAGGGGCACTGGCGGAATTTCGTAAAATTGCAAAGTCGAATGAGAATTGACAAAGTCTGAGTCGAGGAAACAGTCCGTACAACCCGAATCCACCAGGGAGTCGAGGTCGATAGGCGAAGACGTCGAAGAATAAACGGAGACCGAAAACGAGAGAGCATGGGGATCGGAGAGAGCAGCAGCATTAAGTCGAACCTCAGGCACTCCTGCTGAGAGGCTGCAGTCAACTGGAGGAGGCGAGGTCAGCAGACTGCTCAAGCTTTTCCCGCAGACGTGTCAGTGGCAGGCTGACCGGCGGAAGCAAAGCGAGCGCGATGTCTAGACTTGGGGCACTCTGACGCCTTGTGCTCTGTGCTGCCACACACCATACAAAGGCTTTCCTTGATACGGCGGGCACGCTCCTCAGGCTTGAGCTTTCCGCTAGCGTCAAGCTTGTCGGCGTAAGGGCGAGGAGGGGCAGAGGACGTCGAGGGTGTCGACGATGAAGTCGAGGGAGTCGTAGACGAAGAAGAAGATGAAGTCTTGTTCGATCTTTCCTTTGGCAGAGGAAGAGGTCGACGAAGACGAAGTGTTACCGGCCGACTGAGGCGAAGTCTTGGTCGAGTTAGATGAAGTCGAAGCCGGGGTGGCCAAAGAGCCAGACGAGAGAGAGGGTGAAGACGAAGCCTTGCCAGATAGCTTGGCTTGGAGGGCCTTGAGGAGAGCTTGATCACGACGAATCTCCTCTTGACGTTCGTGCCACACGTTCGTCCCATGTCGAAGACGACATTCTGCAACTCCAAAAGCGTAGCAGGCCGAGGACGTTTAGCCAACTCGTTCTTGATGCGGTCGGAGAGCCCAGTGTAGTACTGAGAACGTAAAGGCGCTTCGTTCCAGTTGATGCGTGCGGCGAGCTCATTGAAGTCGAGGGTATACTGGTAGGCACGTCCTGTCATCGTCAACGCACGAATTATGCGTTCTGCGTCGCCGATGGGGTTCTTGGGGCCGAAGACGAGAGTCAGCTCCTCGATGAAGAGGTCCAGATTGTCAAACCAAGGCAACGTCGCATCGGTAGTGCGAGCCACATTGATTCGAGATGCGAAGTAAGTGTACGCCTTGCCCTTGAGGTAGGAGAGGGCAGTAGCCACAGCGTCTCTCGGGTGCTTGAAGGTGTGCATGTAGCGACCGAGATAAACTGTAAGCTGGGCGATGAAGGCGTCTAGGAGTTCGGGATCTGAGCCGTCGAAAGGGTCGGGAGCACGAAGTCTAGGGGTACTGGAGGACTGAGACTCGAGTTTCTCGAGAGCCTTCGCAAGGGTACGAGCATTTGACTGCTGACCCTCGACGAGGTGCTCGAGAATGCGACGAAGGACGGGTTGGAAGTCGTTGGAGTCGTCTTGAGCTTGAGTCTCGGAGTCTCCGCCAGGCGGATCGCCAGACGGGTCACCAGGTCCACCACCACCACCATGGTTAGGAGGAGGGTCGCCACCACCGCTGCCAGACGGCGGGGGACCACCAGAGTCGCCACCTGGGGGACCTCCACCACCACCTCCCCTGGGATCAGGCGGATCACCAGGAGGCGTGCGAGGGGGAGAGCCAGAGGGATCAAAGGCGAAAGGGAGTGGATCATCGCCTCCTTTGCCAGAGGAAGACGGATCACCACGACGCGAGTTGGAGACGCGACCTGCAGCACCACTGGGGTTGCCAGACCCAGAGTCTGAGGCGCGAAGACCACCGAAGGCGCTGGTAGCGAGGCCACCAGGGATGCCTAGATGCGAGGCTACGAACTCTTCTTCGCGAGCGTCGTTAGACATGCCGCGTCGAATGGTAGCTTGACCGAGGAAAGACGTAGGAGGTTGCCAAATAGCGGTTGCAGCTATGGCAGGTGATGTCGAATTCGAGATGTAGAAGGGATCGGTGAGGGACTCGTGTCTGGAGTGCGATAAGGGTCGAGGTTGGCCCAGTGCGGACGCTGAAGGAGGAGGGCGAGGGCGACGAAAGTCGTAGCGGTCTTGATCGGACATAGACGTAGACTTGGAACGACAAGACGAAGTATCGAATCCGGAATCTACTGTCAGGAGATGGGCGTGAGTGAAGAGGAGTGAGGCGAAGTCTGAGATGGAGAGGAGACTTCGGGGTCGGAGGTTAGCCTTGGTCTCACGTTATAAGAACGTGTACCCTTCGTCAAGGTTCCTATGGCTGGCTAGGCCGACGGACCGGACGGACGCCTTGCGGCGAGAGCGCGACGTAGAGAGACGACTGGAGCTAAAGGCTCAGCGGTCGAAGACGTGGAGAGAGTTAAGTTAGACTTAGGAATTCGGACAGAGGATTCGATGAGGGGAAAGTCCTAGTCGATGGAGGAGAGGGGATTGAGTCCTAGTCGATGCAGAAGGGAGGATGGAGATCCTAGTCGATGGAGAAGGGAGGATGGAGAGTCCTCGTCGAGATTCCGGATGAGGTATCTACTACAAAACCATACAGTACTTATAGAGGACACGTCTAGAGAATCTTCGACAAGAGAAGTGCGGAGAAACGATGGAGAAACATGAAGGCGAGACTAAGATGTATGAATGAGAAATACAAACGACATGAAGGCGAATCAATCCAAGAACAACACAAGAGAGTCGAAGAAGCTATCTACGAACCAATCACAACATGATAAGAAAGTCTAGAGCAAAGACATGAAGTAGAAAGGTCGAAGACAAGTCTTGAGCAAAGAACATGTGATGAGGAAAGATAAGCCGAAGAAAAGAAAGATAATAACATCGATAAATCAGGAAAGTCGAGATATGACGTACGAGGGAACTTCGGACAACAACAAAGAACGAATACGTCTAAAAAGGGAACATACTTCCAAAGAACAATACAGAGTCGAAGGCTTCGAAATACCAAGCGCGCGCCTAAAGTCCACTAGACTTCCGGAGGATCCGAGATCACGGAAGGAGCCGAGTCGCGCGTCTTGCCTGATCCGGTGAAGTCTAGATCAGTAGACATTGACACGACCGGAGTCTAGGTGGCGGTGCGGCTGAAGACGTTGGGGAAGTCGAGGGTTCGAGTATGGCTGGAAGCGAAAGTCGAGACGTCGGGATGTGAAGTCGAAGTGTCGAAGTCTAAGCCGAGTCTAGGGAAGGCGCGAGTGTATATCAGAGTTCTGCTAAGTGCACGAGCCCTGACAGCTTGCGTGACCCACTAGCGTGCTTTCCGTTCGTACTCCGTATGTTTTGAGCAGGTAAGTAACGGAATGGGTAGGAGAAAAGGCCCAAGGGCAGTACAAGCAAACGGAGACATAGCGCACGAGTTTGTTGAACATTTGTAGAAGAAACGGAAAGATACGGATGCTCCTGGGGTTGTGCGTGAATCGGTATATTTCTCAAATGCGTTTAGGTACATCAAATCCGAGTTTATTCTAAACGGGTAAGTAACGCGCGAAAACTAACGCAGCATCCGTGACTGGGCGTTTGGAGTTGACGGCTGGTGCGTTTACTGACGACGCGCCAGCCGTTTGCAAATCCGTTTATTTTAAATGGGTGCAGGGTCCATAGTGGGAAGGAGTTCTGTACAGACCATGGACCTTGGTATTCGACTTGTGGGTCAGAGTCGTCCAGAGTCACCCATCTTACCCTGGAGGACATTCCACTGAAGGAGGCGAGAAAGGCGAGGGAAGAGTGTCAAAGTTGCACGCTGTTTCTGATAGTGCGCTGGTGACAGGTCTATATACCCTCTCATGATCTACCAACACGGAGTGGCAGGGTTGCATCTGCTTCTGATCATTCTGACTGTCTGGAAGCCATCGTACTCAGGGAGCGCTCGATGTCGATGTAGAAGCTCAAACTGTCACAGCGCTCCATCCTCGAGGCACCATACGGATTGGCTTCTCAGACTTGGTAAACAGGGCTCAGGGCTCAGCTGAGCCTGGTAGCCTGCGGAAAATGAGATCATGCGCTGCTATACAGACGCAAGGACTTGAAGTCACCCGAAACCTTGTTTTCCTGGCGAAATCTTTTCATTTGCTAATTTTAGTCTCTCTGGGAAAATCAGACAGGTAACTGACCTCTTGGGCATCCCGGGCGCCGTCACCCGTGCCTCCTGAGCTTGCTCCAACCCGCGCGAAGCTTAACTTGATGACTCGCGGGCGCATGATCGGGTTTCCGACCACACGAGTGACATGCAGAGAAGATCTAAGGCTGCTTCGATGGTGTCAAGGCCCCAGAATTTGGCTCTTCTCCGAATATCAGCCAAGCCTGGGATCCATATCGGTACCGTCGCCCAATTTGGTCGCGTACCTGCCGCTTTCAGCTGCCAGAAGGATCGGTCTGGACTCTGGATGATCAAACACGAACTGTCAGGGGGCATATTGGGGAGATACATGGAGAACTAGTTCTGAATCTGTCCCAGCGCCACTATCTCCTTGGTCGATGATACTAGGCTGTGCATCCTCCGCCGTTGGTACTGGACCGCCCTTGCGGTCATCGAGCGTAACTGGAAGTGATAACTCGAAAGACGAGCTGACGTTAGATGACGATACCGCTCCAAGCAACGCACCACTACCACTTGGTGTCGGTGTAGGAAGTTCACCTTCGATGGAAGTTTGCAGTTGATTCAGTGTCTGCGAAGAAGGGCACAACTTGGGTTGTCGGAGGGTTTGGAATCGTGCTGCTTCCAGATCCTGTCCGTGAGAGATATCTTGAAGATTCAACGTTTTGACGAGGCATACGAGGATTAGAAGGCCGCACAGCACACAAGGTGCCTCCAACGATTGTCCCAATTACCTCCCTGGAGTCTGTATCAGAGGTCAAATCCAGGCTCCCGGAAGGGTTGAGGGTGAGGGAATGGATTGTTGAGATGTGTTGGATGCCGGAATCATCGCGTCATGATCTATTCAGCCATGTTAAGTACCGCACATGGACACTATCCCGGAAATGTGAGATATGTCGGGAAAGGGAATTCGAGATAGCCAAGCATCTAATCCTTGGTGTGTAAAGTGGGATGGAGCAACTGCTCATGAAGGGCCCGACCTGCAGGTACCATCGGGAACACATGTTCGTCCTTCTCCACGAAGCACTCCATCACCACAGGCTTCGAGTTGTCGTATTCGAGGAACTCCTTCATCTTGGCTGGCAGGTCTTCCAGAGAGTTGCATCTGATCCCATGGACACCCATAGACTGGCCAAAAAGAACGAAGTCTGGATTGATCATGCGCGAGTGGGAGTAACGCTTCTCATAGAAGAGATCTGAGAGAATGTCAGGAACCAGGTAGGGAGTTCCACTGTAACCGTGACGGACCTTGCCATTGCAGAACCATGCCTTGGAAGTCGTTGTTCAGGATGAGGACTTTGACACCGATGCCGTATTGAGCAGCTGTGGCGAGCTCCATAGCCGTCATGCTAAACGACGCATCGCCGTCAATATCGACGACAATTTTGTTGGGAGCAGCAACCTTGGCACCGATAGCCGCTGGCAGACCGAAGCCCATCGTCTAACATGAGGCCTTAGAACAAAAGCAATTAAGAACAAGGGTATAGACACGTACGCCTAATCCACCAGATGTGACCATCGACCGAGGCTGTCTCCACCTAAAGAACTGTGCGGCCCACATCTGATGCTGTCCAACACCTGTCGACACAATCACATCGTCCTTGCGATCCTTCGTCTGCTTCTCCAACTCCTCCACAACCTCCTGAGGCTTCATCCTCTCGCCCTTCTTACTGGGAACATACGTGAATGGATAGTTCTTCTTCCACTTCTGGATATCAGCGAACCACTCCTCTCTCGGTGCCTTCTTGATGTGAGAAACGAGGGCAGCGAGGTTGGCGACGACGTCACCGAGGACGGGGATCTGAGCCTCGACGACCTTGTTCACGTTCTTGGGCTGGATCTCAAAGTGGATGATACCACCGCGACCCTCGCGAGCAGCGGCCTTGGCGGCGGGAGCGAAGGTGTCGAGCTTGCCGGTCACACGATCGTCGAAGCGTGCACCGAGGGCGATGATAACGTCGGCGTGTTGCATCGCCAGGTTGGCGTACGCACTACCGTGCATACCCAACATGTGCAGACTCCGCGCGTTCGTCTCGTCGAACGCACCGAGGCCCTGCAGGGTCGTCGTCACAGGGATGTTGCCCTTCTCGGACAGCTCTGCGAGGAACTTAGGGCCCATGGGGGAGGAGAGGACACCGTTGCCGGCATAGATCACGGGGCGTTGGGCACGGTTGATGAGGTCGGCGGCGCGCTCGACGAGGGCGTGGTCGACGGGAGGATCGCTGCTCTGGAGGAAGCTGTTGGGCAGGCCGAGGTTGACGCCAGGGGTGGTAGCTTTGTAGGGCAGAGGGGTCTTGAGGATGCTGGCGGTAACGTCCTTGGGGAGATCGACGAGGACAGGGCCGGGGCGTCCGGAGGTGGCGATCTTGAACGCCTCGTTGATGCGTCTTGGGAGCTCGTTGATGTCCTTGACCATCACGTTCCACTTGGTGCAGCTTCTTGAGATACCGACGACATCTGCTTCCTGGAAAGCGTCCGAGCCGATGGCAGCAGTCGCTACCTGGCCAGAAAAGACGATGAGGGGAACACCGTCGCTCAGAGCATCCTGCATTGGCGTAATGACGTTCGTAGCTCCTGGACCGGAGGTAACGAGGACAACACCAGGCAATCCCGACACACGGGCATAGCCTTCAGCCATATGTCCCGCACCCTGTTCGTGTCTGGGCAACACAAATCCAAAATGAGGAGAGTTATAGATGGCGTCGAACACTGGGAGGATAGTTCCTCCGGGGTATCCAAAAATATGCTTGACACCGTGTCGAAGCATCATTTCGTGGAAGATTTGCCCGCCCGTCAGGCCAACGAAGGTATGGTCGAGGGCCAGGTTGACGTTCGACAGGGGCGCTTCACACTGGTCTTTCGACGGAGGGGGCGGCGGTTGCTGGATGGCCGCCGCTACGTTGGGGTGTCTACCCATGCAGTCCCTATCAGTATCACTGGACTTCATTTATGACTCGACTTGAATACTTACACAGAGTGAGCAGCGGTCGCGCTGGCAGCAGTGGTTCTACTGATGTTACGCGCGTGTTCGCGCACCCTTTGCTTGGCTTCAACCATCGGCGACGAGGTCTTCCATGCAGTGGGTGAGACCGCGATGGACTTGAGCATTGACAGAGGCGCGGTCATCTTGTGGCTTGGCGTCCGCAGATGGACCTTCGCAGTTGCATAAGACATGTCCCTCGGTGTTTGATATGGTCGACAGCGGTGAGGCCGACTGAGGTGGGGGTTGGTGCGTTGGGGATGTATACCTGGTTGAATTGGGATTGGCGGTCAGCCTTAACGCGCCCTGGGCACCAACAGCTAGGGGGTTTTAGATGCTAGAAGAAAGATATGACTCGGTTCAAGATGGAACTCTCCGGCCGAGCGGAGGTGCATGTCGGCCGGCACCACTAGCAGGTTTTTTGGCGCCTGTGTGTTCGAACGGCTCCCGATGCCTATCGGCCTCCGAAGTCACGCGTCTGCAAAGCTACAACGAGTTGCAGATAGACCGCAGAGGAGACGAGGCTGTCTGCACGAACCGTTGCAGGACCCAGGAGTACTCCCACTCCTCCATGTCCCTCGTGTCCAAGCGAGGTTAGTCAACGAGGGGAGGAAGAGAGCATTTATCAAGCAAGACTCGACGTGACCTAACTGCAGTAGCGCTCCCGTTCGAGCGCCGGTTTGCCAGGAAGGGGCCCGATGGTCAACTTGGTCCTGCCGCTGGCCCACGCTGCCTAGCAGCCAATGTCGGAGAGTCGATATGCATTCAAGAACGAAGGCACCATTCGTCTAGGTAGTTTCAGCGAGCTCAGACCCCTTTAACATCGTTGAGTGAATCGCCTTGCCGTGCGCATTCGTTTTGTTGGTCGCCGCCAGGTCATTGTTCTGGATGTTGCCAAAGAGTTATGATTGCTGTCAGGAATCGGTCTTGTCTCTTCGCTCAGACACTGTTGGATCGTTGGAGTCGGTATGGAGGGTATAGCACCAGCTTGCAGACATAGTTCGCGTCTCCGCGTCGACAGCGATTGGGGAGGAGGCAAAGGTTGTTCTCTGGAACCTTGCTTGGTCGGGCGTAGTGATGGCGCTGATGCAATCAAAGTTGGAATCCCACGCCCGAGATCTTGAGCCGTCCAACCCAACTCAGACCCAACTTGCCCATGTGGACGACTTAGGACTAAGTCTATAGGTGATTCATCGACTAAGGCGATGGAAAGTAGTTTCACCCCACCATTTACCTCCGTTCCACAGAGAGAAATCGACAATGCCATGAAAGTGGATTTCGGACGTGGTATTCAAGTTGCCCGGATAGGTGGCGCACTTTCCATTTGAGGAAGTCCGCGATCTGGCCTTCAGTTTTCGATCAACGCAACGAGATAATGAAAGTGCAAGGTCTAGAGCTTCCTGCGGTCATGCATCTAGCAGATATCTATACCTTTCTCGGCTCATGTAGACCATGGTAACCAGATACTCGCCTTCCTGAGCTCAGGCCCTCCACACCATTCCAAAAACTACGCTCGCACCTTGCGCTACTCTCGAAAAGTCTATGAAGGACATGGTCTGTGTTTGGATATAACGTCAGAGACCTAAGCCAAGCAACCTATTACACCAAACCTCCACCCTCCAAAACCCAGGTAATTTAGATTCCAAAGGATCACTAAATCCACTCCCGACTGGCCCGAAGACCCACTTTCTCGCTACCGGCACCAACGGTCAAAGGAACGCGCCCAAAAAGAGCTAGTCGCCTCCAGGTATACTCCACGGCGCTCTGTACGAGCAGCGAAATGAACTCGTCTGTACATTGCCTCTCCCTCCGACGTGGAGCACCGAGCGCTCCTTTCGTGATACACATCAACATGCTGTGGAAGCTTGTCTCCTACATGACGACTTGCCCTCCGACTAATCTTATTCAGAATCCGTTGGTAGTGGATGATTAAAGGTATATAAGACCCTACCATCCAGGTCATCGAGAAACCAACAAACCGCATCAACTACTCGTTTATACAGCCTACACATTTCGAAACACCTTTGCAACGCACAACAATATGATCTTCACTCACAAACTCGCCGTCCTTGTCCCCTTCATCGCCTCCGCCTCCGCCATCTGCCCTGGCTTCAACTACGGCGTCGGTAACGTTCGAAGTCTCGGGAACGGGTTTAACCGATGTACGCAACCAAACCCAACCCTACAACCTCACCAAGTCCCAGTGGAAGCTAACCGAACTTCTAACATAATATAGGGGACGTCTACAACTCCGCCTGCGAAGTCGTCGACGGATTAACGACCAACCTCAACCCATGCGATACCAGCACATTCGGATGCACTCCCCCACCCATCAAGTTCAACCGCTACACCAACTCGTTCGATGGCTTGATGTACGTTCCAGCCTACTTCTTATTCGAAAAGGCCCCTCGATTGGCTGACCGATTCTTACCTTACCCTCACAGCTACGAATGCCGCCCCGATCCCAACTCTGGTCGATGCGGAGATGATGTCATCTCCGTCTGCGTAAGTCTCTTAACCTTAAGCTTAAGTTTCTCTGCCTAACACACCGTTCTTGGACAGTGCCGAAACGACGGAGGCTAAGCGAGAAGCTCGAAGAAACATTGTCCAAAAACATTTTAAGATTCGAGATAGCGTTATGTGGTCTCGATGTACTTCTGTAGTCAACTTTAAATGTTCCATGCGAATGTGTTCTATTTCTGGATTTCGATCGCGGATTCCGGTAAGCGCCCAATGGACGCCCACGAAACATCGGACTTTTAGGTTCTCAGTCGCCGTCCTCGACTCTTCGTTCGGAAGGGTCGGGTTAGACATTCAGCGCCGCCTACTGGTACCTTTCCCCCTAGTTCCCTCACAGTCACGAGTCTGGTCCTTCGCCCCTCGCTACGTCGAGTCACGAAGCCCGGTGCCCCCACTTCAAGCAACTCCGCAATGCAGACTAGCACTACCCGGCAATCAAAATCGATCAAGTGACGGCAAAACGTGTATAGAGCCCTACAATAGAATAAGTACAAGAGATTTCCATAAGTAACAAACAACATAAAGTGCATAAAGGCCCAAAGCGATCCTGGATAAATAACGTTCAATACGAGTGCTATCATGTTGAGTACTATGTCGTCGTAGAAGTAGAAGTAACCATAAAGAAAAGTCAGTAACAGGCCAGTAACAGGCCAGTATGTAATAAGTAATATCCGCGAAACCAATTCCCTAAATAAAACCGAAACCGATATCCCCAACGATAATAAAGAAAGGTTATAACTTAAACCGTGATTGAAGCAGTGTCCGAAGATGAAGGTGAAACATTGTCCTTTGAAAGCGCGAAAGAGTCTAAAGCCAAATGATACTGATGACCAAAAATGTCGTACGTGAAGAGAGCGTCGAGCGAAACGGAGTTCAGGTGCTCAATATCAAGTCCCTGATAACTCCCCGCGACCCCTTGCCGCTGGAGCTCAGGAAGACGCGGAACGAAGACTTTCGTGTGGTGTGAATCCATCCCAGTGGGTATGTGGAAGATCCTCCCCTCAAGGAAGGACAACAGATCGGCGTGGCGTGCTGCGCACCTCAATGCAACACTCTTGATGGGGAAAGAGGGTGATTGGCGTTGTTCCTCGGTGTGATAGAAGGTGGGGTATGGCACGGGACAATCCAAACGAAGGTGAACTCCACAGGAGGATCGATCGTCGGAGCCAGAGTGGAGTGAGTCCAAAAGGGCATGCATCGCACCAGATGAGAGTCCGCTATCTTCCAAAGATACAGTCACCTCTGGAGACTCGCACTTCTCAAGGAGTCGACTCAGCGCGGCGCCAAGCAATGACCCATCTAACTCCCTCTCGGCGTTCCCAGACGAAACCCCAGCCAATTGAAGTACCTTCAAGAAAGGGAAGGTGAAGTGAGAAGGAACGGCATCGACAAGACTTGCAGCCGCCCCGCGCCCAATGAAGACGAGTCGCTCAAGGGCACGTGGCTCTAACCCATCCTCTGACAACAGCCCAAATGCTGGAACAGCAGCATCGGGGTCCGTCGACTCGACAACCAGTTCCTCAAGCAATGGAAGGTTACTGAGGGCACAAGGTAGGAGATCGAGACAGTCGGTGAGATGCAGAGAACGAAGGTGAGGTGGGAAGGTGTCGAGAGTAACAGGAGTGGTGGGCTTGGAGCGAACATGAAGGCTTTCAAGTGCGGGAAGTGACTCTGGGGTCCAAAACAGGCCGTAACCACGGACATGGAGAGGTCCACGGTCGTCATCCGAGAGGTCCAGCGAAAGACTCTTCAGATTGGTCCATGGTGGGACGACGTCCCCGAGACCTAGAAAGCCCCACGCATACTCCAGCCCTCCCTTGCGAAGACACGCCCTGTGCAGGGGAGCGGAATCAAAATGCCACTCTACCCAATTGCGATCGGTGCCCATGAGGATGTGGAGCAACTGTCCTGAGAAGCTCGCCCAGTTACTGCTTTCGAACTTGCGCAGCACTGGCGTACCCTGCCCCACGATATGTAGACGCAGTGGTGCTCGCTCCCCCGCGCGGTTGAACCATGTATCAGCAAAGTGGGCGAGGTTGGCGGAGAAGTGGTTAGGCTTCCAGAGGTCGAGGTTCAGCTCGAGGCCGCGCCAAAGCTGTGGGGTGGAGAGGGCGATGTCGTTCCATGACGTGCATACCAAGCGAAGAGTGTTGAGGAGGAAGGGGTCTGTCTCGGCGAAGTGGTGTCCTTGACGTCTGCGATCCTGCTTGGCAGTCTCCAGCGCGAAGCGCAGGAAGAGCGCGATGATTTCGTTGGGCACACCGCGCATCGCACTGTGGTCATCGCCCGCGATCAGGCGGCTGGAGACTTGAGGAAGAGACTGGACGACATCGCGGCCGCCTCCAATAGGGGCCCTGGACGCGTCAAATACGCTCTCGGTCGGCAGAAGACAGGGATGGCCTTGAGGAAGCGGTGGGTAGTGTGAGCCCGCCATGGTTACCTGTGGGTGGGACAGCTGTAGCGAGGAAGCTACAGATGGGATAAGTGGGGAGAGAGGGGGGAACCTAGGGGAACCAGGGTTCGGTGCAGGGCATTGAAGATATAGGGTAAGCTTTAGGCGATCGTCAAAAGGTTCGTCATCCATCAATCGGTCCTTGAATATTTCTCTATCGCCCATGTTCCGTTCCGCCCTACATTTTCAGTAAGAACAGGCGACAAACGGCGAGGTTTATCCTGTCACACTCTACGGATGTCGGTCCTGAGTCACTGCAGGCTATTCGCACCCGATCCAGGGTCCTGTTAACATGAAAATAAATCAGCCAATGGTGAAAGTCTCAGAAATGAATTGCTGTGAGAGCTGCCGTTGCCCCAGTCCTAGGCCAAGCATCCAAGTCGTAGACCCCAGGTTCTTCGACCTCGACCCTGAGTCAGAAGTTTCCAATTCCCAAGCCCTCTTCAAATTCAAAAGAACTTTGATCGAATAGGAAAGGAACTGCCAGGAGAACATTTTCGAAGGTTTTCGATTGACAACGCGAGAAACGACATTGGGCGAAAGGCTAGAGCGCAGATTGCGTGGAAAATCGCATTTGATCGCATCACTAAATGGACCAATCAGATAATCGCGTTTGCCTCCTTTTTCGGACGCGTTTTGCGCGTGTCGCTTCATCCTCGCACTTCCTGGAACCTGGTCTAAGCGCTATCTCGGGTTTAAACGATATCGGCTTGTACGAATCTATAACTGGCTCAGATTACGGCTGACCAGAACGCTGGGTCTACTCTACCCGACAGCGTGGCCAGCGGCGCATCTTCTAGAGAAACGGCAGATATACAAAAGTCTGGATCTCCTGAAAGTCTGGTTACTAATGCTGGGTTTCTCGCTCAGACTCCCTTTCGCCAGGAAAACGAGGTCGGCCTTCATCCTCTCTGGCTGATCAACCTGCTCCACCTCTGTCACTACATAAGCCTCCGTGTTTGGCGAGTCTTCAGGGCCTGGGTCGTGTATCGTTGAAGCATCTGTCAACTCAATCTGCAATTGCCACCTTGTTCGCTCAACCCCAGATCTCCTCGATGCCATGTCTCTGAGCCTCATATCCTTTGTATTTAGAGGCCTGTAAAGCATCTTTGATTTGTGACAACACAGCTCGCTGGCTTGGGCCTGCTTCCGCATTCAATCGTAAATCGTCCCAAGCCTGGGTCTCGTCTGTCACATCTTCCTCGAGTAAAGGGGATTGCATCCCAGTCATAATTTTGACCATTCTTGCAACATTCTCCCCAATCTCACTGGCCTTCATCTTTAATCCGGTAAAAGGAGGTGGGCGCAGAGTGCTCCGGGAATGTTGGCCCCATCGTACCCTTCTAAACCGGACACTGGGGTCTAGACTCTCACCCCTCCAAAGTTTGACTAAGACAGGGCAACCATCTGATACTGTAGCACCCACTTCGATGCCCGGATGATATCCGAATTCCAATTAGATGGTAGCTCTTTAATTGATAGTGGTAACGGTATGTTCTATCGCAACCTGATGATTGTTTCCTACCTTACCTTTCTATCTTTCGCACCTTGACCAATAGAACTCTTTCAGTCTTTGTCTCAGTAGGTGGTTCTGACATATCGTGAGGACAGCGCTGTTCGTTTCGACAGACTGTATTCGGAATGATTGAGAAACCGATGCAGGTGAACAACGTTCCCTGCTCTCCGAAGCCTCTCTGAAGACCGGTCTAAGGGAAAAGTCTGCTCTTAACTGCCCCGGGACGAGAATTAAACCCACCCAGTCCTCGAATAAAGTCCCAGTTTGCTCCCATAAAAGCCAGAAAACCTCTCATTGGCTGGAGGCTGCGGATTCGGTTACCAGGTTCCATTATATCGACGGCGATGCAAGGTGATGATGGAAGAGTGTGGCATTTCCGCTTTGTGCACATTCGATCATCCACGTGCGGAACCTATCAGTCAAGGTTGCCATTAACTTTCGCTATGTTACAACCGACTCTATATCTTTCCTTCTTACCTACCTCCACAACACTCTCTTCTGAACAACCATGAACAGCGAGGAACGCGCAACAGACGATGTCGAAGGTGCGTGCTCGTCGTCCCAAAGCCACAGTGGACACGGTGGACTCAGCTTGTTGCCTATTAGAGCTCGCTTGGAAGTTGCTCTCGACGCTCCCCAGGGCTCGCCTAGCAGCGGTCCAGCGGCGTCTCAACCCACTATTGCAGTTCGACATCCTAGGGGTGCGTAGACACCGCTGTTTCATTCTCAAACGTCGCGCTCACTGGACCCTGATTCAGGATTTACCCATTGAACTCGCCCTCCAAGTCCTCTCGAACCTGCCATACCAGTCTCTATTGACGTGTAGCCTCGTCTGCAAGCGGTGGCAGATCCTCGCCAACGACCAAAGCCTCTGGAAACGCCTATGCCGCGCAAACGGATGGGCCTGGCGCCCGACACCGCGTCCACAACCCTTTGACCAGACCCTGAACATGTCCAACCGCGAATGGGACCAGTCGGACGACGAGGGAATGGGCGACTCCGACTCCGACTCTGAAGAAAACATGTATATCAACACCCTCGACGACGCCAAAGCAGAGCTGTCTATGATGTACGCCGAACTCGACTCGGGGTTCGCCTCGACGTCTATGACGATGTCCTTCGTCGCCCCACCGGCGCCCAGCGCCATTGCGCCTTCATTCTCGAATTCATCTCGGCTCAGCAACCGCTCCCGGGGGAAGCAGGTCCGGCATTCTGCGCCGTCCATGCTCAACTCTGTCTCACCCCCTCGCAAACCGGACTACAAACTTCTGCATCAAACCCATATTCGGCTTCGAAACCGGTTCCTAAACTCCTCCTATCGACTATCAGCGTTGCAGACGCGAGGGGCACCAGCGAGTGGCCACACCAATACAATCTACTGCCTGCAACTGTACACAGACCCTGACACTGGTCGCCAACTGTTGTTTACCGGGTCCAGGGACAAAACCGTGAGGCAGTGGTGTCTCGCGACCGGGTTAGTGGAACGCGTTATCAGTAACGTGCATACGAGCTCCGTGTTGAGCATCTGTGTTCACAATGGTTACTTGGCGAGTGCTGGCAGTGACCGGCAAGTCGCGCTATGGGACTTGAGAGCTAATAAGCTTGTGAAGACGATCACAGACCATGAAGACAGCGTTCTCTGCGTGCGATTCGATGACCATCAGCTGGTCTCATGTTCAAAGGGTGAGTGGGGTGGCTAGCTCTTCATTTCAACTCAAAACGCTGATCCCATGGGTTATGTGATTCCAGACCGCTCGATACGAATATACTCTTTCCCCGATCTCACTCTACGCTTCATCTTGGACGAACATCGAGCAGCGGTCAACGCGGTTTCTATATCTGATTCATACATCGTTTCGGGGTCAGGCGACCGCTCCATTCGACTTTGGGACGCCAAAACCGGGAAGCTCCTGCGCACATTCGATAACCACCACTCGAGGGGGATTGCCTCCATTGACTTCATGCCACCTATCATTACCTCCGGCTCTTCAGACATGCATCTACGTGTATTCGACATTTCCACTCTTCAAGGATGGTCGACCTCACCTGAGTACGACCGCGCCATGACCGCCGCTTCATCGAACGTTGCTCCGTTCCCTTTGGATGGAACTGCGGGGTCAGCAGGCCTCTCTTCCGGGTTCCTGTGCCAGTCTTGTGGAAGTGAGAAGAACCCCCGCAGGCCGGGGTCTGCCTCGGGAAGCAACGTTAACCACCATCATCAACACGGTAATCTGGTTAGGACCGTTTCGTTGGGCGATGATTTTGTTGTGAGTGGGAGTTATGATTTGACCATCAAGGTATGTGCTGTTCACGTTGCCTTCTTCTTAGGCTGACAGTTCGGGCATAGGTGTGGGACAAGAACACGGGTAAGCTGGTGGCAGATCTGGCCGGGGGACATACTGGGAGGATATTTTGTATCGACTTTGATTGCACGAAGGTATGCTTTCATTCTTTTCCGTTCCCGTTTCCGTGCGCCTAAATGTCCCTCTCATAGATTGTCTCTTGTGGAGAGGATCAGGTACGTCATCCTTTCAAAGTATCCTGCAAGGTACTGACCCACTTTGTCACAGAGGATATGCGTTTGGGACTTCTCGCATGGTATCGACACTACGTTTTTGCAGCTCTCCTAGGTCATCCACTGTTTTGTACCGGGTTGGCTTTGGTGATAATACTAGCCGTTTGCATCGCTGCTCCAACAACTACAGCCGTTCAAGTCTTCTCCTATCACTCAAGATGGGTATATTGATCTTCCTATTCTCTTCAGTGGAACGGCATCTCAAGGCAAGCGCATACTGAGATACGACGGCGAGCGTCTCGTGGTCCCTCGCAGTCCCGAGGTATCCCCGTTGTAATAGATATAAGGGCGGCGCGGTCGGTTCCTGGAATGAAAGGTGACCCTGCTCGATCACACTTAATTACGACCATGGCTGCAGGCGCGTTCTTGAAAGTGGATGGAACCCGGATTGTGGACCAGGACAACAATGAGGTTGTGTTGCATGGGGCTGGGCTTGGTGGTTGGATGACGTGAGTCACCGTTTGATATGCTGCGGGTGCGAAGGCTGAATGAGCCGGTTAGGATGGAGAACTTCATTTCAGGTATTGCAAGGCAGACTTGACGCTGCGGGAAAGTTAATCTTTGGGCCTCGTTGACTAGGTTTCCCGGCCTGTGAGTTCCAGGTACGCGATGCGTTGGAGGAGACCATCGGCAAGGAGAAGGCCGCTTTCTTCTTTGACAAGGTACACTCTGACGAAGGAATGACCGTCAGTCTAGCTGACAAGGCAGTGTCGTAGTTCCTGGAGCATTTCTTCACGGAGAAGGATGCCATCTTCTTCAAGTCTTTGGGCTTGAACTGCATTCGAATCGCAGTGGGGTACCGACACTTTGAAGGTGCGCATCACTAGCCCCTATCCCCGCATTTAAATGACCACTCACCGTGCTACACCCAGACGACATGAACCCCCGCGTCCTCAAACCAGACGCCTTCAAGCACCTCGACAGGGCCATCTCCCTCTGCGCCAAACACTCCATCTACACCGTCATCGACGTGCACACCGCACCCGGCGGGCAGAGCGGGGGCTGGCACGCCGACGCCGGCGTGCACATCGCCAACTTCTGGAGACACAAAGACTTCCAAGACCGGCTGGTCTGGCTCTGGACCGAGCTCGCAAAGCACTACAAAGACAACCCCTGGATCGCGGGCTACAACGTCCTCAACGAGCCCGCGGACCCGCACCCCCAGCACGCGGGTTTGATCAAGATGTACGACAGGCTGCATCAGGCTATTCGCGAGATTGATGGGAACCATATCATCTTCCTCGATGGGAACACGTTTGCGACGGATTTTACAAAGTTTCCCGAGGATGCGGGGACGAGGTGGACGAATACGGCGTATGCGATACATGATTACGCTGTTTATGGGTTTCCGAGTGCGCCGGAGCCGTATGAGGGCTCCGAGGCCCAGAAGGAGAGGTTGCTAAAGACGTATAAGAGGAAGAGGGAGTGGATGGATCAGAGGGGTTTGTGTGTGTGGAATGGGGAGTGGGGGCCTGTGTATGCGAGGAGGGAGTATGATGGCGATGCGATGGAGGATATTAATGAGAGGAGATATAACGTGTTGAAGGACCAATTGGAGATTTATGAAAAGGTAATTTACATGTACTTTGCGTTCGTTGTGCGAGGCTGACGGGTGTCGACTCTAGGATCGCCTCAGCTGGTCCATCTGGCTCTATAAAGACATTGGCTTCCAAGGGATGGTCTACGTCTCCCCAGACACGCCCTACCGCCAACGCTTCAAAGACTTCCTCGCCAAGAAACACAGACTCGCAGCAGACGCCTGGGGTAAAGACGACCAACACGTCAAGCAATTCTATAGCCCCATCATCTCCTTGATCGAGGACAACATCAAGGATAAATCCCACCTCAAGCTCTACCCGCCATTGTGGACCGTTCCGGAGAGGACGACAAGACTGGCGAGAACGATGTTGGTGGCAGAATACCTGGTGCAAGAGTGGGCAGACTTGTTCCTGGGATTGGACGAACAACAGCTGGAGGAACTAGCGAAGAGTTTTTCGTTCGATAACTGCTTGAAGCGGGATGGGTTGAACGAGGTTCTAACGGCTCATGCCGAAAGGGTCAGCAAGAAATAGTAGATGGGTATGGAATGCAGTCTCTAAAATACATGACAACAGTGTAGGAGAGGATGTTACAACAACAGTACTGTACAACTAGCGTAGGGGATAGCACGCGAAGCAAGAAATATGGACAACAAAGAATGAACAACGAACGATAATCCGAAATCAGTCCGCAAACCTGATTCGCTTCTTTGGAGGTGTAGTTGGGGGGGCAGGAGCCTCGAGTGGTTGAGTGCCATCGCCAGTGTCAATAATGGGGTCGCTGACCCAAACTCTCTTCGTGGACGGCGTTAACTGACGTGCAGGTAATTTGAACGTGAGTTTAGTCGAGGTCTCTGACCGAGGCAAATCGATGAGAGGGAATGGGGTAAATGGCACAGTCTGTGGTGACGTTTCGATGAATCTAGGGTTCTGGACGAGACGTCAGTATCAAAAGAGTGGGTAAACACCAGCAAAGGATAATGCTTACAGCGATAAAGTCCCTCATCCCAGCCTCCTCAATGAGTTTCGGAAGTTTGTCATGGGTATTGTGCAGGGCATGGCGCCGCGCAACCATGTTTTCTTCGTGTGTCCCCTTGATGGCCAAGGTCTTCACAGTGATCGGTCGAGTTTGTCCAATACGATGAACACGCTGTGACACAGGTGTCAGGATGGTTTAGCACAGTAGAGCTATGGCATGCCGCACCTTGATAGCTTGACTCTCCACGTCGGCTTGCCAAACAGGTTCGCAGAAAATGACTCGCGAAGCCGAAACCAGGTTCCTACATATCATCCAGTCAGTCACCTCTCTAAAGTACGATGGAACGACTTACAATCCACGAGCACCATGCTTCAACTCCATCAAGAACACTCGATACTTCTCCGAGGTCTCAAACGTCAACACGAGCTGTTCACGAATCTGCGGGGAGACCTGCGTAGTAAACCGCAGGAACCGCACGTGGATCAACTCGAGTGCTTCGGCGACATGAGCCAGGGTGAGCTCCGAATCCGAAAAAATGAGGAATTTCTCGTTGGCTGCGTGTTGTCGAACCTAGTGCAAGGCATCAATCAGTCAAGTCCCGGAGTAAAAGAAAAGGAGGCCAACCTCGTTTATGATATAGTTCAACTTGCTAGAGGTTGAAGCTCCAATCTTGACGGGATAAAGGCATGACTTTTCAGCCAACCTCGAGAGTCTACTCCCGCCTTCACCAGGAGCTTCAGCTTTAGCAGGACTCAGAGCAAGACCATCCGAATGATCAGCATCCTCCTCCGCAGCACCCTCAATCAACGCCATCGACGCATCCAGCTCAGTCTGCATCTCCTTCAACGTCTCCTTCGCCGAAGCTTTCCTGAGAGCATTATCCGCTGTCTGACTGTGCACCGGCGGTTGCTCGAGTAAGGTTGAGGAATCCCTCTTCTTTCCCTTGCCAGACTTTTTCTGCTGTGACTCCATGAACGCTTTGCGCAGCGCTGCATCGCGAACGGAGACGTGCTGGCCCCTGGTTACGAGGTCTTGCTCACTTGATAGGGGTCTTCGCACTAGCCAGTCATACAGACCAATAAGCCTGTCGGCGTGTAGGAACCCCACAAAAGTAGGGTCTGCAGGATCCTGACTTCCGGGTGTCCTTCTCCATGCGTCATATACGGCTAGCGGCATGGAATGAACACGATACACCACATCTTCATGCCTCTGTACGGCCTTCCACAACGGATTATTCGCAGCAATAGCCCTAGGCAAGAGTCAGACACTCATATCATGAGGTAATTAAAGAAAGGAGGGCTGACACATGTTTCAAGGCATCGTTGAGAAGCCGCAGGTCCTCTGTGGATGCACCACGGTCCAACGCGTTTCTGATGTGCTTTGGGCCGTCAACGTAAAGCTGTTCTACGTTGAACAGTTCATCGTCGACATGCCAGAACATCAACCTGATTCTCTGCGTTAGAAATATCCCCAACGGTCGCGAAAAGGAACTCACTGTGACATGTTCTTCACCGTCGTTTGTAAGTGATCGGTGTTCTACCATGGAGTAAGATAAGCAGTCCTGCGAAAATTACAAATACAAGGGTACCAACAGACGGATGGAAGAGATAATCCTGTCAAAGAAACGACGAATGAGAGCGTGAACTTCAAGAGAAAATCAAAGAACCGACCTGGTCTTTTCGTTCCGAGTCAACTGCGTTGATGGCGATAGCAGCCTGAAGATTGTTATACGAGATCACCGCCAACGGGTCGAGCTCCAACAGAACAGACTCGTGCGTTAGGGGCGGGAGAATCACGTCGTCTTCTACATCTTCGACTCTAACATGGGAACAACAACGTCAAGGTTTGATTAGGATCAAACAAGGCGACCAACTCACCGATGTCGTATCATGGTCATATTCATGATTTGCGAAAGGACGGTGATAGCGCCTGGTCGAGGACCCAAAGGATCCATGAGCGCATCGGTAACATGCGTACTCATGAGTTTATGATCGCTAGCGAATTGAGGGACAGCGATGAAATGGGTGATCATATTCCCCAGCTTCCGCAGGTCTTCCCGGTCGTAGGTCTTCCAAACACGACCAACTGCGGTGTCGCACGGTCCGGGGGAACTATCATTCGAGCGAGAAGAAGCTGGTGATTCGGGTTCGGTAGATGGTAGATAATCGATTTTGCGGCCGGCGGCGAGGTTGGCGTTGATGTCGAAGGTGCTGAAGTTCCCGCTGACGAAGGTATCATGGGTGTCGACATCCATGGGTATGGATTCATCTTCCGAAGGATCCATGCTCGGCAGTTCCTCTATCGTGCGCTTGCCGAGACCAAGGCCCAATAAATTGGTCGTGGGTGTGCCTGTGACGACCCACCTCCTCTCCACGCTGAGCAGTTTGGCAAAGGGCGTGAGGTTTGTGGTCAAGGAAGCAGAGACGTGCCCCTCGTCGATAACGAGTCGTTTCCATCTAATCTGGAGAAAGGGAGACACATCCTGAACCTGACACTTGCAGTCCGGAACCCTTGAGCCTGGGATTTCAGGGCATTCGCAGAGTTTCCATGAATGCAACTTGGAGATGGCTTTCTTCGCCGATTCGGCAGTGAACCCTGCAGGAAAGAATCAATTTAGCAGATAGGTCAACAGGCCTTTGCTTACGGGGGTAGGTCATCAAGATAATCTAAAGAGTCCAGGTCAGCTATTGCAAGAGCACGAAAGAGAGGAGACACACGTCGTAATCTGAGGCCAATTCCCTGACAGACGGAACAGGTGTGGTTGTTCGCAGTATCAAAACACGTATGGGAGCCTCGACATGCTTGCTGATCTCTCTATCCCACTGACTGAGGAGATTTGCTGGAACAACCACCAGGGTTGCAGCCGACAAGTACATACGCTTCGGGGCAGCATCGTTCTTCCGTCTTCTGCTTCGCGCGAGGTCGAGTGGGTCCCCGTCATAGTGGAAATAGAACGGAACTGTCGCCTTGCGCAATTGGTCCAAAGGGAGGTTTTCGAGCCTTTCTTCCAATTCTTCCGCCTTCTCTGCCTGACGTCGTTCTGCGAGTGTGTTGTAGTTGCAAATAGCGTCAACCGGGGCGGTGCGACTGCGATGAAGCAGTAACTCAACCAAGGACGGAACCCTGTCCCCTATCGGCGGGTCTTTAGACCCGAACCTCCCGCGAGCTCGCACGCATTCCGTCGAAGGAAAAGTTCTGAAGGAAAGAGGGGTTAAAATAGGCCGGTCGTCTAGCAATGATTCCTCTGGCTGGGGGAGTTGCCTCAATGTCGCAAGAATAAGGCCAATAATCATGACCGTCTTCCCAGTACCAAGCTCCTCGCAGAGGATCCCGCCTCGACAAGGCAGAACCATCTGTTTCTCCAGCAGGATCTCCATCGTTCCCGGTTGGAAGTAGAAAGACCGACCTCCGAGGTCAGTGAGAGGGACGTAGACAGGGCTCTTGACGCTCCGTTGGTCCAGTTCGCGCTGCAAAAGAGCAGCGACTGATTGTCTTTGGTAACGATAAAGCTTGCTTCGAAGTCCGAGGCCCTCCAAGTTATCATCATGGTCCAGCAGGCGAGACGAGATCTCGCCGTATCCTGGTACTGGCGTTGGGTCTGGCGAGGAAAGACCGCTATAGATCTCAGCCAGCGTTCGAGAGTCCTGGAAGACAGTAAGTAGCAGTCAAGATGCAAGAGGGCGTCGACGAACTTTGGAATTGGGGAAGACGTTCCCCTCGACAACCTTTCCCTCGCCATCCCAGTCAGCTACCAGCTTCGGTATCAAGTTGCGCATAAACCGGCGCCCAGGCACCATAACGCCCTCCTTCCTATTCCTCAGCACACCCCTCGTGCCCGCCAAGTCGTAAGGGATAAGATACACCCTAATGACCAGCTTCTGATCCCCAACAACATTGTACGTCGCGTCCACAAACTGGTGCTTCACCAGAAACTCGAGGTCCTGGCACACCTTGACGTCCACGAGATTGGTCAAGGGGAGAAACGGCGAGGTGCCTTTGTAGGGGTGCCAGCCGTCCCCCGCATGCTTGTGTTCGCAGTAGACTTCTGGGCGGACGTCGTCGCCCAGTTGTACGGATATCGTCCCCGCCTTGAGTAGGTTGTCGAGTTGGAACGGGTCTTGAACCTGGCTCGGTGACTCGGACGGCCCTGGACCAGAGCGACAGTTTACGCAGCACGCCTGGCACGCCATGGTAGAAAAGATAGGGAAAGGGTCATAAGCATGAGTCGATAGTTGGTTTGCACAGCAGTGTCCAGATGCTAAATTGATTGGGCGCTCACCGTCGCCCATCACGGTGCCGAGCGTGGTCATTTTCACTCCTTACCCGATCGGGAAATTTGTTCCCGTCAACCAAAACACGGCTCGTCATCGTCCCGTCCCGTCTGTCGTTTGGCCAAGGCGAACACGACCCACAACGCACAAACCATGTCGCTGTCGATATCCCGACAAGCAGCCGCAAGGCTCCAAACTACATCACGAAATACCTCGCTCAAGGCGTCAAGACTCTCGAGGGGCTATGCAACCGCAGAATCGACCACAGCGAAGCCTAACGCGCCTCCTCCCAAGGCGCCCGCGAAGCACGACCTCACCTGGCCGGAATATCTCGCTATTAGGAGGGGAAGGAGACGTTGGGAAACGGTACGCTGTCTTTTTGAGATTGTTGGTGATATGTGTGTTGGCTGACGGTAAAGGTGTAGGCTGCGACCATCCCAGCAGGTCTGCTCGGATTCGGTTCTGGACTCGCATATTTTGGTTCTTTAGAGACTGACCCTCTGAAACCTATCTTCGTGTGTTCCAATATCCTTACCCACCTCCCACCCAAAATCCTAACGAAAACAACAGGGAATCGACCCCTTCATGGCATACGGAATCCTCACCGTCGCGTGCCTCGGTATGTCATGTCTCTCTGTCACCTCCTTCTGTCCCCTCCCTCCAACTCCCCAATCCCAATCCCAACCGCAATCCCAATCTGTTTCCAACCTTTCCCCCTTGCTTACCTCTATATTCTCATAATAGGTGCCGGCGTCCTAGTAGGCCCTTCAATCGGCGGTGCACTCTGGCGCTTCAGCCACCGTCACCAAGTCCACCTAATCGACGCAAAAGAACGAGAATTCCTCCGCCGCATCGCAAAGAACCGCGTAGACGCATCCTTGCAGAGCCCCACAGCTCCCGTACCAGACTACTACGGCGAAAGAGTTGGATCTCTGCACCAATACCGACAGGTACGTTTTTACCATCTCTCTCTCTCTCTGTTGGAATGGAAGTTTACGAGTTGTGGTGCTTACCTTTTACTTCTTCTTCGTTACAGTGGCTACGAGACCAGAACAAGTACAGGAGGAAGGTGTTACTCCCCGAAACACAGGATTAGAAACGTATTTATCACCTCTCCTCTTCGCGACTTACATCAATGCAGACTAGATTTTCCACCACCTCTCCGTTCGTTATCTTTGGATGGTATACTACCTACCCTCCACTCCCTTGAAATGGACTTGTCAAAGGTGCCCATGCCTCAGTTCGCATGATTGCCAATGGGATTAGAAAGCTCTCAGACACCTGTGGAAACGGAATGAATTGCGTTGAAGCTCTAATCATAACAACATGAACTATTCCTAGACCCCCGAACCCGATGGTACCGTCGTAAGAACTGCATAAAAATAACATAGCAAATGCGAATGCGAAGCGAGTCCATATAAATAGCAGTGTCCATAAGCACCTCTAGAAACCTTGAGCCAAAATATGCCAACAACAAAAGACGAAGAACGAAAGCATGATGAAGAAAGGAAAGCGATAGCAAAAATCTAATGGGGCGACCAAAAAGAAAGCGAGAAAGACATCAGAAGAAAGGCACTTCAACCTCCTCCCCATCGTCCCAAGACTCGGTAACAAGCTTAATCCCAATACTCGACCGAATATCCTTCCACGGTGGATTCGACGACCCAACACTCAACGCAACAAAATCATTAACCTTGAGATAACTCCCAGCATGAAACCCACCCGTCTTCGTATCCGGATGTGTCAAGAGCGGATACTCCCTCATCAACTTCTCCAACCCCTCCCCAACTTTGAGCGTCCCCGTCCAACTAATATACTCCTCCCGGCAATCGACGGGAAGACGATAGCTATCCGTCATCACCGGCGGAACAGCCTCGAGCTGGGCTTCCCCGATGATAACGTTTTGAACGCGGATTTTGCCTTTGACTTCGAGTCGGATTTGGCGGAGGAGGAAGACGCGGAGGGAGGTGGACATCTCGCCCTGGAGTTTTTTGATGCATGTGGAGGGTTTGAATGAGGTGGGGCGAGATGAAGAGGTGTGGGTATCGTTGGGGGATGTGAGGGTATCCTTGAGGGTATCAGGCGCAACCAAAGCCCGAAGAGAGTCGACTCTTCCCGAGAGCTGGAGGTGGAATGGAATGGAATCCGACAACGCATAGACACGGGGATCAGGTACGAAGATCTGCAACACCAGACTCAGCAACTCGTCTCCCAAAGCCACAACACCAGATACTCACATTAGCAGTCACAGGCTGGAATTCAGCGTTTTTCCCTCGTGGAGAAGGAACATCAATCGTGGATGTCGATTGGTACCATTGGTCTGGTAACATTTTGATGAGTGCCAACGACCCATTACATGACGAAATGGGTTGCTGACTGCGTGTCCGAGGCCAGTAATCGAAAGGAATGAAGATACTAAAATAACCAACCAATACTTGTCAGCACTGTCACGGGAGAACCAAAAAAAACACAACATACTGTTTCGTCTTCTCCAACAACGAGAACCCAGAACCAAGCTTCGGGGTTCTCTTCACAGTAATTCGAAGCCGATAAGAACTCCGCGCAAAGATGCCAGATTGGCCAAAGTCGAGAGTTTGGAATGTAGGCGGGAGCGGGTGGGTTCCTGTGGAATCCTGGTAATTCTTGGGCAAGGGCATCGCAAAGGCGAGTTGGTTTGGGCACTTGGAGGGCATAACCATATCCGATTCGGGCCCGTTGTGATCTCGATTCGCGCGGGGAGGCTGCTTCTTCCATAGAGTTGTGGTGGAATGCACTGTCTTAATTGTCGTGTTGTTCGTGCTCTCGGCTACGCTGAGGTCAAGCCGGCCTTCGATCTGTCATGCGAAGAACGCGCTTAGGAGGAGGTGGGGCGTGACCAGGAAGTGGACTTACCAATACCGAGACTTCGAGAATGCGGTCTGCGTCATGGAGGGTGATGCAACCACTGACGATGCCGCTCTGTCTATATTCCGGCGTCTGGGCGTTGTCCTCCTGGTTGTATAGAAGGATGGTGGTTTTGCCTTGACGTTTGGTGTAAACACCGTCGGGGAGGAACCAGGACTGACCGACGCGAGGGGTGTACTGCAGAGACTGCTCGCCCGTGTTGGGCAAGTCAGAGTAGAGGGGAGCAGGCTGCGAGGGAGTGTACGGCGGAAGCGACTTGGAGGGAGAGACGGAGAGGGGCGTGTCGCCGAGGCGAGAGGTAGAGGTCACGGTCGACATGATGTACGCGTGACAGAGGGTAGAGATGCAAACACGAAGAGGCACGCCACGATGAAAATCTGGGATGGGCTCAATAAGTACTGGCAAAAAGCCAGGCATCTTTATATATGCTCCACGGTCCGCCTATCAGGGAACCTTGTCAGTGACGATGGTGTCCAGTTCTAAATTTTCCAATATCCATAAGAGGGTACAGGAGTTGACTCGGATCATGAGGCTAGGTTCAAGCGCGCAAGGGAGACCTTGAACCCTGGCAAGCTGACAGAGCAAACAGGGGTCGGACACGCCTCCCGGCCACCTTCTTCTGTATTTAGGATGTTAAGCAACCGCGATCTTTAATTCCTACTATAAGAATCAACTAAAACTCACGATGAGAACGCAACCCATATACAGGAAAATGACTCGCCCAAAGGTTCGAGGGGTCGAGGGCCCAAAAAGTGAATCTATGTTCCGTCATATTTCCTTCCGCCCAGATCTAGCTTTTGATGGAAAATCGTTTTGATGGCACTGAGAGGGGCGCTCGGCAATTTTTCCAGGCGCTTCGAACGTTCACCAAGAGCCTCGAGGAAGTAAATTTTCTGTCGCGTTGTAGAGCTCATGTTCCGCCGGGAGGTGGAGCTGGCGCATCGAGAGGCATGGCCACCGTCGTGGTACACATTGTCCACGCCTCATCCATTCCCGGCGTCCACAAGTTCATACAGGCCTAGGCGGCGGAATAGTTGATTCTGATTTCTGAACCACAACGTTGCTGAGACCCAGAGGGGGTGTCCACGCTCGCCAACGTGTCGTCATCCGTCTCCCAGACACGCCATCGAATTATTCGTATTTGGTACTGAACAATTTGTCACTTGAGGCGAAATTTCAGCTCTAGACAATCGGAAGAGCGGCGGAACGATGGTATAACACAACTTACTGCTTATAGTGAGAGAGTGAGAGGGCGGTGGTTGTAGTATGAGTACAAGTTGTGTCACCACTCCGTCACCATCGCTCGCATCGAAGACGGCAAAAACGGGTCCAATATCCGTCCTCCGCCTCTCCTCCGCCCAGCCCGGATACCACGCTACCCTCTACGGCAAAACCGATAAAACCGAAAACCCCATCAGAGCTGGTCAGGCAGGCTTTAGGCGGATACAGGAGGCTACACAAGACGGTTAGACTCGGTTAGACTTGGTTAGCGTATCCTAATCCACGGAATGTGAACGGAAACAGGCACACATGACGATTCTACGACTTTCCAGAGGCTCTTTGTGCCTCGGTACCGACTCAAGGCCACCGAGCTTTCTCCAACTAAGGCTGCTGAGGTATGACGTCGTCGACCAACAATCCAGAACAACCCACTTGTTCATTACAGTACGACGGTAATAAAGGAAACAACAAATGCGAAAATATACTCAACGACTCCACTGCACACCGCCTTGCCGCTGCTGCTTCTGCTCCCTACCCTTCCTAAAGATCTCCTTCTCAACCCTCTTCTTACCCAGCGTCTCAATCCTTCTCTGCTTCTCCCGCCTATTCCCTCCTCTCGACACGACATTCTCGTCACCTTCCTCTCCAGAGATTGTACCCTCCGGTTCCAAGGGCTCCAGCACATCCTCACTCTCCGACCCATCCTCATTCCTCTTCCTCTTCTTCGCCTGGTTGCCTTTACCGCCTCCAGGCCCAACGACGAGGTTCACCCGCGGAGGCGTAGCGAACCCAAATGACTTGCCAACCTTTGCCAGATCGAGCTTGTTGACGTCGTAAATCTTCTTGAGCGAGTACGAGGCGTAGGATTGGAGGTACGACCTGAAACCGTCCTTGGCCGATTTATGAAGGAAGTAGTTCTTTTGGAGGAGTTTTTCGAGCTACACACTCTCTCATTAGCTCGAGGCAGAAATGTAAATTGAAAAGCGACGCACCTGAGTCTGGATGTTGGCTATCCGTTCAGCAGGGAACGAGTACTCGTTGAGAGGCACCTTCGCATCCTTGAGGTATCGCAAAAACCCAAGCTCGCTCTCCAACAAGAACAACAAACTCTTTCCAACCTTGCCTGCACGAGCCGTACGACCCACACGATGGATGTAATCCCTAGGGTCATCCGGAGGGTCAAACTGCACAATCCAGTCCACCCGTGGAATATCCAAACCACGAGCCGCAACGTCCGTGCAAAGCAAAATCCCAGACTCGGCATTGATGAACTCGAAGAAGGTATTCGTTCGCTTCATTTGCTTTTGCTTTCCCTGTAAAGCCCGTCCGTTAGCACCCAACACAATCACAGATCAAAGCAGACACAAGGCAAAACGCACATGGAGATCCAACACAGGCACATCGATATAATTTAACAACTCCGCATGGTACTTGACCGAATTACAGCTCGAGAAGAAGACAATAACTTTCTTTTTGAGGTTTTTCTTGAGGAAGGTGTAGAGAAGGCGGAAGCGCATGTCGGAGGAGCAGACCACGTAGCCTTGGGAGAGGGTAGAGACTGTGCTGGTGGCTTCTTCCTTGTCGACGTCGACATGTACGGGGCCGGGGCGAAGGGATATTCGGGCGAGGTCGGTGACTTTTGTGGTTTGGGTGGCGGAGAAGAGCATGGATTGGCGGTTTTCTGGAGAGGAGATGGAATAAAGAGGTTAAATGGGATTGGTGAGTGTAGAGGGTGGAGAGACGTACCATTAGGAAGGATAGAGATAATTCTCTTCATTTCCTCCTCGAAACCAATCTCCAATATCCGGTCGGCCTCGTCGATAACCAGTGCCCTGAGGTTGCGATACACGAATCCTTTGGCATTCTGGGAAAAGATAAAGCGTCAGCATCAGAGACCCTTGCGAGCATAATATGGCATCCAACGACTGTACCCACCTGAAGATGATCCAAAAGACGACCAGGCGTAGCCACCAACAAGTTTACACCCTTCGAGAGTTTATCAACCTCTGCCTTGGGGTTCGCACCACCAATCACAACACCAAACGTCTGCGAGTGGTACGCCATGAGGTCCTTCGCAACACCAAAGATCTGCAGGGCGAGTTCACGGGTGGGGGTGAGGATAATAATACCCGTTCCTATTCCCAACCAAAACAAACCCTTATCAGTACTCCACTTCCACTACTTCCGGGAGCGATAAAAGGCGCACCGTTAACAGGCTTGAACTTCAACCGATGCAGCAGTTCGACGGCAGGAATCAAGAAAGCGAGTGTCTTTCCAGATCCCGTTCGCGCAGCTCCCAAAACATCTTTTCCCGCCAACAAAACGGGTATAGATTTAGCTTGAATCGAGGTCATCGTTTCGAAACCCATATCCTTCAAAGCTCGGAGTGTCGGTTCAGAGAGATCTAGTGTATTGAAGGGCACGCGTTCGGGTTGTTTTGAAGTAGATGCAGAGGTGGTAGACGTCGAGGCAGATGCGGAGGCTCCATTGGAAGTGGACGGTTCTTTCCCATCGTTAGAAGGCGATGTCGACGGTTCTTTTGACGATTCCTTGGAATCTTTTGAAGGAGATGAAGACGCCTTTTCGGTCGACTTTTCAGGTTTTTGAGAGGAAGTAGATGGTTCTGCAGAACTTTCGGTCCGTTCTGGTGCAGTTTTGGATGTTGAGGGTTCGTTGGAGGGTTTGGGTTTGGCGGCCTTGTCGCCGACAGATCCTGACTTCTTCTTTCGAGGCATTTTGGTGGGAATTGGGGTCGTGGTTTGGGGTCAATGAACGGCGAACGCTATGGAACTTTTTTTGCATAGGGCGAGAGGCTCCCACGCTGCACTCTCGGACCTATTACACCTGCCAGATTTGGCGCAAGAGCCCCTTTTCGTCCTCCCTCCATGAGTGAATCGCATTCAAAACATCGGTTACGACTCTCAGAGGATAGTGCATTATAGGGTATAGTATGTACAGGTATAGTCACAATGTCATGGTGCCTTTCACAACGATTGTAAAACTAGGGAAACGAAAAATGGCCGAGCCGCTGGACCACGATACGACGTTCAGTCAGAATCAGACATGTCCATGTCGCTGTTTTCGTCGACGACCTCCGATTCAGGGAAATGGGGCGAAGGCGGTGGTGGCAGAACAGTGGGGGGAAGTGGTGGTGGAGGTAAGGGTGGGGGCGGAGGTGGTGGTTCTGTTGGCGGAGGCGGCGGTAAGGGCGGTGGTTCATCAGGAGGTGGAGGAGGCAAAGGAGGAGGTTCCGTGGATGGGGGAGGGGGTCCAGCACCCTGCTCATCGTAGACAGGTGGCAGGTTGAAACCGCTATGAATAGGTAGAAGCTCGGATGAGAAATACGTTGTCGGATATTGAGCCCATCGCTTGGGAGGGGGAGGGGGAGTGGGTTTGTTAATTTCAGACACCTCTTCTTGCTGCTCTGAGACCGTAGATTTGGGCCTGAAGGTGTCCGCGAAAGTAACTTCCTCGGTATGCCCGTCGTCGCCGACTATGACAAAAGGTTCAGAGTCCTCGAGGTCCAATTCAACGTCCCCACCGTGTTCTTTCCAGATACGCTCGCGGACAAGGTCTCGTGGATCCTGAACGTTAACCCACCCCTTAGGATACCCCCATATCGCCATGTTTCGGAGCCACGGGGCGTCGTCGTTTCCCAGAGCCTCTTTCAACAATTCCCCTTTAACGGTGCCCGGTTCAAAGTGGTCAAGCCAGTCAAGCCGTGTTTGTCTCCAGCCTTCCGCAATATGGACGCGTTGCCAGTTCGAGGGTACCACACCCAGGGCTTCTTGAGAAAATTTATAGTATTGGCGTGAAAGATCTATAAGGCAGTAATCCAGTCGAAAGGGACATTCCTTGACGGTATGCTCCTCGTGACCACAGTTGAAGCACCGGGGACGGAGGGTGAAAGGTTCCTCAGATTTGCCAGCTTCGTCAGCCCCTAGAACACGTTGGTATGCGCGGTCGTAGACGCCGAACGGCTCGTATTCGCTTGGCAAGTCCTGAGGAATGGTATGCGCGAAGAAAGGCAATATTACTTCTGGGGTGTCTCCTGTCGATCTGTCGTCGGTTGCTGCGCGCTCGACGCTGATTGAGACGTTGTCGTTGTTGCTGTAGACGTGCTCGACGACGCTGCCACTGTCTCGTCCCACTGTGACAGGGCTTTCATCACCGTCTGGGCGTCCCATCGGCCTTTGGCGATCTCCTTCCCTTCAAGGTGAAGAGCAGGGATCCAATACACATACTTCTTCTTCCACCTCTCTTGACCCTTGTCCTGGATATTCACGGTATCCAGTTCGAAAGGGCGCTGGACAGGAAGACGCCACACGTTAGTCTTTGAGGTGAAATTCGGAAGAGGGAAAACCCACCGACTGCCGGACTTTGGCAAGTTCTGCTTTGGCAATCTATAGAAAATTTTGGTCAATGCAAATATGAATGGATACGAGAAGAACTACTGACATCACAAAGAGAACAATTTGGGCCAGAGAAGAGAGTCAGACGAGGGATTCGAGGGATTCTCATGATGGTCGCCGGTGGCAGAGTCGATGCCAAGATTGGACATCAATATTGTACGGTCACGTGGCAAGGCCCCTGTTGACGGCATCGAACTGTTGTAGTTTGAACCATTGAATTTCAGTCTCCCCTCGGTTTCTTCAAGTCTGTTCAGGGTCTTCGGTTTCCTCTTATCCACCACGAGCGGCTCCTGGTCAAACTCAATGGTCTGTAATGTACATTACCAGATCCAGAATGGAGAATCAGAAGTGAGTAAACTAAAGGGTTCAATAGCTGGCGTCGCGTAACTAACAAAACGTGTAGCCCGACCATGTCCCTTCTACCTGGCGGGCGGCTGTATATTCTCGAAAAATTGTAACTTTCTGCATACGAGGCCCTCAAGAAAGGACAGCGGCTATGATTCCGACTCCAGCTTGCGCTCTCTGAGAAGCCCGGAGCCCATGGGCCACCCACCAACACCACTCAAGAAACCAGTAGTCATTGTAGATTCGCCACCATCAGTATGTTCGACACCCAGAGAACCCCAGATGGCCAGACTGCTGTCTGCCTTGACACCGGTGATTGGAGAGGACGAAACAGAGGATTCGAATGAACAGTACACAGACTCTGTAACACTTGTCGACCCTCCCGAATCAGCCACCTGGTCGTCAGGTCTCCCAACCCTTGTTCACGGTGCCGACTCCAAATTTTTCGCCAGAGTCACCGAGACCATGGCGGAAATGCTGCGCGAGACGGAAGGATCCGACGATGACGACGACGACAACGAGGACTACACAACCGTTCCGCACACCGACGACCCCTATGACTTTGCAGATTCGTTCTTTTCCAGCTCCAGGTCGAATTCGACTGCACATAGCACGCCTTCAGACTCTGGGAGTCCTTCAAGATTGCCACCATTTTCTTCTTATTCTCCAACCTCTTCCCCTTTTAACGATACGTTGCGGTTACCAAGTTCACTTCACGACACACATGATACCCCTTCTATTCACACCACTGCAAGCTCACCGGATCCTGTACAAATCATGGAAATACCAGCAATACCCGACAATCATAACGACCTGCTATCCCCGGTCGATTTGTCAAATCTGCAACTCCACAACTTCAGCTCGTTGGACGACACGGCAGAGTCATGGAGGGACTCCAATTCGACCGACTCTGGCTTCGTGGACACGACCAAGCCCTCCCTCACCAACGTCATGTCCCCTCCCAAAAGTCCTGTCACTTCAACTTTTGGTCTCTTGCACTCCCCTTTTGGCTCACCTTCGGCCCGGGTGTTGTCTCCCAGGCTCGGAGCGTTTATTGGTCGCTCGCCTTCGGCCAGTGCCCAAGAACTTCCGACCACGGAGAAGGAATTGGTTCCGCTGGAAGATGATCTCGAGTCTCTTGATTCGCCGACACATCACAACGCTGGGCTCGCTTCTGCAAGGCAGCTGGTTGCGGATAGCCCTACACCTCAGGGTGCTCGACTCGGTCCTTCGCGACCTGCATCGTCGGCTTCCTCACATGGCGATGAATTGGTGACCACTCAGTCCATTTACGACGATCTCAGCGACCAGGCAAGCTCTTCGGAAGACGATGTCACTGGCTCCTACGGCCATACCGACATCTGGGATCTGGATGCGGGGTCCACCTCGATCTATATCGGCCAGCAAGTACAAAGTCCATATGCTCCCGACGTCCAGCAAACCTTGAGCCAGCAAAGTGCGCAGTCACTCTTGCTCTCACCCGTCCGGGAACCCGCACCTAGTTGGGAAGAACGCGAAGCCGAGCCCTCCTCTCCGGCATCCTCATCCACCAGCCACCCCTTCCCAGTACCATCCTTCAACGACTACAAAATCGCCGGACAATCGTCTCAACTTGTCGACGATAGGGATTTGCACGATGAGGACAACTTTGACGACCAGACGGGCCGGTGGTCACTGGAGTACACACAGGACTTCTCGTCCCTAAACGCCGATGCAACCATCGAAGCGATCGATATCCCTGAAGACGACCACGCCCAACCTCTCGCTGAAGCCCAAGATCGGAAACAGGTGCAGTTTGCAACACCCAAGAGCGACGTACAGCAAGGTCCTAGTGCACTCGAGGACGAGTCCTGGGTCGCTGGCAACAGCGGGTACTCATCCGCCGATCCATTCGCTGCATACCCGCCTGACGAGAACGTCGGCCAGTCCCACGCCGAAGCGACAAGCGCGGCCATCTCCATCTCCGAAGATAACCACGCCCAGCCTGACCGGAAACATGTGCAGTTCGCAACCCCCAAGGATGAGGTGCAACAAGATCCCAGTGCACTCGAGGATGACTCTTGGCTTGTCGGCAACAGCGGGTACTCGCTATCCGCTGATCCATTCGCTGCGTATTCGCCGGAAGACGATGTTACGCCCGACGAGGGTGTCGCTCCGTCCCACACTGATGCAACAATCGAGGCTGTCGCCATCCTCGAAGATAACGACCACGCCCAACCTGTCCCTGAAATTCAAGCCCGGAAACATGTGCACTTCGCAACGCCCAAGCGGGAGGTACAACAAGGTCCCAGTGCAGTCGAGGACGAGTCTTGGCTCGTTGGCAACGCCGAGTACTCAGTATCCGCCGACCCGTTCGCTGCGTATTCGCCGGAAGACGATGTTACCCCCTCCCGACCGCAGTCCTCGCAGTCACAGCGTTGTGTAGTCAGGTTCGAAGCGCCCTGGGTGCCTTACAACTCCGAATACTCGATTCCAGATGACCCATTCGCGGCAGACCCAGATGACATCGATGCGAGGGCCTCAGCTGCCTACGACGAGGCAAGGTCACCGACTCCCAGTCCCGCTTTCCAACCCGACCTTAGCAGTATTGCAGAGGCCTCTTGGGTGTCATCATCAGGGGACGGGGACGATACAGGGGTGCTGGGCCGTCTTGCCCACGATACAGTCATCTCGAACGCCAATGCGACAGCAGCTTCCGTCGACTACCTCGAGGACAACCTTTCGCCCACGTCCAACAACGACAAGGAGGTAACAGAAGATTACACCGACGTCTATTACCAGGACGAGGACGAAACTCAGCTACAGTCGAACGACGAGAGTGCCACTTTGCATCCCGTGGCGCGGGATACAGCGCCCTCTGATCCCCCTGTTTCGACTGCCGTCGTCGATCATCTCGAGGAGGATCGTTCTCCGAAGTCAGACAACGACGAGGAATTGGACACGGAAGATTACTCAGAGTTATACCGTCGAGCTGACCCTGGCGTCCAATGGAATGACGAAGTCGTACCCGTGGATTCTGTCGGAGACAGTTCTCGTTCTGACGGCAATGCCGCAGGCGCTTCTGATGATTACTTCTCAGAGGACCTCTCTCTGGCGTACACCGACGAAGAGGAGATCGACACGGGAGACTACTCCGACATTTACCTCCAGTCAGATCCTCGGTCGCCTTCCTATGACACCAGCGACTACGACACGACTACCCCCTTGGGACTTTGCTGCGCAAGATACAGTGGTTTCCAATGCAAATGCCACAGCAGCATCTGTCGATTATCTGCAAGAAGACTTGTCGCCTTCATCACCCAACGACAAGGAACTGGAGACCGGTGACTACTCAGATGTTTACCTCCAGCCAGATCCCAGGTTCCAGTCGAATGACGAGGATGATTCGACAGCGCTTCTCGGGTATCTGCAGCCTTCTCCAGAGCCTCCAGAACCAGAGAGCCAGGATGGGGATACTATTAACTCACTCTACGATGTGTACACCGCCGAGGCAGCGCCTTCACCCCAACCCCTTCCTCCGCTTTCTGACCCATCCACACCATCAAGTTGTCTGCGGGAACGCGTCTTCACTCCACCACCAGAAAGACTGCCTCGGTATGGAACACCTCCAGTTCAATCACCTGCTGTTCCCTCGTCACCTCCCACGTCTCTTGGTCTTGGATCTTTCTCTAGAGGAGGGCAATCCCCCTCGTCCGAGCACTATCAGAGCATCCATGACCGCCCGCCAAGCCAGCAAAGCAACTCGCATTCCTCCGTCGTCTCGAAGAAGATTCCATTTGGTTTCCGCGCAGTGAGTACCATCTATGGTTATCCTTAGATCATTGATTAAAGGCTTTCAACCTCCAGAGCCGCCCTTCGTCTCGTTCATCTATGTTATCCAACAAAAATCGCAGTGTATCCCAGTTATCCCAGCTGTCCACTGCCAGCCTCAATGGTCCCGGCGAGCAAGAGCAGCAGGCTTCCAGTACACCTCCTCCATCAGCTTCTAGTTCCACTGGGCCGGCCCTTCGTCCTCTCAGGCTTGTGAGTTGATTGCGCCTCCGACCCCGTTTAGGTCTCGCTGACATGTTTTCAGTCTGTTCTCTTGCAGTCTCATTCAGCTTCACATTCACGTTCATATTCTTCAACAGCACCATCAAGCATCACTTCATTCTCGGTTAATAGTTCTTCACATTCCAGTACGTATCGACAATTGTACGACGTCGGGAGTTTAGAATTGACATCGCCTGGCAACCTAGACGTTCAAGATTCTGCTTTAGCTGTACCTGTATCATCACGCAATTCTTTATTAAACAACACTTCGGTATGCCCCTTGCCATTTGATTGTTGCCGTCGCGATTGACTCATATGTACCTCCAACCCTAGCTTTCGACACCTCGCTCTGCACCATACCACACTACTACCAACTCTATAATCGACACTGCACGCTCACCATCTCTACTAACCGAAGACCTAAACCACCTCGCTACCTTTGGTTCACCTGTTTCTGCTCCCGTCAACGCTCCCTCAAACTGGCCGTCACATCACCCCGCATCCCAGCATTACGACTATAGATCATCGAGCAGGCTCTCAGAACCTATTTATGAACTGGAGCAGGAAGAAGACCTCGACGATACCGAAAGGCAGGATGTCCGAAATGAACCTATCCGTAGGCCCATCCTCCCTACTCCAACTCCCCGATCAGCCTCTGTCAGCCGCCCAGAATCCATTCTTCACCCTTCGCTGCATGCGGTTGCTACACCAAAACCCACGCTGATGTTTGCCATCGCCAGCGACGATGTGGACCAAGTTCGTCAAGTGCTCGAGAACGGCGATGCGAACCCCAACGACCTGGTCGGCCCTCAGTCCGCACTCGAGTTTGCCTTGTCAAATGACCAGCTTGCGAACAAGCTTAATATCGTGAAGACTCTTCTCGCCTTCGGTGCTGATCCTTCGACACTGAAAGAAGATGTTGTGGAGAAAGCTCCATCAGGGGCAAAGGCGGGAGAAGACCAGTCAAACGAGGCACCATCTCATCAGGCTGCGAAGACCTTGATGGAAGGAATGGATCCTGCGACCAGGTGTGTACTTTTCAGGTAGCTACATTCAGTTCAGAGCTGACCAAATCGATTTGCATCTGCGTAGGTACTACGTCGAACGAGCCAAGGCCCCTCAAACCAAACGCACATCAAGGCTCATTCACCGTTCCTTCTTCCGCCCCTTAACACGAGTTCAATATGATCTCATTGGCCAAGACCGTGCCCTGGAAGAACTGTTCAAGCTCTTGAGCATCCATTCGAGACAGATCACGGTCTCACCTCTGGTCGTTATGTTTTCTGGTGAGTTAGCACGCACTTCACCCGCCCAATTTAAATCTTAACGCGTTCCCTTGCACCCAGGTCCCAGTGGGCATGGCAAAAGCTTGCTCGCACGTAAATGTATGTCTTCGATTTAGATTCAGGTTTTTCCGAACCCGCTGACATCAAGTTTACAGTTGGTTCCTTGCTTGATGTACCGACGCATACGGTCAATATGGTCACCCTAAGGACGCAGGACGACCTATGGGAGTCCTACTCAATCAGCCCTGTCGAGGTAGGCACCGCGTTAATCACACTATTCGGCTACTAAATTGATTATTAGGAGCCAACCAATTGCACGCTTGCCGAGTTCCTGGTCAACAACGAGGGAAAGCGGTGCGTCGTCGTACTGGACGTGAGTATTTCTCCACTCGGTATAGCTCGCCGCCGTTAAAGCTGACTTGACCGAAATTGACAGGAAATTGAAAAGGTCGCCAATGACAAGGTACTCTGGTCATTGCTTATGCCTTGGGAACACGGCCGGTGCTCGCTCGAGGCCAGGAGTCGCCATATTGATGTGCGAAATGTCATCTGGCTCTGCACGTCCAACATCGGTCAAGACCTCATCTTTGACCACTGGAATGCTCGCGAGTACGCGGAGGAAGTGTTAACACGCCAAGAGTTCCTCGACCTAGTAGCCCTTTTACGGCCGCAGGTGTCTGAGCGGCTTGGGGTAAGTATCTATCTGTAATGTTTGCATTCAACGTGATCACTGACAGTCGCTTCTGACAGGCTTCGGTGTTGTCAAGAATCACTTCGGTGCTTCCCTTCGTACCATTCACATTGGAGGAGAAACGGGCGATGTCGGCAGAGGCAATCTTTCAACTGGGTGGCGAGGATGCACTGGCACTTACGCCTGACGAAATTGAGAGCCTCATTTCGATTTCTCTGAGCCAGTACATCCCAGAAGAGGGCGCCAGGTCTTTGCACAGAGCTGTATCCAACCACCTCATAGATATGATCTGAATCATACTTCTTTTAGGATCTCACGTTCAAATCTTTCTCACCCGGCACTTTTTCCATACGTGTATTTCAGTCTCTCTGCTTGAACTGGCAGGCTTAACTCGACCGTTGATTGAGGGGTCCTTGCGGTATAATTGCGATACTTGGATGTTGTTCTTGTGGCGGCGAGGTGACGACCCGCAATGCCGTCTCGAGCACAGTGACAGCTGTATGAAGGATGATCAATCTGATGATGCTCTTTTCCCTCAAGTTGCCCTGGGCAATATATCACAGCGCTCCCGCGAGGTTCGTTATTTCGAGGAGCTTCCTTTTCCCCCAGGTTCTTCTTCACCTTTGGGTGCCTGTTTCCCTGCACTTGTTTTCTCTTCCCTCCTTTTTTCGTTATTCTGCGGTTCCGACTTTCGTGCACATTGGAGGAGCTATGGACTTTCATGGGCGGCTCGTACGGATCAGGAGGCAGGACGAGGGTGTTCCGTCCCCTGTCGCTGAGAGTTCGACTCCGCCGGCGAGTGATTCCCCTGTTCCCACCAAATCAGCCTCTCGTCTCGTACTCCCTGTGCCGGCCATAGCAGGCATCGTTGTTGTTGGACTCATCCTGATTGGCCTCAGTACGTGACGACTGTCACACGAGTGAAGTGATTCTAACGCTGTCATTTAATAGCAATTCTGCTGTGGAGATGGAGAGTGCGATTGAGGCAGTTACGGCGGTTCAGCGCCAGCCTACACAATTCCGTTCAAAAGTACGGTGTCGGCCGCGGTATTTCGAGCTCAAACTCCAACGACAGCATGCAAAAGATGGAAATCCACGGTAGCTTCTTCGAGTCAGACGATCCGCCGTCCCGAAAGAGATCCACCCTAACCTTCAAGGTCACCGGAAAGATGCCCCAGTCGCCGACCACCCCCAAAGGCCCTAAGAGTCCTGTCAGTACGTGGTTCAACGAAAGACCGAAATCTGGGCTGCATTATCTGAAGAAGAAACCCTCTCATTCTCCGCCGAGGGCTGAGGGGAAGAGGTCGTATAAGGTTCAGCATCTACCCGACTCCGTTCGGACAAAGTGTATCTCTGCTCCTCTCCACATTGTCAATGGACCGGCCGAACCATGGACGCCTGCAACGCCCTCCCCAATGACAGCCACTCCCTCATCTCGACAATCCGAAGTTACGCCACCTCAACGCCCTCCACCAGTCGCATTCCCTCAAACTCTAAGGCAACAGACTCAATCAACTCTGTCTAGCCAACCACAGGCATCAAACAGTGGCGGAGATAGATATCTCAAGGTCGACCAACTGCGTTTATCCTTGTCAGCAATTTCGTCAGACGGCTCTCTATATTCCCGAAACAGCTTGTCTAGCACTGCGGATCACCAACAACAGGCGTCACCCGTAGCAGGGGGCACAGCTGCGCCGCCCCCTGGCATTGGCAGCAGCAGCAACTTGAACAGCCAAACCCAAACGCAACGACGTCAGCACAGCCGTAAACCCTCGACGCCACCTCTGCCTCCCTCATCCACAACGCTCAATTACGGACATCGCTACGAAAGCGAGCTGCAGCGTCCCGGGAGCGCAGGGAGCCAGCACCACCCCAGCCTTCCCCGGTTGATGACCGCCATCACGCGGTTTGTTCCCACTTTGGATGATGAATTGCTATTACAGGTTGGGGATACTGTGCGTGTGATTGAGGAGTATAGGGACGGGTGGTGTTTGGTGCAGCAAGTCGGCAGGATCGACTCGCCGAGGGGCGTAGTTCCCGCAGTCTGTTTGCAAGAGCGGAGGAGGATCGTCCCTGTACCCGTGTCGGTTGTTGGTTCTCCGTCGCATAAAAGGTCGAATGCCTCACTAGCGAGTGTGAAACATCAACCTAGGCGGTGAGTACCCCGGGAGTCTGGACTCCCTCTCCCCTCTCTCGCATTCTTGACGACCTTCCACCATGCCTCGTTACGACTTCGACCTTCTCTTTCACCACCGGTATGCCCCGATTTCGACGAGTTCAGAGCTTCTTGAATCCCCGCTCGTTCAACAGCATTTTCTAGCTATTCTTTCATACTCTCTTCTTGAAAGCAGATGTCCGGGACACTAGCGCACTTGCAACCACTATCCACTGTCTTTCTTTCAACCAAGCTCCCTTGTGTGCATTGGCGAAACACATTACCTGCCACTCTATCCCTATTAGTTATTAGTTAGAATCGCACTGGCCTTCCTAGTGCACTTTTACTTTATCATCACCTAACGGACTTTAGGTAGCTAGCTTGCAACTGAAAGCGACCACTGTTCTAGTCTTGAAATTCTGAAATGCAAACAAGTCAAATTTATATACACGAAGTTGCCGATAGAAGCTAGTGTACAAGGATTTCGTCAAAAACCATCACAGCGGCTGGTAAATCAAGAAGCTATAGGATGTAGGCGACACAGCCGCTCTAGTAGGTGTGGTAAATAAAGGATGTCGAACGCGTCAAAAACGTAGACGAACCAAAAGTATGTACAAAGAAGCAAAAGGTATATACAGTGAAAACAAAATCAATCAAGGATACGCGTACAATTAGGAGGGCGAGAGGATAGACAGATAACAAATATGTACAGTGAAGGATGAACGAGAGAACCATCTGAACGATATGGAATAGCAGTTTTTTTCAAGGCGTGGCATATTTTCGAGGTGTCGTCGGAGAGTGTAGCATGTGCAGCCATATGTCATTGGCGATGACCAGCGGAAAAGTCGAGGACGGCGAGCGTCAACGTCGTAGTCGAGGATGTTTTTTTAAAAAAATCAGGCTTCAAGCATCGCTTTTCTTCATCGGCGAAAATCTGAAGAACCTAATCACGGCCTAAAAAGCCAGTAAGAACACAGCACACAGAGACTACACCGACGATGAGGAGGCCTCACCTTTAAAGCCTCCTTGGGCAAGGCCTTCAACCTCCCCTTGAGATAGTTCTTGACACATTCTGGGCACTCCATCCCTTGTTCGTGCTCGCCAAAGCCGAGGTGACCAGGGTCATCTTCGATACTCTGTGGAAATGTCAACATGGTCAGTTACTGCGAGCGCTAAGGAAGTACTAAGTAGAGATGAACTTACAGGCAGAAGTAGTCTCTTTCGCGGTGGTGGGTTCGGGAGCTCGATGAAGATACCTCGCAACTTCGCGTCTATTGAGGTCAAAGTGGTGGTGAACGATGGCCATTGGGCCTCAAGGGGAGGAAGCGGCATGAATGAAGACGAAATAAGATGTGGTTAAGATGATGGGTAAATGGTGAAGGAAATAAAGGCAGTATGAGGACAGAAGAAAAAAGGAACGGAAGTGAAGAGAGAGGGGAAGAGGCGGAGGGGGTGGGGGGGTGGGGGGCCGAAATTTAAGGCGACTCAATTCGGTCTCGGTGCAAGCCGAACCGTGGGCGAATACGACACACTATCCAACGAAGCTTAAACCAGTCACAAATATTCACCATAACCAAAAAGGGCGTTGCCTATGGAGGGACGTCCCAAGGAGGACCCGGTCAGCTGTCAGGCAACAGGGATTGCGAACCGATACCAGGGCTTCACAGTAACTGCAAAACATCTAGATTTGTTCGTCGAGGGGCAAACAGACGATGGCTGCTGACTTCTTGGTCCATACTATCAACCGCGTCGACGGCGCGGTCAGAGTGAGAGCACAGACTGCAGGGAAGAGGTGGGCGGTCAGGTGAATTATGAATAAACCGGTTTATTTGAGGTCGTTTTCCGATACGATACTCGCTTCCAGATACTGGCGCTCAGAGCTCGCTGGTATTGAGGGATGGGAAGTATTTTGTTAATGAAATGACACGCGCGATACGATACCTCTCTCGGTAGTCCCATCCACCTCAATCATTCAATCTTGCACCAGACTACCTGGAAAATATCCGATTGTCGCGTCTTCACAGTCGAAGGTGGCCATGTACGCATTGCTGTTACCGTGTAGGCGAAGGAAGGAGGGGCGGGGGCATGTTGACACTGGCTGAAAACATGTTGGGCGGAGCTGGGAAGGTGAGCGGCGTTCGTCCTCATGTGCGATTTGACGACCTTGAGGCACTTCAGGATGGAACAGAGCAGCGAGACAGCTGGTGTCGCGGGCCTGTAACTCTGGGCGAGGGCGCTCTTCCCCGACAAGGCCATGGAACATTGCGAAGCTTGGGCTGGGAATTCGGTGACTTCCATGCTGCTTCACGACATGCTGCAGTTGTGCCGCCGGCCTGTCATCTCTTTTCCAGTTGTACGACACTGCGGGAAACGTAGAAACCATCCGGGGTTATACAAGGCATTCGCTTTGAGGGTGGCGGGTGAGCATGGCCTTCAGGGTCTGCTTGTACCGGACGCAGGGTTCGAAGTCGATGTTGGAGCTCGTGCTGGCTGCATCGTTCATTCCCGATTCATTGGAGGACCCTGGTGTTGGCAAGAGTTGCGAGTGGGCTGTGGGCTAATGACGCTTGATTGGGGGACCTTGGTTTTCGAGGCTGGAATCAGCTCGACCTTCGATCTTCTGCGCTCTTCTGGTAGGGTCTTCCTGACTCGAGGCACCGAAACAAAGTGTATTGTTTTGAATCTTGAATCTTCCCCTCCTCCACCAAAGCCAGACCCGTGGGGACGACCGAGTCACTCAGAGTCGGGATTGGGCGGGGCAAGGGCGGGAGCGACGGGCGGGCATCACGTGACACCGCCCAACATGAAAGTGAGTTTCCACCTTTCCCCATCCTTTCTCTCATACCACCATGACTGAACTGAATGGATAGCGGTACGCATGGACTGTGTGACTGAATGCAGCGTTGTCCCCAAGAGCCCCGATGAAATGCAGGAAGACGCCGTCACGAGGCGGGAATGCGAGCAGACCTCAAGAACGGAAGCAAGGGTACTGGCGATTTGGCGGGATTTCGAAAATTCCTTGCTTTCGACGTCTTCAAGTGCGGTCTGCGACAATATGAAAAACGTCGACAACGATGCTGTGTGATCTTCGTCTGGTGACTGCGCTTGCTCCGCGAATGACTCGGGAATGCCGCCCCGCGGCGGGCGCAAAGGGACAACTAACCCTTTGCTGCGACGACGAAAAGGATATCAATGCATGACTGGAAAGGATGCAACGATGGCAAACTCACCTGCACGTCGAGCTTTCCAACGCAGTCGACCAGCCTCGCTAGGACTCAAGAACCATGGAAAGCCTGTGCATGAGCACGGCTCGCTCCTCTTCCCACCGCCAGACGCAAGCGCTATCTTCATTCTTGCGAGACCTCTCAGTAGGTGAGGCTGACCTCCGAAGCAGGGAGGCCGTCTGGCTTAGCGCCTCACGGTGCGACGTCGCGAACGTTGACACCGACTACTATTCTGCGAACCTGCAGAATCAGAGAGCTTCTATCAGTCATTGTAAACCATTGAGTTGGAATATCAGCCCGACCCTCGATGTTCCACGAGCAATGGACCAAGCCCCGAAGATCCTAGTTTGGCATAGGTGAAGCCTTCAGTTGAAACCTTCAAGTGAAACCTTCAAGTGAAATCTTCAAGTGAAACCTTCAGTCAGAGCCTTAGGTAAGACCACCCATTAACCCATACCCTCCCTTTCGCCCAGCACCAGCCTTGTGCTCGTCGTTCTCGAAGTCGCTGAACATCTCTTGAAGCCGTGGAAGTGTATAGCAAAGCGGTGTAGCCTAAGATATGTGGCTGGGAGTGAATTGGGAGACTTGACTTGGCTGAAGCTGGTGGCTGACAGTGCAAACCCCTCGGCTGCCCCCGAATCCAAATTTCCCAAGGCGCCCCGCACAAGTGCTCCTCAAGCGACCTGCCTCTTGCCTCTGCCATTTCAAAACTCTCTAGGACTCGACCGACTTTGCCAGAGACGTGAAAAAGTGTATACAATTTTTTCCTGGAATTTCACTCCTTTTTCTCGGCATTTTCTGACAACCCCCGACTGTTCTCCGTGGTCGCGCAACTTTCTGCAGCTCAATGGTGCTCAGAACGCTGCTTGACAACTCTGGGTAACTAATCTCGAGTTCGAAGCACGACAATTCAAGCCTTTGGTCGCGCGGTGCCCTCATACATTGACGATATTGAACCCAGAATCCTTCTCATGCTGAAGCCCTCCCGCAAGTCGATAACGCATCGAGGCTGCTTTACGAGACGAAAGGAAAGTACGGCGCACGACTATTGGATTAACATAAAATGTACAGTGCGCTCATTCCTGAAATACAAACTAATGTTACATGCTATGAGACGGTCCCAAGACCGCCGATAAATGTACAACTGGTATAGAGCGAGCAACAAGACGAGCAACTAGCTAACGTGAACGAGTTATATCGATACAGATTAACAAATGTGCAAAACCGGACAGTCCAATAGCAATGCACAAGAAAAAGCGAACAACAAAACCGGAGAAGAGCAAGGAAAGCAGTCATAATATACACGGTCCAAGACGATACCAAAAAGTCCAAATCACAGCGCCCCTCCCCCACTGCAACCTCAAAGCTCAAGCTCGAGCGCATCTGGGGTCAACCACTCAACCTACACACAAGTCCTTTATCAGATTCATCCATCCAGAAAACGAAACACCAAAAAGAAACACTCACCGATCCCTCTTGACGCCTCTGCTCCCCCGTCAAAACCACGAACCGCCTATAATCCTCGATCATCGCAGGATTCCTTTGCATCGCCTTCAGATCCGCGACGACCTCCTGCTCTAGTAAAGCATGCCACTCGGCCCTAGGTGCGCCAGCGTACTTTGACTCGAAGGCATCGATACCCCATCGAAGAGCCTGCTGGGGAGAGGGGGCACCAGCCCACATATACTCCTTCATCCACTGGCCGGTCTTCTTGCTCACTCCAGGCCAGTTCTTGCCGCGCTCTGGGGGCGCGTTGAGAAGAGCGATTCCACCTTCAGAGATTTCGGCGAGGAGGAAGGCCAGAAGTGAGGATTTGGATCTGTATTAACGAGGTCAGATCCACAAGTTACAAGCTTTGTGAGGTACCGAAACTTACTTGGCCTTTTCGACGTCACGAACACCAGCCAAAGTCGCCAACATTCCTACAACCGACGGCACAATGTATGCCGTCCAGAAGGGATGCTCGATGACAGCCCGCAGCTTCCCAAGAGTTCCGGCCGTAATCAGTGATGAAGGCGCAAGAGTCATAACCCCGCCTAGCACGAGCACAATGTTAGTACCGTTCGGTAGAGAAGCCTCGAGACGAGCTACTCACCTATAGGAAAGATCTGCCGGACACCCCAAAAGCTGGACGAGTACGATTGGTGCGTCCCAAATGAATAAAACTCCACGCTGTCCTTCGTCGCCTTGACAAGCTCGACGAAATCCGAGAGCTGATCCAGATCCCCAAGCGCTTCAAGGTGGATGAAAACAATCCCCGGTTTGTTGCCACCAGAGACAGGTCTTATTCCAGGGCGTTCCACCTCCGCCTTCTTCACCATCTCGCTCTTGATGAGATGCTGGTATTCAGGCATCTCGGACACATCGCACTCGAGTCTGACGCGATTCAAGATTGACGCTAGCAACTGGGACTCCAGTTCAGCTCTGGGTGAGGTCCCTTTTGTCGATGTCAATGTTGCCAGAGAACCGGGATGGCCGCTGAGGCCTGCAGCGCCGCCCTTGTAGATGCCCCAATATCGCTGAACGCGCTGAAGGTGTCGGTATATACCCTCGGGGAACCCCAGAACACGGAGAGCCAGCTGATAGGTAGGGCGTAGCTTCACGAGCGTTTTCCAATGGGCCGGCCCATATTCCACAGTGCGTACGGGAGCGTCATCGTGCTTGACCACCGGACTCGATAAGAGGTCCCTGATTTTGTCGAACTGCAACTGGGCATTGGCAAAGGGGCCCCAATTTCGAATCGATCGGGTCGGGGTATCAGAGGTCCAGGTGTCGGTACCAGATATCTGCTGTGGATTGAGCGACCATGGAAGGATCACGGCCATGAGACTGCCATCGCCTTTGGTCAGAGGAATGTCGAGCAATAGTTGCACGCGTGAGGGGTAGAGAAGCAGATGGGCGACATGGTTACCATCCATATAGAGAGGAATCATCGCAACCTGGGCCACAACGTTAATTAGGTTGGCCACCTGTACCAGAATGAAATTATAGTACCTGTCTCCGCCGAGTCATCAACGCTCCCAAGTTCTTCCAAGCGGTTTCATTCTCGTCAACAGGATCACGCGTGACTTGAGCCCAGTACGCCGGTCGTTGACACGCTTTGAAAATAGTCTTCAAGTCTTCGGCATCGAGCAAGGATCCAACCTCCAGCTGCTTGGGCAGCACCATCGAAAAGTTGAACCTAGTAGGGCGGATTTCAACTTCTTGACCAATAATGACCTTGAAGTCTATTTTGTCTGCCGAATTCGCAATTTGAACTGTCAGAGGCCCTGTCCATTTCAATCCGCTAGATGATGAAACTGGCGGAGGAGCCAGTGCCTTCAAGTTCTTGGTCAGTCGCAGAGACAAATCCAAGGACGGTTGCTGTACGTTCACATCCAGCGGCGCAAAGAATCTATTCCCAGAAAGAAAGTACAGTTAAAGACCAGGGATTAAGCGCAAGCACGACTTACTGGGGAGGTGCCACATCCCTTAAAAATTCATCAGCCGCCTCCAAAAGCCGGTTAGGTGGCGGTGGTGAAGCCGCTTTCTTTGACGCGTTTCGTGAACTTCCGAGTGGTGAGCCACCTCGCACCGACTGAACCATCTCTCGTCCAAAGAATCTGTCTCGCTGTTCCTCTGGAGGCCTCGGTGTAGGCCCTATTGGTGTACGGAGGCTCCTCGCATCTGCGTCGCTTGGTCGAAGGAGCTTGGGGATGCGGGGTAATGTCTTTTTATCAGTCTTCTCAACTGGCTGCGCATTAGTAGGAACCTGCGCGCTAGGAGCCACGACAGCGAGCGCGTGCTGAACCAGTTGTTTCTTGGTAGAGATAGGTGGGGGATACAAGTCGGAGGACGATGTGTATGGCTCGGATTCGTGTTCAGAGCTGGAAAGGGCCCTTGTCTAAAGTGTGGCATTCGATGTAAGTGAAGGCACACTGGAACACTCCCAAATTGGATCGTTACCTTGCCTCTACGAGGAGAAGCTTCGGGGCGACGAGAGCGCGTGGTGTTAGTGTCCTTTATCTTCAGTATGAAGCCCCTTCCGTTCTGCAATTTCGGCCGCTTCTTGACTGGGCCGTCTGCAGAGTCCGATTCTGACATTTCTTCGTGTTCTTCTTGATTTTGAGGTCTTCTCCTGCGGCTTTGGCTCGAACTAGGTGGTGGCTTTGGGTTGAGATAGTCAGAAAGGCGTCGGGTGGCCATACGACTCTTTTAAACCACTTACTGCGAGTGGCAAATCGTCGTCATCGTCAGAGTCCGTACTTGTCGAAAGTGGGACATCGTCATCTGGATCTGAATCACAAAGGTTCTCGTCCACCTTAGATCTGGCGTACAGCTCTTTTTCTTGTTCTATCCAAGGCAGTTCAGTGGCATCTAATGAAAGGGACAAAGGGATATGAAGTTAATACACACCGATCCATGAGGGCGGGGCATGAATTTCTTGTCCTTCATAGTAATCGGTGTCGCTGTTGTCGAATTGTGAGACCGCGAGCCAGAACTTTTGCAAGACTTCTTTGCATTGGACAAAGCTTTCGGGAGGTTCCCAACTAGCGGGAAGAATGCAAGAACTGTCAGTGCAAGAATAAAAACGCGAGTGCAATCGCGTACGTGCACTCTTCGTCGGGATAGTTCCACCACTATAATAAATAGGTAGTCATCCCTGTCCTATCAGGTATGCATAGTGAGGACCAACCTTGACTTTATATTCCTAGTAGTGCCGCTTCAAACGTCATTTCCTCAGGGACCAGGCAAAGTGATCAGCATACCCAGCAGTTTTCGGTACCCCGAGTTCTTTTCTTTTTGCTTCTGGGTACGTACGCCACTCTCGCCGCTAGTATTACCTCTGACAAAACGTACCCCTCGTTCAGCTGTGGGGTAATTGGGATTTCCCCGCCCCTGATCGGTACTCACCGACTTCGAACAAGACAGGTTCCTCGACAGGCTTTTCGGCCTTGGATTTGCCTTTACGAGGCATACTCCTGCGTAATTCTCCAGTATTGAGGCTGTAAGAGATGCTACGCTGCCTGATTTCGAGTTCGAAGAATAGCGTCGTCGTAGTTCGAAGACAAGCAGCGAGGTTCTCCCAATCAGCGCCGGCCCATCACTTTGGGTGCACCGTCACGCGTCACGCGAGGAACAAATACGCATCCGAAAAGGCAAGTACACCCCTATTGAAGTGAAAGCTGTATAAATAACCTCCATACTGCCATTGTCCATCTTCCATTGATACACCCACCATCATGGGCGGTGAGTTTACATATTCGCCACAGAAGATTATATCCTGACTGACATCCCCTGCGATCCCAGAATCTGGAACTGTAGCCGATAGATCGATGACCAAAACGGACAGGATCATGGATGTCATTCCGGACGACGTCCTGAGGGTGATATTCAACGAGTACGTCCAGAGCAAGTACGGACGGGGCTCATTCCCATTCCCGGGATACGAAATCGCCCCAAAGGTGGCGCAATACGATATCATTAACTCCAACACACCCTTTCGACTCGGGAGGGTATGCTCTCGATGGAGAGCGCTAACCGAAGATACACCCCAGCTCTGGACCGCCATCTGCATCCCCAGTGCAAAACGCCCTGGTATGCTCGAGCTCTTTGAGCTTTGGCTAAAGCGGTCGGGGAAGATGCCAATTACGTTGATCCTCAACTTGATGGACGGGGAGTGGAAGGACTTCCAGAAATCTATTGTCGAGCAGGCGTTCAAAGAATCCGAACGATGGCAGCGAGTCAACTTGCAGCTCGGGGGCGGGCCCACCCAGCTCGAGTCCATCCCTTGGCAAAATGCCAAAACCCCAGAGCTCGAATTCATCACCCTTCGTCTTCCCGGCTGGACTTCCAAATCTGTTGGCGAGTTCCTCGATGCCCTTGGCTCTAACAGCAAGATTCGGGGTGTAGAGTTCAACGGGTACTTTCCTGTCCCACAGCCAGTTCGAATCCCCGATGTCAACCTGAAGGTCCTTCGGCTCCACGGATTCAAGTGCTACGAGATTTACAGTTACCTTGGCTCGAGCCACGCTGCCCTGGAAGAGCTCGCGGTGGACGACATCTACTGCTGCGTGTTCCCATACACAGCGCACCCTCGTATGCCTTTCCAGATCAGGATTAATACTCTGAAAACCCTCTCCATCCGGGTAACCGCAGGACTCCCCCAATATCTCCCTGACATCGTTGCCCCCAACTTGGAGAATCTATATCTCGACGTGGTGGAGCGTAACGAGCAACACCTAGGCCAATTCTGGACGATCCTCCAAATATTCGGGAAGCATTCTAACTGCAAATTGAAATCTTTCCGCTTTCCCGGTGGGTTCGAGCACCAAGTCACCGGGGCGTCGTGGTCCCTCCCCATGTTTTCTCAGCTCAGAGACCTGGAGATTCGTGCTCCAGTAGGCCTTTCGACGTTGGAGCACCTCACCTTCACCAAGGAAAGGAAGCTTTTACCAGAGCTGGAACGGTTGGTCATTACGGACTGCCGCGCCACGAATGGTGTTCTGGCGAACATGATCAAATCCCGAACGAGTAAGTTGCGGGATGTCCTCAAGCCTGGAGAGAAGCTGGAGCCAAAGTTGAAGGTGGTGGATGTGAAGTACGCCAATGATGGTTGGAGGAATTGTCCGCAGGAATTCGCTCTCGTGGACAGGATCAAGGGTCTCAAACTAGATATCGCTCATTGAATGCGAATCTCTTCATTTTTCTCACCTTCTCGCACTTCGAATCCCAACAATAAAAATCCAGTACATGTACAGTAGCCAAAAGCCCAATAGAGAATACAGAAACAAGTGCAGTCGAAAAGTGATACAGCTCAAAGACGTACAAAAGCATCAAGATAATCATAGAAGTTCGTGCAGAGCATCACAGGAAATCGAAACATCGTGACGGTCCGAGAGCGAGGGTATATGTTCCCAGCTGATCCAAGCAAATTCGCCGTACCGTCCTAAAACCTTCTCCCGACCATAAGCTGAGGCTGAAGGCTGCTGATCCTCTTCAAATTCCCTCCCAAAGTCCGAGTGACATTTTCGGGGTTAACCAAGCCTCCATTATCCAAGCACTCCAAAGGCACCATGCCCTGCTCCCCCTTCGCGTTTGTGCACATCGCCCATCCGTCATCAAACTCGGAGAGAATGTGGATCGATTCTCCGACAGTGATTTGCAGTTCGTCAGGAAGCGTGGTGATGAACGTCGAGACGACGGTGGCAACGACCGGAGTTTCCAGGACTGCCGAAGGAGGGCCGTAGACTGGAGTTAGCAACTTCTTGGTGGGACTCGTTGACTTGGGTGGGGCCGAGGTGGCGTAAGGAATTGGACGAGCGCTGGGGGAGAGCGCAGTGTACTCCATCCCGTAAGAGGTGGGCGGTGGGGGTATAACCAAGGGAGGCAGCGATGCCGCAAGGGGGTTTCGCGCTTGCATCTGTTCAGGTTCTCTATCGTCGAAGGGAGCAACTTGTCGTCGCTGAGAAGCATACGTGTCCGCGATGGGAGTCGCAAAGGCAGGTGTGGTCACTGGGCCGGGCCTGAGAGATTTGGACTGGGCCCAGTCCTTGCGTAACCTAATTCGTCGCTGGACGTATCGACGGCGGACGAAGTAAACGATGAGGGCGATGAGGAGAGTGATTCCAGCAATGACGATGCCAATCACTGCCCCGGAAGGGAGGGAGCTGGGTGGTCTGGTGCTGCCAGAAACAGGTTCAGGGACTTGGGTAGATTGGTTGTCAGAACCACCAGCGCCATCGTTGGCAATGCTGGGGGCTGACGCTGGTGCGTCGGTGGGCTCTGCCGGCGCAGGTCCGACTGTTGGGCTGGACAGCTGCGTCTCGCTAGAGCTTGAACTAATATAGGGATATCGATTGATGGAGGTGGTTGGGAGCAGCGTCGGGGCTTGAACGGGGACACTGGTGATAGCCTCCAAAGGCCTCGAGATCGTTCTAGTGACCACGATCGTAACAGGGCCTGTAAGGAACCGAGGGTCATCACCGCTGCCAGCGCCAGGAGAATCGACCTCGTCGCCACCATAGGCCATGACCTGCCTACGGTGCTGTTGGTGGAGACGTCGTTGTTGAAGCTTCTCGTGCGCCATCGTCGTCGTCGTGGTCGTCGGTTTTGAAGCAACCCAATGATTTGCAGAAAGGACAGGTAGGATTCTGAAGGAATGTAATTCGGATGTCGAGTTCGACTCGAAAATCTCGTAAGGAGAGGTGTGACCAGCTAAGAGTGGTGGAAGTGGGTAAGGGAAACCGTACGTTATGGGCTCATGGAACTTTTGAGAAAGAAGATTGTGCTGACCCCGACGAACAATAAGAAGCCCTTCTATTGGCGACCGCCCGGCAGACCGTCGGCATTTCAACTATCCCACGGTCGGCGGTCTATGGGCGCTTGCAGACCTTTCGTTCACCGAGGCACCTTGAAGCACCATTTTCTCATCTGTTGTAAGCGCAGAATGTCAGAAAGGCCTCGGCTAATTGAATATAACAATTACAGTTGAGAGTCAAGCACAGGGAGGATTCTACGATTGTGCGTGTATGTAATAGCTTGCACAGACTACAAGGAACTGGGAAGGCGAGTGTACATCCTTCTGATTTACGTGGCACTGAAGTTACGTGGCACTGAAGTTGAGTTTCTCAGTGGAACGATGCTTGTGAGGTAGCATAGCCAAGGGGTGGTGTTGAGTCCTCCAACCTGCTTGAGTCGTCGGATATAGTCTTTGCTGCACACGGAGTGCAATAACTCATTTTCATCATGAAGCGCTTTGTATTGGCATTTCATATACCTCGTGTACTACACAAAGTACCTAAGAATACATTAACTTAGTGACCTGTAATAAGGTCACCGTTGACTCTTATCGACGATGATGTCTGCTTGCCAATGCTCCCTCGCGAACACGTTCATGATCTTCCCTAGCTTTAGATCCTCAAACTTGATACCATCATCTCCGATCCTCCATTCTGGCTCTGTACAGATTTTGTCTTCTTCTTGAGCGGTAGAGAAAAACTTCTTGAACAACTTGACAACTCGCTTCATGAACTCAAGCCTGGTCACTGATGGTCCATTGGGGCTGTCTCTGGCAAATAGCTCGTAGGTTTGGGGCTCGTATCCGGGCCAGCGGATGTGAAATTGGAGGATGTCTGGTACGTTCTCAGCTTCATCGAAAGCGGGGCCATTTGGATCCTTGATAATCTGGTGAACAACGTAGTCATGTCTGCCGTCGAGAAACCTGAAGGGCACCCCGTCGCCGAAGAGCGTCGTAACATGTGGGATGCGGTCGTCGGGTCGGCTAAGAGCTTGTCGAGGGGGACATTGAAGACAGAAGATATCTTGTGGCAGACGGATGTTATGTTGCGTGTTTGGGGTTACGAAGCCGAGCGCTCCCAAGAGAGAGCTGTCCGAGGAGAACTTGGGGCCATTGGTAACTGGATAGGTGTTGTAGTACTGTTGTTGGAAAGTCATGGGGGTAGCGGAGAGTCTGGTATTGGGAGAGATATCTAGAACAAAGATGTTGGAGGGAACGTTCAGCTCAATCGCGTCCCATTTATGTCTCGGGTATTCTGGCGCTTTGACAAGAAGATGAGTGTTAGGATGCTTTGACCATGAAAATAATTCACGAGCCTCCATCGCCCTGTCCATCAACAAAGAAAGCCGACGTCTACAGGGAAAGAGAGACACCTCCCGGTCCATACGGCAGCGGAACCTTTTTACTGGGACCTTACAGGCACGGCGTCGACGAGCATCGAGTCCATCTGGCCAGCGCCTAGTACCGTATGCAGGTCGTTCGCGGGGATTTAAGGGATTTAGAAAGAAGGACCTGTTCAAATGGTTGAGGAAGTAAAGATACTCTCGACAGTGTCTGTCGAAAAGTACATGAAATTTGCGCGGCAATAGGCCCTAGGGCCCTATAACGGTCACGGTCGGACATTAATCAAATTGATCTTAAGTTGCCAAAATATCCCTTAAGTGCCCAAAATCTTACTAAGTGCCCAGATTCCTCCTTACATACCAGATGGGTACATGAATTCTTAAGTACTCTTCTCTTTACGATCTTCTCAAATTGATCTTAACTCACCAAAATCCTTAAGTCGCCAAACTGATCTTAACTCACCAGAATCCTTAAGTCGCCATGATATGTTCCAAGTCTCCTGATTCGTCATGTCTCACGAGCCTAGACTCTCTCATGATCAGTGTGGTAAATGACGGTGAAGGTCACGTGACTCATAGTGGACCGTAGGCCTCAAATAGTTTGGTTCGCCGACGCGACGTCCGAGAGCGCTAGGCGCGTCTGGGGATTCATTTTTGTTTCAGAAAAGATGGAGGAGGACTTACTATTACCTATGCCCAAAAAAGCGCCCAAGATTGCTAGAAGAATACTGAGTTTAAAAGCAGTTTATTAAATCACTAAAATATTATATATTACATACAAAAAACGTCGCCAGTGCCCAGACTTGAGTCATATCGTGCAGCAGATGTGTCTCTAATTTGACAACCGAGGCATACATAGGAAGACCCATTGGTAAAGACCTGTGAGCACTTGAGCCGGACATGTTAGTAGGGGATACATAATACATGAGTGATCCGGACATCCGAATTGTTACGACTTCGGGCAACAAGGACTTGTCGTTGCTGTCAGCAACTAACTACTTGATCTGTCGTTCAAGCAATCAATAGCTGCACTAGAAAAGACTCGACGAAAAACGATAGGATTCAGTGAAGACTAGAGTGTTGTAGCTAGGAATAGACCAGCTAAAGACTGAGGAAACTACGCTTACAAGTCTACTCTATATATACTACTTGAGTTGTATGTACTTGTTTGGTCCATGGTCTGTGCGTGCGCAGTGTTTTGTTCAGCTGGCGGGGTACGGTCCCATGACTCATCACGTGTCTGAGTCACGTGACATCCTATGTTACTAACTACAAGTCTCGGCGAGAAAGGAAAAGAAAGGTCTGATTCATGACATTACCCCCCCCCCCCCCTTAAGGTTCACGTCCTCGTGAACGTCATTGCATCTGGGGCACCACCCTTTTCGGCACTTTGGGAGGTTTTCCGGCATTGGTTCGGCAGTCCCTTTGGGTCGACGGTTTGGGGAATAGGAGGCCTTAAACTTCCCAGCAGTCCAGTCGAAGATTCTTCCGGAAGGTTCGGTGAAGTTTTCGTAGGGTATGAATTGGAGTTTCTTGGTGATTCGCCGAGGTGCGGAGGGATTCTCTCGATGAAACTTTTCTACGAGTTCGGGAGAATTCTTCAGGTTGGAGGCATCTTCCCACGTCCTCTCTTCCTTGGGGTATCCCTTCCAGTTCACCAGGTACTGCAGTTTTCCCCTGTAGAGTCTAGAGTCGTCGATGGATTCAACTTCATATTCTACTTCTCCGTCCACCAGCTCGGGAGGAGGAGGCGGGGGTTTCTTCTGAGAGGGAAAATGGGGTTCGTGGTATGGAGTGAGGAGTGACTCGTTAAACACCGGGTGTATGGCCTTCCAAGTCTTAGGGATGGCGAGTTCGTAGGCAGAAGCTCCGACCTTCTTGGTGATCTTAAAGGGTCCATATCTCCGATCGTCGAGCTTCTTGGCTGGCCGCTGCGTATTGATGTTGGTTGCCTCAAGGTACACCATGTCGCCCACTCGGTAGGGCCTGGAGGGTTTTCGTTTCCGATCATAGTAATGTTTCATAGTCTCGGCAGCTTGTTTTAAGGCTGCTTCGGCCTCCTTGCGGATGTCTTTAATCTCGGTAACAAAGTCCTCTGCAGCCTGATTCCGTATTGGGCCTCTTGGTTCGCCTCCCTTGTATGGGTGTTGACCGTAATTCAGGTAGAACGGACTGTACCCGGTTGACTGGTGGATCTTGTCGTTGTAGGAGAATTGGGCCAGAGGGAGCCAATCAGCCCAGTCGTCTTGTCTTTGATTGATGAAGATCCGTAAGTACTGCTCTATCTCCTGATTGATCCGTTCTGTCTGACCATCAGTCTGGGGGTGGAATGCCGTGGAGGGGTTTCCTTCAATGCCGAGGAGTTTCATCAGATCCTTCATGAAGTTCGAGACAAATTGTGGGCCTCGGTCGCTGATTACTTTTCGGGGGAGTCCGTGGTGTTTGAACACGTAGTCCCGGAAGTGTTTCGCTGCACCTAGCGACGAGAGCTCCACGTTGGTGGGAATTGCCTCTATCTTCTTTGAGAATCTGTCGACCACTACCATGATGGCATCGAATCCTTTTGACTCTGGGAGGGGCCCAATTAGATCTACCGACACTATCTCCCATGGGAGAGAGGGGACCTCGTTTGGCTGTAGTGGCGCAGCCGGGACGGTTCGACGGGGTTTAGTCCGTTGACACATGCCACATCCATCGATATAGGTTCGGATGTCTGCTTGGATTCGGGGCCACCAGTAGTTCCGAGTGATCAGTTCCTGGGTACGATATCGACCAGGGTGTCCCGATACTGGGGAGTCATGATGGAATCTAATGATGTCCTCTCGGAGTCCCTTATCTTTTGGCACGTACACTCTTCCCTTGAACGTCACGAGATGTTCGTCGGATTCGATCCAGTCTGGGTCCTTCTGCAGTAGAGCCTTGGCCACCGGTTTGTCCCTTCTTCTCCAAGAGCGCTTGACCCGTTCCAAAAAGTTGGCATCTGGTCCTGAGATGCCCACTTCGACCCTTCTGAAGAGTTCTTCCTTCAAGAGGATCACGTCTTCGTTATCGTTGGCTCCTCGATCGTGATCGGCTCGTCGTGAGAGGAGGTCAGCCTTGGTCATCTGTTTTCCAGGCTTGTGGTGAAGGGTGAAGTGGTACTGTTGCATCTCGGTGAGCCAGCGAGCTTGGCGGCGATTCAACTTCTGGGGTTTTCGGAAATACCCGAGATTCTTGTGATCGGAGTGGATCTCGAAGACGTGTTTAGCTCCAAGGAGGTACTGTCTCCAATCTGAGAGTGCACGCATGATGGCGAGCATCTCCTTGTCGTAAATCTCGTAATTCCGCTCAGTCGGGTTCAGGGCATGGGAGATGAAAGCTACCGGTTTCCACTTCCCATCAGGCTGTTGTTGGGAGAGGACCGCCCCAGTTGCGAATTCGGATGCATCGGCCTCAACACGGAACTTCCCAGTGTCATTGGGAATAGCGAGGACGGGTGCAGAGCAGATTCGATCCTTAACTGCTTGGAAGGCTGCTTCTTGCGCTTGTCCCCAATTCCATTCCTTGTTCCCGGTTAGTTCCGTGAGTGGCCTAGCAATCTCTCCATATCCTTTGATGAACCGTCGATAGAAGTTGGCAAACCCAAGGAACTGTTGAACTTCGCGTTTCGATCGTGGAGTGGGCCAGTCTCTGACAGCATCGACTTTAGCTGGGTCCATGCGTACTTGGTTGTGGGAGACAATGACGCCGAGATATTCCACTTCTTTGGCTTCGAAAACGCACTTCTCCGGTTTGAGGTAAAGTTTGTGCTCGGCAAACTTCCTCAGGACCCTTCGGACCATTTCCCGATGTTCCTCCAATGTTTCCGTGAAGATAAGGACGTCATCCATGTATATGATGACTTTTCCGGTGTTGATTTCCTCTCGGAATATGGCGTTCATCATGGTTTGGAACGTTGCGGGAGAGTTTGTGAGCCCAAAGAACATCACCAGAGGTTCATACAGTCCCCTGTTGGTTCGGAACGCCGCTTTCCACTCGTCTCCCTCTTTGATACGGACATTGTTGAAGCCCCAACGGACGTCTAGTTTGGTGAAGTACCGTGCCTTTCTGAGTTTGTCTACTAACTCTTGGATCAATGGCAGGGGGTATCGATTCTTCACAGTGATGTCGTTAAGCCTTCTGTAGTCCTGGACTGGTCGGAGGGAGCCGTCCTTCTTTTTCACAAAGAAGAACGGAGAGGCCATGGGGGATTTAGACGGACGGATCCTCCCTGACTGCAGGTTTTCTTCCAAGAAGGCATCAAGTGCTTGTTGCTCTTCAGGGTTCAGCGGGTAGATCTTGCAGTCCATGGTCTCTGCTCCAGGGATGAGTTCAATTGCATGGTCCCAGGGTCGCCTTGGAGGTAGTTCATCGAAGGACTGCTTCGAGAACACAAATTTGAAGTCGTGGTAATGTGACGGTACCAGTTCTTCAAATGTCTTGGCTTTTTCCTCCTTGGCTTTCCTTTCAGCAATTCTTCCGGATGTCGTCTGGAATGCCCGTAGTCGGATCTCGTGTTGAATGTCTACCACGAGAATGTGTTCCCCATCCTCGAGGTCCTCGTATTCGATTTCCTCTGATTCAGGGTCTGATCCGACAAGTGGGGTACATTCTATGGGACACCGGTTGAACTCTATCGTACCAGTCCTCCAATCAATAGAGGGGTTATGCCGTTTTAGCCATTCGAACCCGATGAAGACGTCCGTTTTCCCTAGTTCGGTTACTCCGAATTCCAATCTCTCAATGTGGTCTCGGATCTTGACGTGGAGTTCGACACATTCGGAGATAGCTCCTCC